GGGATTCACTTGGTATCGCAGAAATTGGCAACCTAAGGCTGTACAGCGTCTGAAATGTCTGAATACAGGAACCCCCAAACATGGACTTCTGTTTTCTTTTGAACTTCCAAACCAGGCTTAAAAGGCTTCCCTCCAAAAAGACTCCCACAAAGATGCCAAATGTGAGCGGGTAAAGTCGACTCGAGTCTAAGAGCATAGCCCCGCCTTGAGATTCGCCCCATCCCCCTGGAGCCAGTCGCGGATGTCGTCATTGGTGCCCCACTTGCCCTCCTGCGAGCCAGCTGACGACGTCCGGCTGGGCGACCCACACAAATCGCCCCTCCCCTCCCCACATGAGAAAACCCAACCATGGTCACTTTTAGGGACCCAGTAGATACCACTGGCATGAGATCATGTTGATACATACCACTGGCATGAGGATATAGAATGTTGACCTCATATTAAAAACACCCCAGTTTATTAATAGGGGGGTGTTCCCCTCCAAAAGTGATTCCCCATTAAACCCAGGGACACCCCCGCATCCAATAAACTGGGGTTGCTTAATATGGGGTCAACATTGTGGGTCTGTGGATGCAGGCGAGCGTCTGTTGTTCTGACTAGAAGCTTGCGACAGGAGTCTTCGGACCAAGCTAACTACTTTGGATCCGAGATGTCCCTGCAGTGGTTGATTTCGCGCGAAACATCAAGCGCGGCATACCTGTACGAAAGTGGACCAGACAGCAACAGGCTTATGAACCACGTAGCAAGTGAACTTCTCCCCTCGCCTGCCTTTGTTTTTCAGCGTTCTGCGCATTTTAAATTGCTTGTTCCAGATTGCGTGCTCAGCTGCCAAGTTGCTTTGGCGATGGCTGGCTGTTGCGGGCAAAGGCCGAGTTCCCCCAAAACAAAAACGGATGCGTTCACCATCCCGGCAAGCATTGCAAAGGTCTTTGTCGCGACGAGAATAGCAACCAGACCCCGCAGGCTGACTTTTGACCATGGCTCCGCACAAGTCTGTCTGCAGCTTGTCTAAACCAGTTGCGCAGAGACGGTGCTCGAACAGGAGGCAAGGGTGCGGGCGGGGCTGCAATCTACGAAGCTGCAGGCAGTTGGTGCAGGTATTGTGAAAGCTACAAATGAATTGGAGTGCATAGTCTACCAACCCACCGTGTGTCTGAAGCACGGTGATGATTGACTAAGATGTGGGCTTTACGTGTTGCATTTCTTTCCCTGATGGCGCGCGCTGCAGAAAGTTTGCAACCCGTCATCGCCACTTTCGCATACTTTCGCGAGCTTAGGAGGCGGCTTAGGCACGCAGGAAATGGATTGGAACCTAGCCAAACTTACACAGACAACCCGGCCCAACCTGGAATTGACATGCTCTTTTCCGGCGCACGCGGGCCTGGGAGCGGACTCGAGGCCCTCCCTGAAACAAAACACCAAAAGTTTAGGTGGTTTCCCCAACAACCAAACCTTGTGATCAGATCTGCCTGGCGGGGTATGCTTGGCTGGGGTTTGCCACCTAAACCATTTGTTCAGAGGCGCTTTGGGTTTGACCCATCCATTCAAACAACTCGTGTTTGCAAATGGAGCCAAGCGAAGCACTCCGGACTCCTCGCGTTTCCAGTCCCTGTAGTTGTCGTTGTCCACCAGCTGACAACCATAGCCTGTCGGTACGCACATTGAACCATCCCCAGGCGTGTCTGTGGCAAGGAATCCCTCACATCTGCCCAATTTGGCAGATGTGATCCGTCCCCGGCAACCTGTTGTGGAGGCTCCAAAAGGAACCCACTTCCATTGATTCTTGGAAAGAGGGCAAATGATGTGATCTAGACAAGTTCCAGGAGTTGATGGGACTATCACATCTCCGATTGGAAATGCAAAAAAGGAAGTGAAATGGATCTCTGGCAAAAATCCCACACTGAGCGGAGCCAGTCTCCAAAAGTCATCAATCAGCTATGTGTCAGATATAGCAGTTGGACCTCGGAATGGCGTTCGGAATGGCGTTCCCATCCTGAAAAGGGCACCAACACACTCAAACAAATCCCTCTTCGCCTGCCGTGGCTGCGCTTACCAAAACCTTGCTGGGCCCCCCGGCGCATCGCCAGGCGGATGGTGAACCTGATGCGGGTTTTCGCCCTCCATGGGGGGGCTTTGTGGGGGCGGAAAATGGAAAAATTGAATGTGACCCGGTGGTTGGACGGATGCGAAAAACATCGGGAAGGTCCTGTGTACAGTGCAAGCGTGTTTATCGGATCCGCATGCATACACTTGTGAGGGTTTGATGTCAGCCGGCTAAAAGCCAGAGTCTTGGAAAGCAGTGAACATATCCTCAGCAGATATTGTTTGAAACAATATCTGCTGAGGATATGTTCACTGCTTTCCAAGATTCATTTGGCGTATGTACTACTCCTATGAGATCCAAAGCAGGTCGGGATTTCTTGTTTGCTCCCCAAAAAGAATCCATTGGACTGGATTCCAGACCACGAGAGGGGAAGGCTCGAGGCCGCGGTGATGTGATCTGCAATCAAGGAGCAAGTCATCGGCATCTCCTTAGTGCAATTCGGTGTTGCTCCTTCTTGCGCTTAGAACCTCCTTTGGTTTTTCCAGAAAGAGGGCTCTTCAAAATGGGGAGTATCCGCAATCCACATTTGCAATGCGCCACCATCTGGCAAAAGGGTACAGGTTTGATATTGCAGAACTCGAAACTCCCCTGGCTTGAAAGGCAATCCCAAGAGGATGCCAATTCATTCCCTCAAATTGTTCGTGCCCCTCCGGTTCGCGGGAACGCCAAAGAAGTTTCCGCCGAGCGTCTCGAGTCGTCCACCACGGGGCACACGATGACTCGGGATTTCAAGTCGGGAGGAACTGGCGATAGAACCGCAGTCCTCACACCGAGAGGGAGAGTGTCAGCGGTTCTCCTGTTGCCTTCCCACGCCAACAAGGGTATCCTCGACGACCCTCCAAAAACACACCAAGGGGAGGGCATGGGGCTCACTTGCTTGCGACCAAAAAGGCGACCACCTTTTGTGACTCAAAATTGGGACCCCAAACCAATCAGCACATCAGATCCTACCATCCACAGCGCCACAGGTCCCAGCCTGTTCTTGCAAACGCCCTGAGGCTGCAATCCGTGGCTTTCATAGTACTGGAAGGCCCTGACGACGCAAACGTGATTTGGCTGTAAGTCAAACATAGGCACCCAAAATGGAACCCTGGTAGATGGAAACATGGACTAAAATCTGCGGTCCCCTGGTGGTTTAATTTTGACCCATACCCATTTCTGCTTCGACCGAGGGAAGTCGAGTTGGGGCCTTCTGGGGTTCAACTTTCGTGGACTTCGGCAAGCCCAGTGGTTTTGGGCCCGGGCTTGGGCACCTTTGGACGAGTGGAGAACATAAGGAAACCCTGGGCTTCGGTGGTCCTTTCGATTCCCTTTGGTTTTGCTTTTCTTTGACACAAACCCCGAAAAAAAGTGCCCTCACAAAAAAGACACACCCAGGCCTTGCTCCGATGGCACAATTTGTCTGCCAGGCGCCCCTTCAAGGGACCATTTATTGTTCTAGTTGTTCTAGTTGTGGTGAAGTTTGCATCGAGACAACCACGTTCTATCCTTATTTGATCCGTGTCTCAATTGCGAGGCTCTCCAAATGCGGGAACCTCCAGCTTTTTTCTCTCCCTTTGGTTGCAGGCAAAGTTTGACGTCGCTGCCAACCCGCCTCCGGACACCATTCCAATCGAAGCCCTTCTTGGAGGAACCTGCGAGTAAACTCTCCACTTTTTTGGCCGACTTTGAAGGGAAGCCAAAAGGAAAACCACCTTTTTGCGGTTCCCTAAACAAAAAGCCCACCCGGGTGAATTTTTTGGAGGTACCCTTTTCAGGTTGGTGTGCACGCAAAACATCAGGAAACCAAGCAAACATCAAGGATCCAAGCCCTAGTTTGATACATACCGCTTCGAGTGGCTTCGAATCAAATGAACTTTCGCCCGCCATCTCCGGAGGGTGAGACTCCCAAATACCGTGCTTGAATTATAACACTATACGCAGTAGGCACCGTTCTCCAACAATCAGCAAAGTGGACTTTCAAGAGAGTAGTTCTGCTAAAACCTGTCAGCTTCCATGATTGCAAAGAGGGTTACAGAGAGAACCCCCCCGCCCTCTCCTTGTTTGACCAATTGACCTGAAATTGCCTGCCCTACAATGGTGGTAACTAGGGGCGCAAGTGAATACTCAACCAAAGAACACTCCGATTTAGCTGAAGCATCTAAGGAGATAGCGATTTCCTGAGAGAAGGGCCCCCAGGTCCGTTGAACAGGCGCAGGATTGATATCACCGACCCCAAACAATTCATAAACTCACCACCCGCACAACATCTCTATATTTGGAAACCTCCGGGGTTGAGCCTGGCTTGGGAAAAGCCAAAAAAGGAATCCCCATGCTTTTGCTCGGGCTTTTTGAGGGTCTAAGCAACTACCTTGATGGGCAGAAAGCAACGGGTCGAGAGCCTGCCTTCAGCCGGCAACTTGCCTGTGTCACTTGCCAGCGTCCCGCTGTAGAGCTGTCGTCTGCCTCGTCCACTGCGTCAGAAATAGCGAAGCAAGGTTGTCAGGCATGCCTTTGAATGCACTTCCACCGGAGACAACAGGATGGTGGGCACGCCAGGCAGCTTTTTGTAGGCTTCCTTCTGCATCTCTCGAATTCATCAGCGGGGGGCAAATTTGGCCCCGGAGCGAAGCCAACTTGTGGGCTGAAGGCAACTGGTTAGTTAGATCACTTGAGGTCTGTTAACATGCCAATGGAAGAAGCTGCCAAACTGCCTGCATACGGCTTGGGGTGAAATAATATCCAATAAAGCTCTACTTGAGAGGGGGGGAATCGAACGGACCTCACACACGCGCCCCGAAGCAGGACATTCCCCTCACGTAATGTACAATGATTGCAAACCAATCCTCCTCATCCGCATCAGCGGCATCTGTGGCATCCGCCATCACAGCCGCATCTGCAACATCCACCGCGCCCATCACCGAAGCCGCGGCATCCGCCACGACTGCCGCTGAATCTGCAGCATCAGGAGTGTCCGCCACCACAGAATCTGCGGCATCGGGCACTGCATCTGCGGCAAAGGCAGTGTCCGCCACCACGGTGTCCGCCACCACAGCATCTGCGGCATCAGGCGCTGCATCTGTGGCATTGGCATTGTCCGCCACCACAGCATCTGCGAAATCCCGCGCATCCGCCACAACGGAGGCTGCATCTGCGACATTGGCAGTGTCCGCCACCACTGTGTCCGCCACCACGGCATCTGCGGCATTGGGCACTGCATCTGCGGCAGAGGCAGTGTCCGCCACCACGGTGTCCGCCACCACAGCATCTGCGGCATCAGGCGCTGCATCTGTGGCATTGGCATTGTCCGCCACCACAGCATCTGCGAAATCCCGCGCATCCGCCACAACGGAGGCTGCATCTGCGACATTGGCAGTGTCCGCCTCCACAGTGTCCACCACCACAGCATCTGCCGCATCCGGCACTGCATTTGCGACATTGGCAGTGTCCGCCACCACTGTGTCCGCCACCACGGCATCTGCGGCATTGGGCACTGCATCTGCGGCAGAGGCAGTGTCCGCCACCACGGTGTCCGCCACCACAGCATCTGCGGCATCAGGCGCTGCATCTGTGGCAGTGGCATTGTCCGCCACCACAGCATCCGCGAAATCCCGCGCATCCGCTACAACGGAGGCTGCATCTGCGACATTGGCAGTGTCCGCCTCCACAGTGTCCGCCACCAGCGCAGCTGCGGCATCGGGCACTGCATCTGCGGCATTGGCAGTGTCCGCCACCACTGTGTCCGCCACCTCGGCATCTGCGGCATTGGGCACTGCATCTGCGGCAGAGGCAGTGTCCGCCACCACGGTGTCCGCCGCCACAGCATCTGCGGCATCAGGCGCTGCATCTGTGGCATTGGCATTGTCCGCCACCACAGCATCCGCGAAATCCCGCGCATCCGCCGCAACGGAGGCTGCATCTGCGACATTGGCAGTGTCCGCCTCCACAGCAGCCGCATCGGGAGCTGCAGCTGTGGCATTGGCAGCGTCCGCCACCACAGCATCTGCGAACTCGCGGGCATCCACAAAGGCCGCTGGATCTTCAACATTGGCAGCGTCCGCCTCCACAGTGTCCACCACCGCAGCATCTGCCGCATCGTCCGCCGCCACAGCATCTGCGAACTCGCGCGCATCCACAAAGGCCGCTGCATCTTCGACATTGGCTGCGTCCGCCTCCACACTGTCCACCACCACAGCATCTGCAGCATCGGGCGCTGCATCTGTGGCATTGGCAGCGTCCGCCACCACAGCATCTGCAAACTCGCATGCGTCCACAAAGGCCGCTGCATCTTCGACATTGGCAGTGTCCGCCGCCACCGTGTCTGCCACCACAGCATCTGCGGCATGGGGCGCTGCGTCTGTGGCATTGGCAGTCTCCGCCACCACAGAATCTTCGGCATTGGGCACTGCATCTGCGGCAGGGGCAGTGTCCGCCTCCACAGTGTCCGCCACCAGCGCAGCTGCGGCATCGGGAGCGTCCGCCACCACTGCTGCAGACGCCCGCCCCATGACCCTCATCATCGCCCAATGCACGGCCGAGCCTTCTTCAAGAGGCTCCGGCTCCTTGGGCCTTCTCTTCTTCTTGCCATTTTTGCGCGTGGTTGGTGCGCTTATGTTTCTGGCCGCCATCTCCTGCTGCCGGCAATATTCCTGTTGCGCTTTCTGTCCTCAGCGCGTTTGGTCCAACTGACACGAAGCATGACTGGATTTGCAGAAAATCACGACATCTAAATACATGCAATTGTTGATTCTTCCTGCCCATTCCCACATTGTTGGTCAACGATGATATATAAGTTGATATCCGCCGACATTGCTCGGCGTGTCGGACACCTAAGAGAGGATAGAGGATAACCCCCCCCTACCCCCCCCCCCCCCCTAGTCTTCTCTGAGCCGGTGTCGCAAACAGGGGTCCCAGGCTCGAAGCCCCCTGCCGGCTCTTTGCCGGTTTGGGTTACCTGCCTCCTTTTGCTAAAAATCTGGAAAAACTCTGTGTTTTTGGACGTCCTCTTTGCGAAAACGCTGGAAAAGCAGTGTTTTTGTTGCGGGAAATACTGGGGAGCAAAGGGGACATGCAAGGAAGTGCAAGGAAATGAGGGGAGGAAATAGGAAGTCGACATGACAGGAAAGCAACGGGAAATGAAAGGGAAACAAAGGGGAACTAAAAGGGACATGAAAGGGACAGAAATGAAAACAAGGGGAGTGCAGGGGGAATGAAAGGGAAACACAGCGCAATGAAACCAATCGGCACGATGGGAGATGTAGGGAAATGACTCGCAACGAAAGAACGGGACAGACATGGAAAATGAAGCGGACATACCGAGAAAATGACAGGGACATGAAGGGGGAGTTGAAAGGAATGGACGGGACATGACCAGGACATCATGGGAAACGTGAAAAGGACATGAAGGGGAAATCAAGGGGAAAGCCAGTAGTGAGATGACAGTTCAGGGTCATGAAGTGGCAGTGCCCGGCCATCGAGGCAACTCAGGGGGGACGTGACGCTGCAATGCAGAGAGAGAGACAGACAGGGAGAGAGCGGGAGAGAGAGAGAGAGAGGGAGAGACAGAGAGAGAGATAGAGACAGAGAGCGAGAAAGAGAGAGAGAGAGAGAGACACAGAGAGCGAGAAAGAGAGAGAGAGAGAGACAGAGAGTCAGAGACAGAGAAAGAGACAGACAGAGAGAGAGAGAGAGACAGAGAAAGAGAGGCACAGAAAGACAGAGAGAGAGAGAGAGACAGAGAGAAAGAGCGAGAAAGAGAGAGAGAGAGAGAGAGAGATAGAGAGAGAGAGAGACTAGGTCCTCCAGTAGAGAGGTTAGAATTAGGGTACCCTTTTTCTGTAGAGGGGCGTGGACAGGAAGGAGACAGGGAGACGGAAAGAGAGAGAGAGAGAGACAGAGAGAGAGAGAGAGAGAGAGAGAGAGAGAGAGACAGAGAGAGAGAGAGAGAGAGATAGAGAGAGACCGAGAGAGGGAGATTGAGGAGAGAGAGGCTTGGGGGGATGGGGAGGATGGGGAGCAGAGGGAGGGAGAGAGGACGACAGAACACACGAGGGAGACAAGGGAGAGAGGAAGAAGGAGAAAAGGGAGAGGACAATGTCGGCGGACTGAGCCGGAGGCTCTAAAGTAAGCAACTGATGCACCGTAAGCAGCTTCAATTCTGAAATCTCAACCTGCTGAAACATGTGCGACTGTAATGACGTCAAACACGTTCGCTCTTGAGCTCTTCATGAGGTGATTGATTGTCCATCGCTTCGTGCTAGTACGCTTGCCAACCTTTTGATGAGCGCCAAGACCGGTCTTCTTTGCAATAAGTCTACGTAGCGTCTAGCGCTGCTGACGTGAGTAGCTTTGCACATTGTCCTTCAATACTTCAAGCTACTTTGGAACATCACAGTCTCTTCTTTTGGACCCTTGGAGAGAAACACCAGCGACTACTGGAAGACCTGAATGTGATCAATGCAACAAAGCAGCCATCGGAAATCCACCGCGTCCCAAGGATGCGCGGATCGTCAACACCGCTGCGGTAGGTGCGGTTCTTCTGAATCTCCTGAGGCTGGAGGCAAGACAACAAGAATCAGCCAATTTTACTAGAATTCCAGAGGCTGAATAGGGATCCCCAGGTAAAGGACCTTTATCATGGTGAGCTCGTCATACCCCCAGGTGAGCTCGCCATAAAATAGGCAGAAGAATCAGCCTGATTGACCGGACTGCATGCGCTCTAGTTTGACTCCCTGTCCTTAGCGCCTTCGCTGTCACTGTGCGCGCTGACCTTCTGGGCCTGCTGCATTTCGGTGCACTTTTCGCTTTTACCTCTCGCTTGATCCAAACAAAGCTGCAGCATCACCATCTCAACAGAGTCTTTTTCCGTGCATGTCTGACGCAAGAAGACAGCTTTGGAGAATTGGGCAAATGCGAAGTTCACAACCAGCTCTCCTCACACTTTCCGTACTCAGTAGCAACTCACGTTGAGCTGGAGGGGTGCACATTGGTTGGTCGCCTCTCTTTTCTTGAACTTTTGGTTGGTATTTAAAGGGCAACCAAAAGACCACAAGCATTTTAGGGGACCCAAAGCAACAGCTGGCCCTAAGACTTTGACATGGGGCTGACATGGTTTTGCTATTGGGAATGATGCGCTGCTCAATGTTGCCAGTCGCACATGTGCCACATTGTACACAGGACCGTGGTCGAACCTGTCTTTTTGGAGCCCAAACGACCCTTGGGGAGCACCCCAACTTGGTTCTCAATGGCCGGCTTTCTCAAAATATGAGCAAACACATTGTTCACTGCTCTTTAAAATGGAAACAGAAAAGGACACTAACCATCTTTGCGGGTCGCCTATGTTGAGAAACACGCATGGGGAAGTGAAAAAGCGAAGGATCCTCTTCAACGGGACAATACCCCAACCTAAATCAACCAAGGATTCAGCCTAATCCAGGGTCAAACAATTTTTGACAACCCTTGCAAAGCATCTCCTGTTTCCTTCAAGGGGAAAGTCAGGTTCATTCCAAAAACCCTAAGAACAATTTGTTGGGAGCCCTCTCAAGTCTAGAACCCTGGGGGGTTCTGGCGGTGTTGCCCCCAAACAAAGACTCGAAATGTCTCACCCATCGTGCGCGGATCGAAGTGAGGGCGCGGCTCTCGGAGTACACGGTCCCGACATTGGCGCAGTTGATGACCACCTCGAAACGACTCGTGGCGGTCAGAAAAGCTGCGCAAGGTGATTCTCAGTCGCTGTGTCTGCATCCACTAAAGTGAGACTCAAAATTTAGCCACTAAATAGCAGTTTAAGAAAAACACCCCAAAACTAATTGTCAGCACCCTCACGACATGGTTCTTCAAATTCACCCTGGTGATACTCCACTTTGTCACCTAGTGGATGCTCTTGGGCAGCCTCAACCCTCCTTGGGTGTGTCTCAAAACAGGGGATTTGGGGTTGTCTCAAAATTGGGGAACCCTGAAAATGGTTGGTGACCTTTTGGCTTCCCTTCAAAGCAAACCAAAATAAGGAACCCTCAGCAAAAGCACACACACACACACCCTCATTTGCCACATGACTCGCCGAGGCACAGTTCTGGGCGTCGCTTTGGAAGTTGAAACCTGGCCCAAGCCAAGAGACGACCGTAAAGTTGGAGGGGACGACCAGACCAGTTTCCCCCAATTTCGGCCAACCTTGCAAAAGGTTGAGCCTGCCAGCTTAGAGGTAATACATGGATAACTGTTGTTTTAGCCACACTGCGCACGGAAAACACAAAACCAGTCCGGGAGGAATCTCCTTTCAGGCGCCTCTTTGGGTGCCATCTTAGTTTACAGGGGAGAACTCTCTTGGGTTGCCTCCTTTTGCTTAGGTCCTCTGGAAAAAATATGAAACAATCCAGGAGTGATAGATCCCATTTGAAACCAACGCTAGGAAATAAAACACATCTGAAGCGCAACTGGAAGGTTGGTTCCTTCAAAAACTGAAGGGGGCGTCTCCGCCCCTTTTGAACGGCCGGGGCAGTCCTTCGGCGGCGTGTGCACAGTCTTCGCGGCCTGGCAAAGACCAACATAGGGATGCGGAGCCCTGAAAATCGGCGGATCTTCCTTTCCAAACAAATAGTACCTCAACAAACACACAACGAAGGCCTGATCGGCGCAAAGAAATTTGCCTTGTGGAGGGAACCCGATTTGGGTGACCAGTTGAATGGAGTCTAACAAATGCGTGCCTTTCGGATGATACATGATTGTCATGTGAGCTCCTTCACAACCCCTGATTTTCAGGCGGGCCAGAAACAACCATTATGCGCGCAACTTGAAAGCTGGAAAATGAACCTGAATTGTGGCTTTGTAGTGCAAGTCTAGTGAGCGACGTACATCTCCGCAGCTCCAGCTCGGAAACCATCGGCTCCCCTGGCCAAAGGAATGTACCAACGCTGGGGAACCAAAAAGAACAGAGTCACAAAGGGAAGCCATTCCCCAATTTTCTAGCCTCTGCTGTGATCATCTAGAAACGGCTCGAATCGAGCAACCCTCCACACGCCACAGGACCTGCCTGCGCTGGCGCTATCTGCGCTGCCTGCACTGGCAGCGGCGGACTTGCCTGCGGCTATGCGGCTGGCGTGTCAAGGCGGACCATGATGTAGGGCAACGTGCCCCACCTCTTGGAACTGGAGGTACCCAACTTGCATCTGGAGTAAGGGTAGGGGGTATATGGGGTGTCTTTTTGTCCTTTTTTTGTGGTTTTGAAGGGGAACCAACGGGGGTTCCCTAAAAAACACACACACACACACACATACTGGAATCCGCAAACCAGTTGGGATGGATGAAACCCTATGAACAATTACTTGTTGATAAGCCACCTACCAATTGGTGCACAATTGTGTCCATCCGCGGTAGGGATGTGTCCCAACCACATCTTCCCTGGTACTAGCTACGGGGTATAAAGGGGTATAAAATATGTATGTTGGGAGGTATATGCTTGAGGCACATACCCGAGGTGCATTGTTTTCTCCCTGCCATTCTGTGCGGCCCGACCTAGTGGAAACCTTCCCTAATCGAAAATGACGAACAGTGGCCCTTCGCTCCTTTTTGGGGGATACTCTTCTTTGAGGCTCACGAACAACCGACGATTCGTAGAAATGGCCCATTGCAGAATATGTTCATGCTTTGTGCCTGTTCACTGTTGGTGCGTCTGCTAAAGCGCAAGCGTGAACACAGGCCCTGAAGAATGACTTCTCAACAATTATGAATAGGTCTGAGTCTTGCGTGCTGCTGTGGTTGATCGCGTGCCCAGTCACTAAAAAAACAACTGCAAGTTGCTGACAAGCATCAAGCATCTGTCATAAGAGACACTATTTGCTGAGATGTGAGAAAACCTGAATCTAACTCAAAAAAATATTGGCCGTTTGGAAGGGTCTTTGCATGAGAAACAGGACCAAACTACCAGCATGTGCAATTGGAGAGCGCTGCAATTCGGGAAGGGAGATCTTCGAACAATCAGATCTGGGAATGGTGCAGGGGTGGTCTGCTTGTGAACCTCACGTTGGGAATTTCCTCGCGTTGGGGGCGGGGGAAGTTCAAAAAAGTGAATTTGGGCTCTCATGACACTTTTGAGGCTGGTTTTCCTTCAACCCACCATTCAGTGGGTAAATGTTAGGATGTTACTGTCATGGATAGTCGGTCTAAATATAGAATTGCTGCTGGTTTGCTCCTAGAATCATGACTAAAACATAGTTTTAAAGTGCCTATCAACCAGGGAGGTGTTGTGTGAATGGACGGAATCCGCGCGAATCGGAACCAGTTGGGATGGATGAAACCGTAGGTTGATAAACCACCAATCCCAACTGGTGGGAATCGGACTTTGTCCACAAATTGTTTCAGGGGTAACACTGTGAATGATGTTTGCGCCACCTGAATCAGTATGCGCATTTGCTGCTGGAGGGAAGTACAAAAAGGCGTGGAATCGCATGAATCAACCTACCCTGTCCCCTAACATGGAACAACCTGCCTGAGGGGGCCTGGAAGACTATTTCCTGTAAAGGTGGCGCTCTAGCTAGTGGGTTTCATAGCAATGTGGACGAGGGTACCCCCAAATCTATCGGGGTGATCTCCCCTTTTTATTGTAGTTTGAGGGTCCAGGAACACCTCCATTGCACCCTTTGGTTTATCCCCCCCACATGAGGCACAATCAAAACCCGGTACAAAAAAAATGGTGAACCCAGAACCACGTAAAGGATTAAGAAGGCGGCCGCAGCTATTTAGGGTTGGGATCATCCCCTACCAACCTTCATCTACCCGGGTTTTGATTGTGGCTCACATGGTTTTTGTTTTAATGGATCATTACAGCCAAAACACGGCGGGGCGTCGCAGCAAAGGAAGGCGGCCGAAAACTCGTCGACTGCCTCGGGCTCTTGTTGCGCTTCCTTTCGTTCTTTGCCTCTCTTCGGCTTCTTTTCGGATCTGCCTCACAGGTCGCGCGAAACACCAGCGCCCATTCATTCATTCCCACCTTTCTGAAAATCGAACGATTTAGTTTTTGCCCAAATGGACGTGGACAAAAATCCGTGGCTGCGTTGTGCTCGTTTGAGTCCAGAAACCTGGTAAAGCGGCCTATGCCTACCAAAAGACGTGACAAAGAGTCGAAAGGTTCGAAAGGTTCGAAAGGGACTCTTCCCACATCGATTTATTCTAGGCTGTTCAGTGTGTCTCAGTTGCTGCTTCTGCGCCCATTCAAGTGACATCATTGAATCATCACAACTGACAACTGCCCTCGACATGGTGGTTAAAGGGAACCATCCCCCAAAAACAGATCTTGAAAATGGGTCCCTCAAATGCCACGTTGGAATGTTGTCCCTCAAATCCCTCAAATGGTGGCATTTGAGAATGAGCCCCTCAAATTTGCCACTTTGGACCTGTGGACTCCCCGGCCCCGCCTTTCAGCGCGCGGCGAGCCGTGCGCAGGCCAGCCTGGAGGGGACGCTTCGCCGTGGTTTCGGGAGGCACCGTGCCCACGGAAAAGGCAACAAAAAAAACAAAAAAAAACGAGAATGATTCCCACAAGCGTCGGCTTCCTGCAAGAGTCGGGGGGGGGCGGTGGCGGGGGGTAGGCTTTTTCATTTGACATCAGGGGCTGTGGCCTGCCATTGCGCCGCACTTCGGGTGGGAGCTGCAAGTCCCACCAGCCTCAATTCCGAAATCTGGGGGTGATTCCGGGCCCCCAGTTTTGATCATGGGTAACTTGTCCCAAAAAGAAGGGACATATCATGTTTTGTTCCCAATGGTCATCCTATGTAAAGGACCTTTTCATCAACCTCCACTTGGGTTGGGCGCGTTTTTTTTCCTTCGGGTCGACGCTCCCTAAACAAATAGACAGGTATGCTCGCATGGCACCCAATGTATTTTGTCAGTCAAGTGGGCTCTTGCAAATGGCATCCATGGCCACCTTTCAAACACAGGGAGCAGGCACCCTTATAAGGTCTGCTATCTTTTGGAACAGCTCACGCGCCAAGAGCCAACTTTAACCTCAGCCCTTGCACCCAGCTATAGTTGAGATTCTGCCCCCACCCCAAATTAAACTGGAATACTTCAGGTTTCTAACCCACCCCCCAACAAAAAAATGGACCTTTGGATTCTGGCCACTGTATTGAACCCTCTTCGAAAATGATGACAGAGATCCTAAAACCTTCAAGGGCTTTGGAGTCTTCTTGCAAACAACCTGAAGGTCCCCTAGCTTGAAACATGCTGAAGCAACCTCCTCATTGTTTCCAGCTGCTTGAACAAATTCCGCAACCAACTTACAGGAACCATCAGCGAGTCTCCCGGCACTTGAACCCCTTTCCACGTCCATGGTTAATTGGCTAGGTGCGACTCTCGAAACTCGCGTGGGAACATCTGCGAAAAGCCAAACATGCCGGTCTAAAGGGAGAATGACGGAAACCCGAAGGGCAGGGCAAAGGGTTAGAGGGTATGTGTCTCAAAATTGGATGATTCAAAATGGATGGTGGTTTTCCTTCCGGTCTACCTAAAAACTAACTTCACCAAAAACAAGGTTCCTCAAAAAAGGCACCCACCCATATTGAGATATCTAGTGTTTTCATGGTACTCCCTTCTTCTTTAGTCAGGGCATCAATCCCCAACAAAACGGCGGGTGTCCTTCTTCTTTTGGTCTCAAGGCGAATTAGGCTCCGAGCCGAAGCCATGGCACACGCAAAGTCGTGGCTTTCCTTTTGGCGTCCCCTTAAGACCAACCCAAACGCAGGGAGGGTTCCCTACGGAAAAAGAAAAAAAGAAGGAACAAAAACATGAATCCTGGATCGTGCGATGGCCTCCAGCCGGTCCAAGGACGTCTCCAGCTCCTTCAGCGATGGCCGACTCTGCAGCCGCGCGGCCAGGCTTCGCCCCTCGCTGCGAGAGCCGCGGGGTCCGAAGGGAGGCTGGGGGCCCAGCGAAAAGTCCCAGGGACTATCTGAGGCTACGTGGTAAGCGGTACTTAGCTATCACGAACTTTGCAAGCGGTCTCAAAGGGTACAAAGTCTGGAGCCAAATTACACTCAACATCATTGGTTCGTTGTTAAGCGGTGCTTGGTACGTAAGTGGTGCGTGGTAAGTGCAAGTGCTCTTAGGACTAGAATGGAAACTTAAGTCCACACGCTGGGACTTGGGCCGGACCTCCCGTCCACATACAAAAGGCACGAATTAAATCCAGGGCCCGCTCAGTCAAATCCCATAGATGGAACGGTAGCACGGCTGGGATTTCCTCTTTGGGGGACCTTTGCACATGCCCCACAAGCGGAACAGCTTGTATGTGTGGTCTGCACTTCCTGTTTTGCCCCCTAACTTTGATGTGCGGGTGGGGGCGGGGTGGGGTGATTCCAATGGTCCCTCTCATGTTTGTTTAATCATCACTCCTTTGTTCGGTTTTTACATTTTGACGATCAAAAAACGACTGAGCGCCCAGCTCCAGATCCCGCCGCCTGCTTTGGCGCCAGCGCTGCCTGGATCATCCCACGCGCAAGTTCTGCAGTGTTCATGGATGGGTGTTTTTGGTTCTGGCAAAAATTGCCCTCTGCAGGCTGTCAATAAATAAAGCCCCAGAAGAGAACCAAAATCACTTCCGATCCTATTTTGATGGGAACCCTACTTTTAATGAACACGTGTTCAGAATTCATCTGTCTGTGCACATGTCAACGGAAGCCAAATTGGTAAGGGCATGGATGAGCTGCGTTAAATGCGCCTGGCTGTTTTTTTCTCGTGCGAAAGTCCGTCAGTAGAGCGCAGGTGCCCGACTTCCCGGCCTTCAACTCTTGCGAGGCAGTCTCCAGGGACAACCTGCCACAACCGGTCTCTGACATCGATGTGACGCGTGAGTGTCACCAAATTTATGAGCCCCTAGTATGAACCCGTAGCGTGTGGGTAACATACAGCGGACTTAAAATTTGTTAAAGCTGCAGAATCGGTGTTTCTACTTTTTGGTATGTCAATGCCGAAATGATATCATGACCGTGCTAAATGTTCAATATTACACCTCAGCCACCCCAAGTTGCAAAGCCGGATTTTAGTCAAATGCCTTAAAGTTAGCCAAGCGGCTCGCGCTTTCTGCTCGTATGAGCAAGTTTATCGTCAGCTGCCTGGAAAGACAGCTCTGTCGCAGGCCACTGCGCCCTGAGCCAACAGCTTAGCCTGCAAAGACAGCTCGAAGGCCACTGTCACAGGCCAAATGCCCCGAAAGAGGCGCCAACCGAGAGTGCCATCTAGCTATTAGACTCCTGTATTCGCTATTAGATCAACCACTCGGCGCCAACCAACACAGAAAGCAAGGAGCAGACCAGAAAACAAGCCAAGCAAGTAAGAAGCAACAGGGCCGGAGAAGAGGACGCGCCACAGTGGTGAGGGCACCCCAGACCAAACCACTTGTTTCAGACACGACCAAACCAAACCGGACGACCGACACAGACCACGACTTCATAAGAGACTTGAGGTGGCGGCCGTGGCAATCGTTTAGCTGCTTACTTGTCAAGCGTAGGCTCGTGTCAGAGCGTCAGGTTGGCAAAAGGGGAAAACGTGCCAAAGCCCCACTGTGTAGCTCAACAGCTTGATTGAGTGGCAGCAAACAAGGCTCAAGGGTGTGGAGAGAGCCCAAAAATGGGCTGATGACTCCATCCATAAACGGGTTGACAATTATGCCGAACTCTGCTACGTTGCCAAGCAGAATTCTGGCCGGGAGAGCCAAGGCAAAGTTGGTTCGTCCCGCAGAGCTGCCGTATTTGCTCAGAGCTGTCAGCATCGGCCGGCCCAGCTGTGGCTTGGTCATCCCTCTGCGCACACCTTCCAGTATCTCCTGGTGAGTTTCTCCCCTGAGAAGTTTCGGCACGCACCGCCTAGCCAACCACAAAGCGTGCATCACACTCCGCTGCTCTCTCGCGCATAGCCATCCTTGTCCTTCTCCTGCAATTGTCCACCGGCGGCACTTGTCATCAGAGGGTCACTGCCTACGATCCTACAGCTAATGGCCCTTACACACGCACGTAGTTCAACACCCTTGCCAGTGGATTCTCATCTCCGGGAACTCACCAAAGGTCCCACGCCATTTCCACCATCTGCCGTTCCCAGGCAACAGCAACGGCCGAAATCGGAATTCTCTGCCAGGAGCTCTTGTCGCCTCAAAAATGTAGGAGCCGAAAAATAGCTCCATGACTCCATGACCACATTGACAAATCTTCGCACCGCTCCGAAACTTCGCTACACTCAATACAATGATAATTGTATAATATATATATATACACATAGTTTTGCAAAACTTACGTATGTGGACCAATCAAATCAGCATTCGGCACAAGCGTTCTTGGCCCAACTTGTGGGCAAATCCCTTAGGCGGGGCATGGTCGGGCTTCCTTTGACAGGAGAGTGGTACGTGTGGAAATCGGAGACGCTGACATGAGCAGCGTTCGAAATCTTCGAAAGTTGCCTGGAATGAACATGGCGCAATGCGCGTTTTATCCCTGCGAGTCTCCCGTGTCTCCCAAATTGACCTTTTACGCAACATGTGGGTTTGTCTCAAAGGGGAACCCCTAAGCCTAGAAACAACCCCAAAAAGGGTACCCAAAAGACACTCCCAGTTGACCGGCCTCAGCGGCGTCAGTGCCTGCAGCCTCGGCAACCAAGGGCCGCAGAGGGATTTGCTCCGAGCACCTGGAAGGTCAACCTTCCTTGTCAACCTTCCTTGCGGTATAGGAATCCTTAATGTTGACCCAGGATTAATAAACCCGTGCCATTACTAGGGGGGGTTCCCTCCAAAAGTGATGAATCCCCACCAAAAGGGGACACCCCCTTAATCAACCAGGGGTTTATTAATCCGGGGTTAAAGAATCCAAGAATTATATAGGTCTGAACACTTTAGCTCAGGTGATACAAATGCGGCGCTCGGTTACTCGCCTCACCTCACCTCTCCTCACTTCTCACAAAAAAACGTTTGGGCTCCTCACGCTGCTTGCGAAGCGCTGCTCTTGCACCGGAGCTGCACCTGCGTCACTCATACGCTGCCACTTCGGGACAGGGGGTCAAATTTTTAATCCGGAACTCTCTTGGGAAGCCCCCCTAATCCGCCAGGTTGATTACTGCAATCCATCGACCTCACTCCCAAGGATGGCCGGCCAGTTCTCCTACCAGCATGCTTGACGGCACTTGCGGACGACTGCATCTCTCATACTTGTGGCCACGACAAATCTCAACCGCCCCCCCCAAGGCCTGCTGAGCGTCTGGAGCCAGCGTGAGTGTCTTCGGGATGGAGAGGTATCTGCACCTGGCTCCAAGAAGGCCCCAAAGACCTTCTCCACGGACCCCCGGGCCTCGCCTGTGAATGTTTGGTGGACAAGTCATTATCCAAACCCACGATCAGCAGGTCCAATGGGGATTTACATTCGTGCCAAAAGGCAAAATGACGACCATCCCTGGCAAGCCCATGTGAAAGGGTGCCTTTTGCCATGGCCCGAATGTACAGTAACCGCACAAAGTTCAAAGCCATGCGTACTTGTCCAAGGCTGCTATTCGATGCCAACCACTAAGAAAGGAGCTGTTGACCTTGGAAAATCCGGGTTTTCGGAAATATCCCCTGGCAAAAGGGGGGTGTTTGGAATACATACCTGAGGTGGGAGTGCAAACAGCCAAGTATTCAGATGTGGGCAAAGGTTGGACTGGCCAAAGGTCGGCATAGTGAGTAACAATCAGTCAACATACTCAACAGGTACAGTTAGCACATATGGGTGTGGGTCAAAAATAGGTACCCAAAATGGAACACCTCCGGTTGGTGGTTCAATTTTGACCCATGCCCATATTTGGAGATCTCCCAACTACACACCCCGCGCCAATTTGATGCACGTCACAAGCCAAGCCAGGCGGCGGCGCAGCGTTTGCACGCGGGGCCGCTGCTGTTCAGCTGCCTCCGCGACACCTTGGGTTCGGATTTCGGGGTCTTGGTTTGAACAATTGACGCGGTTCACACAAGGGCTTCCTTCAGCCTTCGAAATTAGCGCACGGGAGCTTCCACACAGGGTGTATTCAGTTAGCCCTTGAAATTGCGAACCATGAGGACCTTCTGGCGGTGATTTATGTCCACCAACAGCTTTTGAAGATTTCCTGGTCAAACTCATAGCCATGTGCGTCACCATTGTTGGGCCAAGGCGTGGGCATTGCCCAAAAACTGCTCGGTTCCCCTCAGAAAAAACCGGAACCCGAGAAGAAACCGCGCGCCGGGCCTGAGGACCTGAGCTCGCCACGTCTGAACGACTGCTCCTGCAGGGCAGCCTCAGGCGGTGATTTCGAAGGCGGGAGGGGTGATACTCGGTTGCGAAATCTGCTCCCCTGCTAAAAGTTTAACTTTTGTGGCTTCATGGAAAACGCATTAGTTGGATAAAAAAAAGTTAAAGTGCTTACATCCAAGCAAAATGCACCAAAGTACCTGAATATGAGCTTGAACTGGAAACGGACCCCTTTGCTCGGCCGCCTTTAGGGATTGATGTCCGCCAACCATTCTTGAGGGTGTGCCATGAAAACTACCCGAACTGGAGAGGAAGTTTAAGTTTCGTTGCTGCTTCCTGAAGCCCGGAACACCGGAACATCTTTGAGGTGGTTTCCCAAGCAACCATTTCTTGTGACATCTGTTTGATGGGATATGGGTGAATGATTTGTGTTTTTGTTGAGGCTCGGAACAAGTTGTCAGTTTGGCCTAAAGGGACGCCAAAGGAAAACCATGCATTTCGCGGGGTCAGAATCCCTATTTTGACACGCACCCATGTGGGTTGTTGGGGTTCGCCCTGTAAAATCTTGGCCCGTTAGCCCCAGGTGTCCTTCTTCATACCGCTGACTTCTCTAAGGCCGGCGCCATCATGAAAGGCTGCGGGGTGCTGGGTGTGACGGGAATATCCTGCCGCACAACATGGCGAACCGGGGGGGCCACCCCCAAAATGGGTGTCTGCCTTCCCCCTGGGTTCCCGTTAAGCCAAGGTGAAAAGCCTCAAAAGACACACACACAAACACATGCACACAAATACGCTCAAACGCACGCACAAAGAAAAAGCACGCAGTAGCTTGGCTTTAACATGGGAAGAAAAAAGGCGGATGAAGGGCCGGGTTACAATCCCTGAAGGAGTAGAACTGGTTCCTGACGGGATCGGGCACAAGCATGTCTGCCGACTTTGCTAAGAAAATTGTGGGAATGTCAGGGGCGAAATGATTACGAATGTTTAGCTCCTAGAATGACTACATGTGGCTTAGGCTTAAAGTATTCCACAACCCCCAAATATTTAAACCCTTGTGTTCGTCAATGACTTGCCAGTTCGTACTGACGTGAAACCCTGTCCAAGATCGAGGCTTCCGCTGTCTTCCACAAGCGGTAAGAATTCCTCCCCAGCCAGACTGCCTGATGGCATGAAGCGAAGATGCTCGAGAGGTCGGCTGCCTGTAGGCAAGGAATGACTTGACGGCCGGTGTCCAGGTGCACACGGCTACATTTCTTTGTCCCAATGCACTACTATCATGTCCCAAGCAACCATTTCAGCCGGAAACCTCTTTTGCCATGAGTCATTGCGAAGTTTGCTTCCCAAATTGAGAAGCTTGTGATCCCGTGACCTCCGCACGTTATTTCCATGCAACTGAACAAATGAAATGGTCTTTGGGGAGATATGGCCCTCACCCCCCCCCCCCCCCGTAAATTTCTCTGATTCGGACTCGGGCTCCCTGCAAACAGTTGACTTGTTGTTCCCGCATCTTGATGTTTGGTAATGTGGCGGGACTAAGTTGGACGGTGAACCGGTGGACGCACAAGAAAACAAACCTCAAGCACCTTCGCTTGGCAAGATCTGCCCCGATGACTCGGAAACTACAAGTAGGAACATGACCGTGAGGTATGAGCGCATCGATTAACTTGAAGATGGTGCCTAGGAAGCGCTTCCTAGGCGCTTCCCGAGCGCTTGCCAAGCGCTTCCTAGGCGCTTATCCGCTTTCTAAGCGGTGTTCAAGGTAGCTCTGAGTGCGGGAAACGAGGAAGATGGCGATCTCAAAGACAGAAGAGGCTGGCTGCAGCGAATGTACCGTGCCTGAAATTAGGTGTTGAAGGAAATCGGAAGCTCAAAACATGACTGGTGAAGGCAGCCAAAGAAAATGAAATTAATGCAACTAACCGTCGCTGCAAAATGCTGGTGGATGGTGAGGGGCCACCCAGCATCCTGAAGCCGCACCACATCCGCGAAGAAGGCGAGCAAGAAACCACTACGAGTGTCCCAAGAATGAGGGGCAAGGTCCGGCATAGTTTAGCGCACGGCAATCACGGGCAGGATCTTCGCACATGCCCGTGGCACAGGGGACAAGGCCTGGAAGGGGCACGAAAGCAGGTGGTATGGGTCCTGCCTCCAAGATAGCCAGAACTGGGGCTGGATGCCTCAAATCTGTCACACAGCAAGGTGTAGATCACAAAACCAAGCACAGAGAAGCTGCAGAAGGGGAACTGACTGCATGAAGTGGCACCGGATCATGGACAAGGAAAGGTGCGAGAGCAAAGTGGGCACCCAGGTGGCGTGTCCATAACACTCTCTGCAGATGCAGGACACCTAAAGAAGGCAAGGGCTTAGAGCGGTCTGTCAAGTCCGATGTACTTCGGTGCGGATTCCCAGAGCTTCCTCCGGCGTTTTGTTTCCACAGCCAGAAGCAAAACTCAACACAGGACTTGGTCCCACCATGTCCCAGCAAAATGGTTGGATTTATTTTGGTTGCCCAAAATGCTTGGATTCCTTTTGGTCCTTCGAACAAAAGCTCGCCCCTCCTCCAGCAGCTGCACCAGCTGGCGCCCCACGCTCGATGCATCCAGCGCCTCAATGGTCATGAGGTGTTCCCACCCCTCCAGGTTCCCTCGTTTAGGGCGGTTTGCAAAGAGGCCGCAAAACACTTTCTGACCAGTGCTCGGGTGTCTGGGGGTATCGTTTCCATTTTGGAGCCGTGAAACGGTGCGGGCCAACGGGGCCATGGTCTTGACCACCCATATGGTCATCCGACTGAGGACCTGGCCACGGTACTCCCCACCTGCAACCCGGCGACCCCCGAAGGCCGGAAGTTCGTGTCTGGACCCTCAACCCCCACAAAACACAGGGTTCCCGCCGCCCCAATATGGGGGTTACGCCTTGCTCCTTCAAAGGCCGGACCTTCGGCTCATTGCCTTAGGACCTCCAAGTGGGGTTTTGCTTCTCTTTCCGGTGATCAGATAGTAGAACCACATACTCAAGTGGCCAGCTCATCTCACCCCGGCCTGCTGCTTTAAGCATTCCGCTTCACTGAGGATGCTCTGCAAGACCTGCGAAAATCGGAGGAGTGCTGGGGCGGCTCAGGTCAAAGAGCAAACGGGGGGGGGGGTTCCCCTTGTAGTGGGGAATTCAGTCATTTTGGGGCTTCCTTGGATCAGGATGGTCAAATTCCGAATTGGAAATTTGGAATTCCCAAGTAAAGGAGGTCTGTCATAATTTGTCCAGAAGGAAATGGCATGGGTCTCAATCAACAGGCCTCAGGATGTGTAAAAGTTCAACCTGCAAACGGATGCGACCAAAGGACACTGTCCTTTGTTCCCCCCCCCTTCTTGTCCGGAAAAATTGGCTGTCCCCCCATGTCCTCCCCCAATAGAATAAATAAGCCATAGACCCGCCATTTAGCTCGGGTCCCCGTTGGATAGGTGAATACAAGTTAATTCCAAATAAATACATAATATTTAGAACTTAGAATGTCTTCAAACATAATTGATGGATATAACATGATTTTATCTAAATAATGTTTACCAAAGGATCTTTAAACTTCCGGATGTCTTGCTATGGCCCCAGCTGAGCCTTCGGATTCTTCGAGGACGCCGGCCGGGTGGACTTCTCCGACTTCTGCAGCCGCGTCTCGACCTGACCGCCCCAAGTTCCGGCTGCGGCCTTTGCCATTTGGAGCCACAATCACAGGGCCATGGGTCAACAGCCAAATCGTACCCAGTGAAGATCCCAATCCAACCACTAAAATAGGCTCTAAAATGGGTGGTGCGCCTACCCCAAAATGGTACCATTGGTTTTTGACCCACAGCCACATGCTCACGCCTGCCCAAAAGGAGACTTCCCCCTACCAAAAAGAGGATGAATCGCTTTTTGCTTCAAGCAAACTGACCCAAAACGGACACCAAAGAGCGGGCGAGGAAAGCAAACACACATATGCCCCAAGAAACAGGCGGAATGTAAACTAATGTCCCTTCTAATATAAGGGGCCTTTTGATTACTAATAGTTCCCCCTGCTGCGGATGGACAAAATCCTGCACAACTTTGAAACCATGGGAAACCATGGTTTGTTGGTATTTACAGGCGAATCATCATTCCAGGGTTTCTTATGTGGTGCAGGTTTTCGTCCATCCACAGTATGACTAAATTGGGTTTTGAAGTATCCAGTAGTTTAAGTGTCAATTGTTTGTGGGTGCGTTTTGTGAAGGTGCTCGACGGGGTGACATTTTTTAGAGGACCCCAAGAACCTTTTGGTCTCCCGTTCCAACCTTGCAAATATACTTCCCCTCTTAGAAACTAGAACCCACACATATGTATATGTATAATATATATATATATGTATGTATGTATGTATGTATAGATTATAGATGGATATCTTTCAGCTATCGGGGAAAAGAATCTGCCACGCCCATCCGATCGATCCGTCGCCTTCTTTTGCAGCAGCTTGGCGTTGGCCCGTGCCACCTGGCTGCCGGCATTGGCCACAGACAGCAGCCAGCGCCTCGTCCTCGCGAAAACTCCCACCGGCAACGGCAGAGGTGCCATCCGGTTTCTCCGCCCCCACGGGTTGGATCAAAAGGTCCTTTACATGGCAGTACCGGAACCCACCAAATGAGAGGTTCCACTGAATGGAAAAAGTTACTCATGGTCGCTTGGGGGCCACGCCACGTGTTGTTGATTCTCAGCAATGAATGAGGGAATCACCCCTATGAGCCATTCCCAAACAGAGTTTCTCGGGGATCCAGTGGTTCACACCTCTTGATTCCCCATTGAGACCAACAAGACATTGGGTGTGTGTTTTTGGAGAGGGTAAGGAGATATACCCGCGACATAAAAATACGACTGGTCAAAAATGGCAGCCTGGCAAATGGAAACATGGACTCAAATCTGTGGTCCCCTGGTTAAATTTTGGCCCATACCCATATGCCTGGACCCTCAAACTACCTTAAAGGGAACCATACACAATATGCGCAAAAGGGTTCAAGATGATCTTGGGAGTTTCTCCAAATGGATTTCGGAAAAGCACCCGTGGTAGTAAAAAAAGGGAGAAACCGCTGTCAAATTGGGAAATGGACCGAATCCTATTTCGAGAGACACCCGTTGGAAGAAAAGCAAACTTTCATCAACCTTCAAACAAACTACCCTTACAAAGGGCCCCCGCCATTGGGGCGATATTCCAAAAACCAAGGAGCTAAAATGGCTTCCACCCCCAAACCCAGGGGTTTCCTGACAGAAGAGCACCAAAACCTAGGAAGAATTCGAACGGAAACTTGCTGTATCCATTTTGGGGGCACGTCCGCTACCAACCGATTTACCCGAATTGGTGTATATATATATATATATATCCAAAAAACTCAACGGCTCAACAATGGACATTGGCCCTAACGTAAGGATTGGTAGGGAGAGGGATGAAATCAACATCATGTACCGACCCATCGTCGAGGGTGTTACAGTGTTCCCCTAAAGCAGAAAAATGCGCACTGGGCATGAAAATGCATGAGCGATTCGGCCCCCTGGTTCTTCTTGAAACTTCAGGTCATCACATGTCCGGTCCCGAACCTCAACGGGATACTTTGCAAATTGCCTGGAACACCCAACCGCTGGTACCATTTCTGGGAGCCAAAGGGAGGTTATTTAAATTATGGGTGTGGCAGCAGGAAACCAGGGGTTGAACAGCCCAACCCTGGTGCTAGAAACAAAAGGGGGGCCCCGAAAGACACCAGATCGCCTGGAGAACTCACAAGGTTTGGGCAAATTACTATCAAGAGGATGACTGAACCTAAATGAGGGGCATTGTGCCGTCTACTTTCACTACCCACGGTAGTGGTAGGCATTGGCTGTCACACATGGCTGTGGGTCAAAACCAGTGGTACCATTTTGGGGTAGGTGCACCACCCATTTCAGTCTATTTTAGTGGGGATTGGGATGTTCACTGGGGGTACGATTTGGTTTTTGAACCATGGCGGCCACATTAGCATTTGCCACCATTCTGCATTCTATTACAAACAATACAAACCTGAAACGGATCGGTGAGCTCGCTATACTGTCGGCTTGTCGTTGGGGGCCATTGACCCAGTCTCTGTCATTGCCAGGCTGCGTCACTCCGTTTTCGCTGGAGGCAACTTGACCTGAGAGTCGACGTTGCCGCCAAGAGGCATGCCCCCCCCCCAAAAAAAAAAAAATGGTGTACCTCTGTTTCCATTTCACACCACCGCAAAAATGGCCCCGTCAGGAAAAGATGCACGTGCGCCGGAATTCATGCGCTCGCTGTCGAACACGGAAATATGCTTGCAAACTCGAGCGCCGGGCGGAAGATTTCCAGGAGCGCCGCTGTGACTTCCGGATTATGCCTTCAGTGCGCGCGAGATCCAAGGGTGGTTCAAGAAGAAACGTCCCAATTTTTGGAACGGGAACCATAGGGTTCAAACCAAGCTGGAGCACATGTTTGAACCCTCACATACATGTTTTTAGAAGAAACTTGCCCCCTAAACATTGGCCCGAAACAACCGGAGCAATCTGACGAATCCAAAGCTCGAATTGCAACGTCTTGCGATGCTGGTGATGCTCGTAGTGATGGCGATGCCGCTCATGATCAATGTGGATCACGCAGGTGCTTCACATGCAAAAAGTCAGGAACTGCAAGATGTTTCATGCAAGTGATGCGTCTGATGCGAGTGGTACAAGTACGTTATGCAAGTGGGGATTAAACAGCAAGCAAACTATCTCTCTCTTCTCTATGTCATCACCAATTCCTAATCCAAATGAGTTAACAGGTGATAAAGGGAATGTGTACTTGATTTCATTTTTATATTAATATTTGCATTGTTTGTAAGCTCTTGAATTGGTTGGGAGCTGAGGATGGAGAATGGGAAAGACTCAGCACACACCATTCCATTCCATCCTTATCTTCTCCTTACTATTCACTGTCCAGAAATCCATCTATTGGGGATATTATTCTCTGAGCTGTCCTTATCTCTTTTCTTTTACATTTCTTCTCTTTTTCTAGTACTTGTTCATCTTAAATTAATTTGGAAGATATAATGCTTAATAGCTGATAAAAGACTTGTAAACAAAGCAAGTAATATAAGATAATAATTGTTTAACCTAAGATAATTCATTTTGATAATTCTAAAGTTGTAACGACAATGTGAGAGAAATAGAATGAAAAGATGGGAAAATAAATCTCACTCACTTATATATTGTCCTTTCCATATCTTGTTTCTCGTGAATTAGATCCATCATTTTTATTACCTTTCATTTCCTTTTTTAATTTCATTCACTTTAGGATTCATCATATTATTGTCTATCCACATCTTTTATTATTTATTCCTAATCCTATTTACAAGCTTTTATTATTATGGAAATTCCTAGATTTTTAAAATATCCAAAATGTAATGAAAATAAAAAGAAAAGACACACAACATAAAAAAGAAAAGGAAATGATATCTTCGTTCCTCAGCCTGTCCATAAAGACACTTTTCTATTTCTCTTTACTTCTTCTTTAGAATTACTTTATTTTGGAAATCATTACATTTAGAAGTTACATCAGAATCATTTTGTTGTCTTATTAAATTTCTATCTTATTAATCTTTGCAAATATTATAATTCTATTTATCTTTACAGGATTCAATATTTATTGTTGGACTGGAATTCACTTCTCATAGAATTATTTTCTTATATTATTTCATCTTAATTTATTATTTATTTATAGTTTTCATATTTGGTCTAGAGATTTATCTAAAAAATATGAAGTCTTATTAATACAAGCAAGCAAGCAAACAAGCAAACAAGCAAACAAACAAAGCAACTAAGTCACTCACTCACTCGACTCAACTCAACTCAACTCAACTCAACTCAACCTCCAAAAACTCAACTCACCTCACCTCACCTAACCTCACCTCACCTCAGCTCACATCACATCACCTCACTCACCAACTAACTACCTACCTACCTACCTATCTATCTAACTAATTAACTAACTACCTGACTGACTGACTGACTGGCTGGCTGGCTGATTAGCTAGCTAGCTAGCTAACTAACTTACTTATCTACTAACTTCCTAGCTTACCCAACTAACCAGCCAGCCAGCCAGCCAGCCAGCCAACCAACCAACCAACCAACGGTAACTAACTAACGGTAACTAACTAACTGACTGACTGACTGAATGACTGACTGACTGACTGACTGACTTACTTACCTAGCTAGCCAACTAGCTCTTAAACTCCACAACTCTTAAAGCTTGCTCTCGGGTGTTGTCGGGCAGCGTGCTGCCGTTGCCAATTTGCGCTGGGCTCCTTTGCTGTCTCTCGGATGTCTCTCCGGATCGCGATGGGTGCGTTTAGAGCGCTGTTGGTCACCTGGAACCTCAGTCACCACACACCCACTAGCTGTTGTGAACAAAAAGGGGCACCTTGTAACCCCGCCAAAAAAGTTGGAGACAAAAGGTGTCGTTTTTCATGGTACCCTTTTTGTTTGTTTCGAGGAAGACCAAAGGGAAGCCAGCATTTTAGGGGTTCCCTATTTTTTAGACACGCCAGGTTCGCTTTCAAAACACACAAAAAGTGCCCGTTGAGAAAGTGATGTTTAAACTGGCGTGGAAGGGAAACATGGGGGCCCTGTTGGAGATGGTTCTTTGGGAAAAGAAAAACAAACAGGTGACTCCCTTGCAACTATAGGGACATGCTGTTTTCGAATTGTGGCCTTCGGCCGCCCTTAACAGAGGGCGGGGATGTTTTGTTGTCTACAGATCGATCAAGTCGCCTCTCCATTTGCCTGAGATCCGGACTGCCAAGTTTCATGGCCCAAAGCTGCTTCGCCGAAGCGGCTCGCCATGCATTGCCGCGGCAAAATTTCAAACAGGGACCCACAAAACGATTGGCGTCCTCTTGGTTTGCCCTTAAGCCAACCCTAAAAATGGTACTCTCAACAACAAAAAACGCGCCCAGATCAACAGATGCCGTGAATCGCCAAAGGATGGCGCACCTTGAGCAAATTGGTCCGCGCAGGTGAGCCAACCGCTGAGTTCCTGGTTGAGATCCTGAACTTCAGTGATATCTGGAGGCCTTGGCCCGTGATTCCGTGATTCGCACCCAAAACCGATGGATCTTTGGCGCCATGGGCTCAGAAAGGTTGAGGCCTACAACCCTCCATGAAGGCATACGTCGCTTTGCTGTGGAGCATTCATGGAGGCAAACTCCCCAATATGCTATCTGTGCTTGATTCCCCAAGTATTCAAAGCAACACCGCAAAACGCAACTTGAAACAAAATAGCGTGACCCCGAAAGGGCAACCAAAAGTAAATTGGGAAAACGCGAGACAGACAGAGAGAGAGAGAGTGTGTGAGAGAGCGAGAGAGAGAGAGGGAGAGACAGCAAACACGAGAAAGAGACAGAACAAAAGAAAAGCAAAAAGGACAAGTAAAGAGAAAAAGAAACAGAAAAAAAGAAATGGAAAGCGAAAAAAAAAAGATAACAAGAAAGGAAAGAAGGAAAGAAGGAAAGAAGGAAAGAAGGAAAGAAGGAAAGAAGGAAAGAAGGAAGGAAGGAAGGAAGGAAAGAAAGAAAGAAAGAAAGAAAGAAAGAAAGAAAGAAAGAAAGAAAGGAAGAGTACCATGACCCCCCCAGATGGCCCCAAATACCCGCCAAAAGTGCTTCATCCGCCACAGATTCGAATCAAATTCGATCGGCGCACGGCTGATGGGCTCGCAGCTCCTCCGCCAGGCCGTCCAGGCGTTCCAGGTGCCGCAACCTGGGCCACGTGGGAAGCCTCCAAAAAGAGCTTGTGGCACCTTTCCTGCCACCGGGGGACCGCACGTCTTAGTCCTTGGCTCCATTTACCAGGGTTCCATTTTGGGTACCTATTTTTGACCCGCAGCCATTTGGGTAAGACCCCTGGAGAAAAACATATGTCCAGTGGTGATAGGTTCCCTTACAACCAACAAGGGAAAAAAACACAATGTTCTTAAGCAAACGGAAGTTTCTGGGATTAGCCTGAACCAAAAACGATGGAAACAAAGGAGTCTGGTTCAACATCAGATTCCTTTGTTAAGGTTGGCATGTGAAACTCGCAAAGTAATCTGGTTCAAAGTCAGCTACATTGCAACATCGACTTCTTGAAACCAGGGAGCAACCCTGCAAAACGTGACACTTCGTGAAGGGTTAAAGGCCCAACCTTTTTCCGGATTCGTTGCAGAAGGGGTGTTGTCCCCCCTTCGGATCCGTCGATCTCACGTCTAGACACCTTGTTCCATTGAGCATGTAAAAGGGTTCTCAAGATTACTTTTGGAACCCGGTGTAAACCCCTTTCAGAGGGTAGGTACCTTCAGGATATCACTTTCCTGGATCCAGAAATATGCGGTTCCCGAAACGGATGTGGACAAATGAAGCCAAGTCCGAACGCAAAAAACTGGACCCACCCAGCAGAGAAATGGATCTTCATGGGTAGCCTCATGTTAGACCTTATTTTGGACTCCGTGCTGCTCCGCTGCCGCTTTGGGCGTAGCGCGCCGACTCGCCGAACCGCCGCTCAGCCGCCACTCAGGAGGCGAAGCACCACCAGCGGCTGTCCGGCGGCAACCGGCGCGATGAACCTGCGCCACTGCGAGCAAAACGACCAGGTGGCTCAACGTCAGATGTGGAAACCCAGAAACCCAACCCTCCCCCGGCGAAAGTGGCGGCAAGGAGGGCCTAAAAACATAGAAATGGGGTCGTGGACTCGGTACTAAACCAAATTTGCTCATGTTAGGGACCAACTATTATTCAGCTCCTTATATTGGCTTGTGCCAAATCAAGGGATCCCCCAAAATGGGCGGGTTCCATTTGTTTCTCTCTAAGGGAACGGCTGCTCATGTAAAGAAAACGCACACAACCCCACCCATGGCCACTCCGCACCAGACCCCGACCGCGGTCTCCTCCCAAGCTGTGCTTCCAGAGCCAAAAGGTCCGGGAGCGTTTTCAGCTCCTCGCCTGGCCACAAGTCAGTGCAAAAGCGACTCTGAGACCCTAAAAATGAGTGGTTGTCCTTTTGGTTTCAACCGACATGTCAACCAACCACTAAAAAAGAGAGAAATGGCACCAACCCAAAAGCAAGCCCCAAAACGGGCAACACACAAATGGTCCAAGCAGAGGCCTCCTTCCTCAGGTTCTAGAGGCTAACAAGCATTAGGATTGGGGGTGACCAATTCGTTGAATGGGTTCGGCCGAAATCAGATGCGAAAAGTACATAAGAATGTCCCTTCGCGCTAGCAGTCTAAAAATCTGCTCAAATTGCACCAGCATAGACCCCGAAAAGCAAGGGAGATTGCAACAGCACCCTCTGCGTCGGCAAACTAGCAACTGCCTTTGCGCCTGGGGCCCATTTCCGTTTATCACTACCACCTGTCCCAGAGATCCAGGATGAAGTGATGGGAAAGGGAAGAGACAAGTGATTCCCATTCCTCACACTCTCCTTCTAAGCCCAGAATCTGTGAACAGAGGCTTGGGTGTGAGGAATGTGACCGCTGCAAAAAGAAAGAGGCAGCGGATACAGAGATCTAATCAAGGCCTAGGTGAATGAGTGAGTGATTGTCCTTTACCATATTCCCTTCCCAATCTTACCGCTCACTCATATCATTTGCTTTCATCCCTATGGGGCCGGACCCATTCCTTTCCATTCCTTTTCTTTATCCCTCTATCTCAGACCAAGAGATAGGTGAGGGATAAAGAAGGAACGGAATGGGAGGTGAGTGGTCAAGAGTGGGCTGGAAGACACTAACCTATGGACCAGCCCGACCACTTACCTCATCTCCATCTCTTTAACCTTTCCATCATACCTCCCATAATCTCAGGCAAAGAATCGAGGTATGAGATCATGAAAGGTTACTACGGGAAAGAGGTGCGTGTGAGGCACGAGGAAACAAAAGAAAGAAAATCACTTTGGGATCTTTTCATACCCCTTCCTCATTTAACCGGCCTCACTTATAGAGACTTGGATGGGCTGGATCTACCGCTCGGTCGTTGTCTCCCTCTCTCCCTTCTATCTCTCTAACTCTCATTGACAGGTGAAGGAAAGAGTGCTGAGAGATAGAGAGTTAGAGATGAAAGGAATGGTATGTGATTGGCGAGGTCCCAGAGGCTAAGAGATGAAAGTGCCAGGCGAGAGAAAGGGAAGTAGAAAGTGACTCGCCTGCTCATCATCTCTCTCCTTCTGCACACACCCCTGATAGGAAAGGACAAGGTGTGATAAGAGAGAGAGAGAGAGAAGGTAAGCCAGCCTTCACACGGCTGGGTCTGTCTTCATGGATTTTACGAGAGACGAAAGGATGAGAAAAAGGAATGGAAACACAGGGAAAAGAGATGTGACATCATATCCACTTCATTCTTGTTTCCGAGATTATGATGTCCTATCTCTTCCTCTCCTCTCTCCCTAACTCACTTCTCTATCCTTCATGTCACCTATGTCTCTGTGAGACATGAAAGGCACCCAAACAGCACCCTGGCCAACACCAGCAACAGAACCCGAGACACCACCCTGACACCACTCTTACTGCATTCCCAAACAAGCACCGCCAGAAACCACCACCTGCCTGCATCGCCAAACAAGCACCGCCGGCAACTGCTTTCGCACCTTGAGCACGCCAAGCAACACCCTTAGCAACACCTCTAACAGCACACAGGCTGCATCGCAAAACAAGCACAGCACCCGCAACAGCATTCCTGACAGTATCACAAAACAGGCACCGCCAGCAACCACCACGCCACCCTGACCAGCACCTGTATCACCAACCTGGCCCGCACTCACAAAACACCCCATGACCATCCCACTGACCCCAAGAGACATGCTACGAAAAAATCCTACCCCAAACAAGTGGAACAGGAACCCCCCCCGAAAGCACATGAGGGCGCCAAATGACACCGGGAAATGCCAGGAAACTATGTTGAAACCACTGGATTGCATCCATGTTGAACCAAAACTGACCAAGAACAACCGCAACTGGAAGAACAACATCTGACCGAAGGCGCCTGAGATCTCGCGGAATTGCAGCCGATGGAAGAAGCCCAGCTTGTTCCGCAGGGTGAGCGCATAGATCTGCCTGCCGCAGGCCAAAAAGAAACACTCAAAAGAAGGCCTTCCGGAATGTGAAGAGAAATCATTTTGTTGGTGATTACTTGAGGAAACAAGGAGCAATATCGCCCCGCTTTTGAGAGGCCAAAAAGCCCCAAACGATGGTGTTCTTGAACCGGGTGACAAGGGTACCGACTGAAACAATCATCGCATGGGCTATCTCGGTCAGGTTTTGGGCTGCGTCTCTAGCGCGCGGCAGCGCGTGGCAGCGCGTGGCAGCGCGTGGCAGCGCGTGGCAACCTGGCAGCGCGCGTGACAGCGAAAGAAAAACACGCTTGACGAGCAGCCGCCTGCTCAGCAGCGCGTGGCAGCGGCAGCGCCTGGCAGTGGCAGTGGGGCTGGCAGCGCTGGGCGGTTGCTCGGCGTTTATATAGCATGGAGAGGCGTGGCTTGCCGTTGCTCGTGTTGCCGGGAGCTAGTACCCCGACTTGCAGCGGCATTTTTCTCAATCGCAAAAGCTTTTCGGGTGTTTGTAGGACTGGCTGACAATCGCCTTGCGTCACTGGCTTGGTGTCAGCACAGAGTAATTCTTTGGAAGGCCTTCATTGATCAAGATCGCTCAATGCAAATCTTGGTTCTCAGGCAAGCTGAGAACAGCAAAACTTTGAGTGTTGGGGAACAAACAAGTGCGTTGCGGCAGCTATTCAGCAGCTGAAAGCGCTTACATATCGGGGAGCTGTTGAGTAGACAAGCAAAAAACCTTGCAGTAGGCTTGCCTTTTCATGCGCTGTCTTAACTTGCTAACGAAGCTGGCACCCTGTATTCCACAGCTGGTTGGTCAAGAAGAAACTGCAGCACAAAGCTTCTAAAAGTGCAACACAGGATTTGTTAACTCACGGCCTTGTCATACATGAGGAAAATTAAGGCTAAGTCTTGCGCAACACGCAGAGAATCTACGACATGAAGCAAGGCCGGCCAACAAAAAAACATGGCCGGCAACCGGCCCCAATCTGACCCTCACCCCGAACCCTCCCAAAAAGCATGTTTTGCAGCCCCAAGAAACTGAAAACGAAGCATACCCCAAAGATTCCTTGTAAGATTACGGCTGGAAGCTCCAACTCTTGCAAGTCGACCAACTCTGTGCAAAGTAACGCTGGCCTGTCTGTACAAGGGAATGTCCAAACTTGAGCGCGTTCGTGGGGTTTGTTGGTTGCATACCCTGCAAACGCGCTCGGTGCCCTGCCGAGCTCTTTTTGGGGGTTGCGAGGCCAACCACAAGCCGCAAGGGCGGTCATCAGTACCGTAGGGCCACTCCTCCAGACGTGCAAGTGTAGCTTGCGTCCAACCACCTCTAGCGGCAAACTACCCGTTTGCACTCTGTCTACGGAAATGCGAGAGTGGATCGAAGTGGGCACGCGGACTACACAGCCTGCAAATCAAGACGCATTCTTTCATCATTGCATACATGAATCCGTGCGTCACCTTTCAGCGCATGTCGAGTAATTAGGCGCCTGCGCGCACTGCCGACGACAAGCCAAGCAAATGCTGCACGCACACTTCAGTGAAAAACACGCTTGCGCTAGGGGCCACCCACGGCCCAATGACCATGATGAGCTCCCTCAAACCAGCGCTGCCTACCCGTCAGCAAGGGAGTAGCCACCTGCCACGGCGAGAGGTGTTTTCAACAAAGAACTTAGCCGCACGTTTCGCCAGCTGACGCTACAGGATAGCCGTATTGAGATGGCCATGACGGTTTGCCGCTTCATCCAAGGCTGCAAACGGAAAAAAGGAAAAAGCAGCAACGCAAGGCTCAACGTGTGATTTTCCGGTTCTTCCCTTCGTTGAAGGCTGAAACCATGTGCAACAGCAACAACGCAGGGCAACATGTGAATCTCCGCTTTTTCCCTTCATTCAAGGCTGAAGCCGGTAAACTGGAAAAGGCATAATGCAGGGCTCAACGTGTGATTTTTCGGTTCTTCCCTTCATTCACGGCTGAAACCAGAAAAATTGAGGAAAAACACAACGCAGGACTCGATGAAACCGGAGAATGTGCAAATGCAACAATGCAGGGCTCAACATGTGATGTTCTGGTTTTCCCCCTGCCTTCAAGGCTGGAACCGGAAAATTTGCAAAACACAGCGACGCAGGGCTCAGCAACGTGTGAATTTCCGGCTCTTCCCTTCATTCAAGGCTGACCCGGAAAATCGGACAAAGCAACAATGCAGGGCTCAAGGTGTGAATGTCCAGTCCCTATCTTCCTGCAAGGCTGAAACCGGAAAATGTGCAAGGCTCAACGCGTGAATCTCCGGTTTTCGCATTCAAGGCTGAAACGCGAAAATAGGAAAAGACAACAAAGGGCTCGATGAAACCGGAAAATGTGCAAAAGAACAATGCAAGGGTTGACGTGTAAATTTCCTCTTGTTCCCTTCCTTCCGGCTGAAAAAGGAAAAGTTGAAGAACAAAAGCAAGAATGCAAGGCTCAACGTGTGAATCGCCGGTTCTTGTGTGAATTTCTGGGTCTTCTGCTTGTTCAAGGTTGAAACCGGAAAATAAGGAAAAGCATCAGGGCTCAACGTGTGAATTTCCGGTTTTTCCCTTGGTTCAAGGCTGAACCCGGAAAATGGGACAAAGCAACAATGCAGGCCTCAACATGGTTTTTCCTTCATCCCAGGCTGAAACCGGAAGACTGGAAAAATGATGAGCAGAAGTCCGCATCCCTCCAGCCACTGCGGCGGCACTTCAGCAACGCCCTGGCCGACTGATTGTGGGAAATACCGAACTTCGCGTTGTTTCAACTTGCTCTGCCCTCCATTGTCACCGAGCTTGGTATATTCCAGACAGGCAAGGCGAAGAATAGCGCAACCGAGGACGCAAGGGCTGGTTTCATGTTTCACGGAAACGTTGGAAAATGCATTGGGCGCAACCTCATCCTGGCTAAAGCGGTGATACAAGCAAAAGAGATGCGACATGAAATCATTGTGGAACAGGCCCCGGCTGTCGAGATTGGGGCAGATGTTCCGTGACAAGCTCCTTCTCAAAAAATGCAGGTCCCAAAGGCATGCTCGAGGGAGCTCTTTCCTATTTTCAGGATGGGGCGCTCTGTAAGTTTAGACGGAAGTAAAGAGGAAAGCCGACTGAGAGCCAACCGCACCACACGCACCCGTTTGACACTCGCCATCGCCCCGGATTTGGCGAAGCGGGTCCGACGCTGGCATGATGGAGGAAGCGGTCACCTTCTCGCGCCCGCTGATCTTCAGCATGCCAGCTTGCCAAGCACGGTCGGCGACAGCTACTTCTCTGGAGTATTCTGCAATCTCTGAAGGGATGGATGAAGCACAACAGGCAGCTCGCTCTTCAGCTGAAGTGGCCTGATTGTGTTGGACTGTTGGTATAGCCTCCGACTTCAACCCCAGCTGCCAGAAACTTGAGCGCGAACACACTTGTGAGATGAAAGCAGCTGTGGCAGGTGATGAGCTTTGAAGATGCATGGGCTTCTTCAAAGGCGGAGCAGTCAATTTGCGCTTGTTGGGCAACTTGCAAGGACTCTGTGCCACAAATTTTATGGGTCAACTCCACGTGTTGCCAAAGCGCAGTTAACTTGCTGAATTTTCGGGGCCTCCTTTCAACAATCAAAAAGTACGCTCCCAAGCAGGTTGCCATGGAACCCGCTAAAAGGCCCCCCAAACCGGGACCCCCAGTCAGGTTCCGTGGCAGTGGCCGCAAGGGCATGCTGCTTCACAACTGTCTGTTTTTGCAGCTTGCTCAGAAGTTGTCCTGGCAAACGCCAGCGCAAGCAAATGTTCCAGGCACACGGCTTGAACATTGCCCCTGTACCAACATGGCTTCGGCCTCATTCACAGCGTCCCATTGTTTAACCGCGGTCAAACAGAGTTTGGCCGTGTCTGAATCAATTGCAGGGCATGCCACTTTGGGGGGTGCAGGCTCCACTAAAGCCCAATTAGCTGAATTCCCAAAGGGTGGTGGGATCAGTGGCTTCGTTGTTCAGCCGGCACTTCTTGACCAGGCCGGCAAGCCGGAGCTCTGGCAAGCCGTCAAACCGCTGAAGAAGGCGCTCGTCGCGGAAGTGAACGGTGAAGGAGGGAGTGGTCTTGCCCAACCGTTGAGCCCAAGGCACCTCAAGGTCACAGCCATCCCGCCTTCGAAAGCTTTCAGGGTTGGTTTTGGCTCTTTTTGACAGGTTGGCTGGCTTAAAGCTTTGCTGACGTTTGGTGGTTTGAAAGAAAACCAACCAAAAACCCAAATCCAGGCCGCACCTTATCACCGGCGGCTTCGGGCAGCACGTGAGGGAACCACTGCGGATCGTTCTTTTCTTCAAGCGAAGGAAAACCAACCAAAAACCCAAAACCCGGGCCTGCTGGAAGAACACGCGGCCTCAGGTGTCACAGCACCTTGAGGGGAACCACTGGGGTTCGTCTTTTGTTGAGGAATACCCGGCCAACAAAAATAAAACCCCGGTCTGCTCCAGTCAGCAGCTTCAGGTATCACAGCACCTTCGGCACGGGAATGACTAGGGCTCGTCTTTTTTGACAGGGGCCCCATGTTTTGGCTTCAAAAAGAACAAAAAAAGTCCCAAACAGGGGTCATGTTGGTTTCTGCGGGGGTTCTCACGCAAAGAACCACGTCTGGACCTGAGCAGCGCCACGGGCCCAAGGTTGCGACAAGCTTGAGGACTATGTGGCAGACTGAGCCGAACGCAACGGTCAAGCTGCGCGGAACACACTCGAGGCGGCTCGCTCTCAAGGTTTGGCTCTTGCCGACTTGCGCTTGAGAAGGACATCCGATTTGCAGTTTGTCTTGTTTTAACAGTACCCCCCGGTTTGGTGGATGGAAAAGGAAACCAAGAAAGAGAACCAGAGACACCCGCGCCGGGGCAAGATGCCGCAAAGTTGGCCGGCGTCACCTGTTTTTTTGGTGGGAGGATGTTTTCCAGAAAAGGAAGAAACTTCAAGGAGGCGGGTGGGTGGGTGGGCGGCTGGGCGTGGCGCGACAGTGAAAGAAAAATGGTCACCAGCACTAGCAGCGTCTGCGGCTCTGCGGCCTTGCTGAGCAGCGCGTGGCAGCGTGGCAGCGCGTGGCCGGGCGGCAGCGCGTGGCTACGTGGCTATGCACAAACAATTACCAACCTACATAGCCCATGCAATGAAAAGAAACACAAACACACACACACACACACACACACACACACACACACACACACACACACACACACACACACACACACACACACACACACACACACACACACACACACACACACACACACACACACACACACACACACACACACACACCAATCCAAGATCATGCTGAACGCTCAAGCAACCTTTCGTTGCTTGGGGTTTTGAAGCTGAGGCAGCGGAGGCCCAGGACCAGTACCTCCAACTCCCCTTCTTTGGGTGAGCAAAAAGGAAATTGATCCTCTGCATATTTCTCAAAATACTACTATATTGTAAACCACCCATATTAGATCCTTGTGCTTTCAAACTTGAATAGCTTTCTGGTGCATTTGTTGTTTCTTGTTTAGCTGCTAAAATGACCCGAAAACCTGCCTGGCCGGGAATCTGTCGAGGAGCGCCCGCACCAGCTGAGAGCCGACGCCCTTCCCACGGCGCTCGGGAGACACCTCGAGGGTAGAAGAGGTGGGGGCCCCTCGATTCCATGTATCTACTGTGTCCCATGAAAAACAGAAAATGGAACCAGACATGGAATTTCAGGGGTCACACACACCCACACACACCCTCCCCAATTCCATTGTTCAAGAGGGTGGGGAGCTGTCGATATTTGTATAGGTAATTGGGCCCTCAAACTACCCTTCATGGGATGTCGCAACACATTTGTGGTGTCCCTTTTTCAAGGTATGTTGGGTCAAGGCAGGCCCGGTATGATGCCAACACCACCGTAGAAAACCTGATGTTTGAACATATACCATCAAACAGGTGGAAGTTTCGAGTAGGGAGTTGATTTGCTCTTTCCCTTTTGGGCAAATTCTAAGCGAGCTTCCCTTCAAGTGGGGTGATGTTGAAGGGGTAAATCTGGAGACCCGCCTTTTTGAGGGGTGAACATCCCTGCTTTTCCGTAGATACATTTGTTTGGTCAGTGGTTGACATCATACCCCTGGAGTCGTCGGTGGCTCGTTCCATTCCAGCAGCCAAAGCCTAGTTCCCATTGGTGTAGTCAGCCCCTTGACTTACCCAAATTTGGGGAATGTGCCATCTACCTGGTGTAGTGCCATCTACTTTCACCTGGTGTAAAATTACCTGAAATGCCCATGGGTCAAAATCCCGTACCCCCAGTGAACATCCCAATCCCCACTAAAATAGACTAAAATGGGTGGTGCACCTACCCCAAAATGGGATCCGATTGGTTTTGACCCACAGCCAAATGAGAAACAGGGAGCCATGTCCCGCAGCCGAGTGCGAGGCATAGAGCGAGGCCAGCAGCATTGGGCTGTCCTGGCCCGCTGGCACGCACTCCAGCCCGCTCTTTGTCGGGTATCCGACGTCAACCACTGACCAAAGAAGGACCAAAGAAGGATACATGTGTTTGTGAACAAGACAGGGGTGGAAAGCAAAAAAAGAAGGAGATATCTATCACGGGAAAGCAGGTGGTTTCAAAAGGGTGTTCTCAAAACCAAAACCATAAAGGGGAGCTATCTGGCGGGACCTATCTTGGTATCTGGAAGGAAGCCAAACGACTTGAGGAAACTCCGGCCACCTGTGCCAAAACAAAGAACCCTCACGTCAACTCCATCTGAGGAAGGAAAAAAACACGGTGGCTTTCCCATGTCCCTCCACGACCCAAAAACCAAAATGGTACCTGAAGTCTCCTTTCGAGCCGTTGAAAGGGGTCCAGGACCCCCCAAACTTGTGGCACATCCCATCATTTAAAAGGCTTGGCGAAAGCCGAGCATCAAGACAAGTCGGCGCTTCACTCTTCCACGTCTAAATCGGATGCAGCAATCCGGGTATGCAAGAATCCAGGTACCCTGGCCTCACTTCTTCCCGTGCTAAAACAGCGAACAACACCCGCCCATCATCCTGCGACACTCAGACCCCAAACAAAAGTTGCAGCGCCTCAGCATCCGCAAGGGGACGCAGCTGCCCAAAGCCTGGAGCCGCGACCCCGTCTTCGCTGTTGGTAGGTTGGGTCCCCTTTTCTTTGAGGTTGTTTTGAAGCAAGTCAAGCGGAAGCCACCCATTTTAAGGAGGTCCAAATCCCGTTTTGACATAAACCCATGCAATTTATCAGCCTTGCTGTTGGTTCTCCTGAAAAAACAAGCCCAAAAGCCCTTTTTTGAGTTTGTTTCGAAGGAAGGAAGTCAAGCGAAAGCCACCCATTTTAGGGGGTCCAAATCCCGACTTTGACACAAACCCATAAGGGTAACTTCTCCCAGCATTCCAGGAATCCCAATCTTTCCAGAAATCACCAGAACCAAGGGAAATAGCTGGCTTTTGAGAAGAATGGAGATTCACCCCCTAGGTGTATGGATTTGCGGCCGGCAAACGCAGAATGTTCCATCTTGAAAACAAGGGATTGTGGAAGTGTGCGGATGGCTGTCCTAAAAGAGCAACATAGTACCTGACTGGAGGTTGAGACCATGTGTGGGTGTGCTTTCTTTGAGGGTACCCTTTGCTGTTGTTTCCAGGAAACCAACAACAAGGCTGAAATTGCGGATGGGACCCGGATGGCTCGGCAAAGGTGCGCATCTTGTCCCCGCCTACGCGTTCAGCATCCGGACCGCTGTCCTACGGCGCTACGGATGAATGAGATCCGCTTTGTGGAACCCGCCAATCACTGGCCTCATGATTTGTGTATCAAATGCAACCCCTGCCCTCCCCCCGAGTGATAGGCTAAGAGAATGCCCACCCCCAGTTGCAGACTCTGATAACACAAACTTACCCCAGAATCATGGAGGTCATCCAAAACTCGGAACCAACCACTTTAAGATGGAGTTGCGTAAACCCCTTTCCCATTTACGGACCCTCAACTCTCCAAACAGATTGTTGCGACCCAAAAAAATGGGGGAGCGTCCCTTTCTTAAGGGTGGCTTGAGTGTCCACCCTGGCCGCCTCTGCGACCAGGAAATTCTTGGACGAGAGCCCGAAAGGGCTCATCACCATGGAAGCGATGGTGAAGCCGATCCTCGGACACCCAGATCAGTAAGATTTCATTTAGAGCTTATTTGGGCTCCATGATAAATAAGAAGCTCCCAATACTCCACACTGTGGCATCTCCAGCATCTCGTGAAACCGAAGCTTCGGCCAGGGCTGGAAGCCAAAGTCATGAGTGGCGGTAGGATTTTATGGGGGCGTACAACATCGGCAGGGTATGGCCCCAAGGGGAAATCAAAAAGGCAATGGAAATGTTGACACCCTCCAATTCCGGGGTCCCAAGATAGGAGCGAAAGGCAAACCCTGGACAAATGACTGTCATTTGGAATGGCGACATTGAGAGACACAGAGACACAAAGACACAGAGACACAGAGACACAAAGACACAGAGACAGAGAGACACAGAGACACAGAGACACAGAGACACAGAGACACAGAGACACAGAGACAGACACACAGAGACACAGAGACACAGAGACACAGAGACGCAGAGACGCAGAGACGCAGAGACACAGAGACACAGAGACACAGAGACACAGAGACACAGAGACACAGAGACGCAGAGACGCAGAGACACAGAGGCACAGAGACAGAGACACAGAGACACAGACACAGAGACACAGAGACACAGAGACAGAGACACGGAGACACGGAGACACGGAGACAGAGACACAGAGACACAGAGACACAGAGACACAGAGACACAGAGACACAGAGACACAGAGACACAGAGACACAGAGGCACAGACACAGGAGACACAGAGACACAGAGACACAGAGACACAGAGACACAGAGACACAGAGACACAGAGACACAGAGACACAGAGACACAGACACAGAGACACACAGACACACAGACACACAGACACACAGACACACAGACACACAGAGACACACACACAGAGCACAGAGAGAGACACAGAGACACAGAGACACAGAGACACAGAGACACAGAGACACAGAGACACAGAGACACAGAGACACAGAGACACAGAGACACAGAGACACAGAGACACAGAGACACAGAGACACAGAGACACAGAGACAAAGAGACACAGAGACACAGAGACACAGAGACACAGAGACACAGAGACACAGAGACGCAGAGACGCAGAGACACAGAGGCACAGAGACAGAGACACAGAGACACAGACACAGAGACACAGAGACAGAGACACGGAGACACGGAGACACGGAGACACGGAGACACAGAGACACAGAGACACACACACACACACACAAAGCCACACACACACACAAAGCCACACACACACACACAAAGCCACACACACACACGCACAAAGCCACACACACACACAGACACAGCGCTATGTTCAACACGAGTGCCGGTCATCTTCAGGCCTGTATTCTTCAGCACCTGAAGACTGTTTTAACTACCCCCCAACCACTTGCCCCCAAAGCGGGCATATGTCCTCAGTTGCTAGTGGCTTTATTCCCCTCCGAACCCCCAGAATCCCGTAGCGGTTGCTTGGATTTCCCCCAGGTCCCGCCCAGTCCCTAAAGGATCCTACCGTTATAGGCCCTTTAACGGCCATGGCTACAATTCCGCGGTTGGGGTGATTTCGTCGCAGAAGAGCCGCCACGGCATATCCTCATTGGTGGCTTCCCGCAACCTGGGCCGAACGTCCCATCGGTCCGGATGGGTGCGTTGTTTCTTAGGGAACCCTTGAGGCTTGCTTTAAAAGGAAGCCAAAGGCAAACCACACATTTTAGGGGTTCCCTTACTTTGAGAACCCCAATAGAATCGAGTTTCTGGAGGATGAGGATGTGCGATATAAGCCACCTTCATGATTTTGCCTTCGGGCAAGGACGTGAGAAAATTAGGGTTCCGTCCTTTGTGGGAAACTTAGTGAGCGCCCCCCCTCCCTCTCAAATGGATGAGTTGTTTATTGGAAACCCCATGGTGGACATCATTCGCGTGAGATGTCCACCAGCGTCCCAGCGCCTACAACCCATGTCAAACCAGGTAGTAGAGCTTTCGCTGCTGGGCGAGTATACCCAACGTCATCCCCCTCACTAAGCTAGATAAGAGTGAGAATATATATATATATTATATGAGTACGTGTCAAAATAGAGGGACCCGCAAAACCTTCGTTTTTGTTGCTTTGATATTCTCCAACAAAACAAAAACAAACATTCAACAATCCCGGCAGGCCTGGCGGAAGCATGCGCCTGGAGCGAGGCACTGAATCGAAGGGTTCAACTTGTCGCGACGTGGCCCAGGGGCCAAAATGACATGGTATGGGGGTGAATCAATATTCCGTTCAACCCCCACATGACCATGCGTAACTTTTCCCGTGTGGGGAAAGTCATCTTGTTTGGTGGTTTCCCTGGAGTCACGTTGAAAAAGACCTCACATTGTGACTCTGGAAACTAGTTGCGCTCTAGTCGAAGTCTGTGAACATACCTTGTGGTTGGGTATGGTTCGCTCAAAAGGAACCCGTTGAAGGTTCACTTGTAGAACCGTCTGTAGCTGACTCCTTAGGTGTTCCAAACAATGACGGAAAGGAAAGCATCACAAGACACTTGCACATCTGCCTGAACTGCAGCTCGGCGAGGTGTCAGCCCTGCACAAGGCCGACTGCATGTGAGCAGCAACCAAAACGCGGCTTTTGCTTCTACCATTGCTTTAAAGATCTATAGAACCCTGGCTATAACCCGTATAAGAACCACATGCTGATAAAGGTGTGTATTGCCATTCCTAACCCATATGAAACCAAATGGCTACAAAGGTTTATGTAGACCTTACTGTAGCTCCCATTTAACGAGGCAGAACCGCCCACAACAAAATGGCCCAGGTGTTGGGCGCTGCATGGAGCGCCCTTCGGATCCAAACTCGGCGGCCTCTGCCACATAGCCACATGAACCTGGCAGCAGGCGTAGCCAACAGGAGGGAGGGGGCCCAACGACCTGACGCTGGAGTTGTCCACATGTTCCTGATGCATGCCACAGCAAAAACCGAATGCTCCAGAACAGTGGCATCCATGTGAAAACCGGAGCTTGCTCCAAAGCTACTCATATCATCTTCCCACTGGTCGACAGTGCTGGGAGCATCTTCTGCTCGTGATTGCGGGGGCAATAGCATATTCATGACTGCATGCCATCTTGTAGATTGCTTGGGAAGTCGGCAAAACGTTTCATCATGGCAGGACACGTGTTATAGCAAGCCCCTGGACATTGGGAGAAAATCGGTGGGAGGGGTGCGATCTGAAACTTGGGGACTCTTGGATGGCTTTCAACCGGAAACCCAAGAGAAGCCACCGCGTTGCGTACGGCCCGTGTTTGAGGAAGCCCCCAACAAATCCCATGCAAACCCATTGCTGAAACTAAGTAAATCTGCTTGCACAGTTGGAAGGGGCGCGAATCTCGCATCTCGGTGTGAGCTTGTGTGAGGAAAACAGGGGACCGAAAGAACACGAGGGTGTCCTTCTCATCCAAAAAGGGGCCCCGAATGATAGGAAAGATCCATGGTTCAGAATTTTCCTCTTGAAGATTACAATGCTGTATTTGGACCTGGGTGTGTCTCAAAATAGAGCTGCCCCCAACATTGGTCATGCTCCTTTTGGTTTCCCCACCAAGCCCAAAAGCGTTTGCTCGAAAGAGATGAGCCACCAGGTGCCATTCACCAAGATACCCCCAGCACGGCTCCCAAGGACATGGGCTCCGTGTCTTAAAGCACCTGTCACCCCAAGAAAAACTCAATCAATGTGGGGGGGGATTTCAATTTCGGGCCCTGTGGTGGGCATCATTTGGGGAGTTATGTCCACCAACCAATTTTGACGTGGCTCCAACTTTTAGGATTCATAGCCATGCTGGAAACCGAAAGGTGATGTGAAGTGCGAAGTGCAATGCGGGGTGATGCGTGCCTGGCATTCAGGCCTGCCAACAGAAGAAGAAGAAAGGCCAGGGCCTGCCAAGATTGCGAATGTGTGTGTGTGTGTGCGTCCCTTCGCTTTTCCTTCGGGTGTTCCCTTGGTTTTTCATCGGTATCCCTTCGGATTTCCCTTCGGTTCAGGGAAACCGAAGGGAAACCGAAGGGAAATCCGAAGGACTACCGATGGGAAAGCGAAGGGAAATCAAAGGACGCCGAACCCTGCGAATTTCTTGGAGGGTCCCCGTATTTTGAGACAAACTCCAATGTCTATATGTGGTGTCAAGTGACACCAAATTTGGTGAACATTTCCTGATGGTCTGGTGAGTGCAGCCAATGTGATCCTCGCAAATTACACAAATGACAGTCAATATGGGTGTCTTTTCAGGGGGACCCCCAATTGCCCTTTGGCTTCCCTTTAAAAACACAAAAAAAAAGGTTTCCTGACACAAACAAACACCCATAGTGACCCTTCCTTGTAGGTCGGTGTCAAGTACCAAGTCGTTGCCTCTCTTGGAGTCCCGATTCGTGTGCCATGTCCAGTGCACAAAGACTGAGTCTAGAAGGCAAAACGCCTCTCAGTGCTCTGAGTTCTTTGGAACCTACAGCATACAATGCTGCCTCGCCCGCAGTTTTCCAGCAACCCTGTCGTTACCTGTGTCATTTCTTGAAATCCATCTCGCCAAAGCCTCCAAAGACCTGTACATGCTGACTTGTGCAGTGCTTGGAGGCCAGCGCATGTGAACGGACATTTGGACACTGACGCCCGCTCGGCTGGGTCCCCATGTGAAATCTATCCGCCAATGGCACAGCCAGTAGGGCAGCACCGCCCATAAACCGCAGTGCAGGTTGTTCTCCAACGTGGGATGAACCGAAATTGGTGGTTGAAACAAACCAGGTTTCCAAAGTTGGCCCACCAGTTTGCCGAAAGAAAATCGAACATCAGCTTCTTATAATGTGGCTCTGTTTTGCGGAGAACACAGGGCACAATAATGGCAGTTGCAACTACAAAACCTCAAGGGAGGACACTTTCAGTGTATTGCCCTCACGAACGCCCCTCAGCTTCACCTGGTCACCCGTCTTTGGCTTGTAGCTTGGCACGGCCTGCAGATCCAGGCCAAGGATGTCCTTGTCCGTCATGCAGGAGACTTCAAGCTTGCTCCCCTCCGGAAAGTCCATGATCACTACGGCGATCTCGCACTTGTCATAGACCTCCTCCGGCCCAGGCCATGCAATTTGTGCAAGCCGTGACTTTTTCAATCACCGTTGTTGAAACAACCTCCTTCTAGTTACCCTATGACCAGTGCTTGTTTGAGCACATTTTGCAACCAGCCCTGCCTCGGGCCCAAGGGCTGGTTCTGCTGCCTGGTTGCACTCCGCACATTCGGCCGCGGCCAAAGACGCCATGGCAAACAGCACGGACCAACGCATCCGCGCAGCGAACGCTTTCGGCAAGTCACAGCCCGTTTTCTCTCGAGCTGCACACGCATCACGTCCAGCCGTGACAAAGGGAATAGCCACAAAGCAAGGCACGGCATCTGCGATGCGTGGCAAAGAGTTCCATGCAACTTGCCTTGCCAGGCACGAGACTCTATAAGAAGAAAGCACTTCCCTGAAAGAATAGGCTTCCCAAACCCATGCCAGAGATGGAAGAGATCTTACATGAGCTTTGAGTCGGATCCACGCCATCTTGCTCCGACTTTCCCCGCAACCCCTTTTTTGACATTGATGCTCAGTTTGGCCAAGTCGGGTTGGGTCACACAAGATTCCATCAACAGTACGACAACGAGCATTGGTAATCAGGGACTAACTAACATGGGCTTCAACATCATGGGGATGAGGTTCCTGCTCCTGACATGGTCACTGCGCTATTCTGATGTTTAAACATCCAGGCGTGTTGCCAGTGACCTGCATAAGCCCCTATAGTCATTGAAATTTGCTCTGCGTGGGTGTGTGTGTAGGTGAAAACCTTCAGCTATGCTTTTAGCATTGCTGCATCTGCTGTTGTTGCTGGTGCCGCTGCCTGCTTCCTCTTTTTCTTCCTCCTCCGCCTCTACCTTCTTCTTACCACCTCTTTTTATTAATGCTTTGTACATAGTGTTCTTAGTGTTGTTATTCCTTCTTCTTGTTATTACCTCCTCCTCCCTCTTGTTCTTCGCCTTCTTCTTCCTCCGTATTCTTCTTCTGCTTCTGGTGACTCTTCTGCGCATCATGCAATGCTAGCCACAACCATGGTGTCAACGGCCTGGCCTTGACGCTCACCGCGCGGGCACGCGCCATGGCAAAGTACAGGTCGGATCGCGACTTAACGGGAACCCGGTTGGAGTTTCAATTAGGGACCCGAAATGGACATCATTTCGGTTGGGTCTTTTCTGTCCGCCAACCACTTTTGAGGTGGCGTTCTATTAAAGCGCATGGCCAGTGGATGAATAAGCCCGTGGGTGTTGATCAGGGCGAGCGTACATCTATGAGGTAGCCCTTCACTTTGTGAACCCCCACATCAGGGTCTTAGTCTCCCTTTGAATGGTGGGAAGTTATAAACGCTCCGGGTTTTGCCTGTCTGGGGTGGACATTCAATGGTTTTGCTTTGTGGGAAGCTCGCTGTCAGGTGAAATGCTCTGCATGGCAATCCTGGTTGACTCAAAGGGGGGCAACCAATCGAGAGGATGATATCCTGGAGCAATCCGCGCCGTAAAACCGAGGGGTTGACTCATGGCCATCCAGGGTCAACAGTCGTGCTGCCAGGCGCAAAACTCTACCGTTTTCCAGCGTGTGGTCAGCCAAAGAGCCTCAGTTCATGTTCTATCACCCGCACCTAAAGCAACGTGCCAGAATCACAGGTGTGAGCCAAAGGCGCTGCAGAATACACGTGATCAATACATCTGGAAGCAATACCCTGCTCACTCCCAGCCGACTCCCATCCACGTGGATCCGTTTTACTCAATGCAAATGGAACCGCCGCTCCACCTTGAGTGGTGCAAAGATTTCTGCACAGCGGTTGTGACCTACTGCGGTGTCCATGCTCCATTGCTCACAGGTGCATGGACAACAGGGTGCCAAATAGAGGGCCCAGCAAAAATGAGAAGTGTCCCATCCTCTTTTCGTTTCCTTTTAACTAAGGGATCAACCAAAAGTCTGGATGAAACACGCGTGAAAATGCAAGTACCTTGTGGGAAAACAACAATGATGGTTGTTTGGCACCCGCACCATGATGAGGTGAGACGTGACAATCACAGTCATCTCTGCCGCTTTATAGATTGATGTGAAAGACCGGCATGCGATTCTTCATCGGTCTCGTGTATGTCTGCTCAGGATGACGGTAGTGCTCACCATACATTGTACTGGTGGTCTCCCACTTTGGTACTCGATAGTGAGCTAGGAAGGGGTTGACATTGTTGCGAATGTCCTCAGTGAGCCAAGTGGGAAACCCAACTGTTGGAGAACATGCGAGAACACCTGTGGGAAGAAAGCAACCAACCGGACAACTCATAATCTTAACAAAGCCTGCCAGGGCTGCTTTGCCAGAAGCATTTATCACGTGTCACACTCCAGGTGACAAGCAATCCACCAGCTGCCCAACCTGCTCCTCCCTGAGGGGAGGAACAGTCAATTATGTGATGTTTCCGAATTGACCAAAGGGAAAAGAAAAACGAGCACTCTCCCCATCTCTCTCCCCACATCGAAGCAGCCTTCCAAGACAAAAACTAAAAAAAATATCTTAATGTTAAGTTCGTATTCATCAACCCCAGTTTATCAATAGGGGGTGTTCGCCCCCTAAAACGAAACAAACAAACTGGGCTTCAATAAAATATGGGGATAACATCAGTTCGAGCGGCGTGGTGGCCAAACATGTGGGCGGCATCGTACTTGTGACCCTTGTGGCTCTTGTCCAGGCCGTCCCCCCGCACTGTGCCGGTGGTCCCCAGCTGCGAGCGCGACAACGACGAGGAGGACCGAGCCCCCGCAGGGTGCACAGCAGGGCCCGGCTCCGCGATGAACTCTACGCCGTGCCTAAGCGATCCGTCGACCGAATGGCTCCGAGTCCCCGAAGTGCGTTACTTGGTAATGGCGAACCACTACCACGACCTTCAAGAGTTGAGGGACCCAAACTGATGCTCCTTGCAGTTACCCAAAACCCAAAGAGAAACAGAAGGGCTTTTTCTTTCCGCTTGTGACCAAAGGGTACTCCTTTTTTGTGGCTCAAAGGGAGGCCAAGGGGAAACCCAAAATCCATGTTTGGGGGTCCCCTCAAAAAGAACTAACCCACATGGTTGTCCAGCTTGCTGTGGCCTTCCGACTTTCCTTTATGATTTTGCACTAGAACCACCTACGGCCAATCGGCCACTTTTCGCTGCCCAATCTCGGCAGACATTTGTCGTCTTTTGCAGGTGAGGCACGTTGTCAGCACATGGGGTCGGTTCCCGCGAAGAGATCGGTGCCGCTCTGTTTGCACTGAAATCGCCTGACCAATGGGCGGGGCGGTTGGTGGTTGATCTGGGAAGGGGCGGACGGGTCTTGGGTCGTATCTCGGAGCTCCTTCGTGTGGGGTTCTCTAGATGGGGAGCCCTCAAAATGGGTTGTTTACCCTAGGTTTCCTTTATAACCCGACGCACAAATCCCTTCCCCAGGCAGTTTGCCTCGAAATCACAACCCAAATCTGGGTGATGCTGTAAGGGGAAATATCGGGAACCCTGTTGCGACCAAGGCCCAAAACCGAAACCCTGGATGGGCGGACACAAGCCGCCAAAACAACAGGGTTCCAGGTGGACATGAGCCATGCGTTCAAGGGAGACTCACCCATTGGATTTCCCAAAGGCAATGTTTAAATAAGCCTCCCCCACACCTCCCCTCGCCAGGTGCCCACTGCAGCCGAAGATCCGGCGTGGACAATCGGCTGTCTGCAGGGGAAGGCCCTCTTGAAGGGTTGAAGGGGAAGACCCTTCGCTGGTGCACCTCATCTCGACATGGAAGTGCCATTTTCTTTGGGGGATACCCTTTTGGGTGGAAAGTGTTAAAGGGAGCAAATGGAAAACGGCGGCCGAATTTGAGGGTCCCCTATTTTGAGACCAACCCATATGAGTGCTTCTCAACATAGGAATCAGCTGCCTTTGTGGATGGTTTTTAAGGGAAACCGAAAGGGTTCCCCCAACTGCCTGAAGGAATTCGTCCCGAAATTTGAGAAACCCCTATTTGGAGAAACAACTCGATCTCAAAAAGCGGAGTTTGATCTAGCCAAGGTGCTTCCGGCAAATGCTCCGCTTTGACCTGACACTTGTGCATACTGTGTACGCTTTCCAGAACTCCCGAACCGAAACCATCGCTGGGGAAAACAGGACCCTGCATTTCCATTGTTTAGCTACGGATTGTCATCATCCAAATTGGGACCTTTCTTTTAATGGGGGTTGAACCCTAGGGAGCTGATACAGCGTGCCAGCCAGCTTCCAGCCTGATCCATGATTCCTCTCCTGTCGAGGCACATCGCACGCTTGCCACATGAGCCACAGTCAAAACTAAATACTCGTTTCCCCGAGAGGATGTGGTGGTTTCGTGGTTGAAATTTCTGAGTCCGCTAGTTTTTGTGTTTAGCAAGTCCCCATATATGTCCCCAAACGAAACCATAGACTACCTGTCAATTTGAGCGAACATCACGTCCCATGGGTTTCCAAATGGTTGACACGGAGGGCCTCCTCATACAAAGTCAGCGATATAAACTCTGAAAGGTCAGCGACATAAACTCTGAAAGTCTACACGTTTAATGATGTCTAAGGGTATGGGAACCGCCAAGATTAGAGAGGGTTGCCTGTTGTAGGAAGTAGCCAAGTATCCAAGCAACTAGGGGCGGCGGTGTGGGAGGGGAAATTGTCCTCTGTACCTGCGAACCTTCTCAAGTAACAAGCTATCGTAGGTCATTCGCTCCCAATTCCCCACCCCTGATGCCAACCACCAACCTGTGCAAGCCCCCACCCACAGTCAAAATATGCGGATGCTGTGCCGGGCAGCTTGGCGAGTCTCCCCTTGTCCCTCCCAAATGGAGACAATACTGGATGGTTTGACAGCTGCTCACGTGAGGCTTGGTCCAGATAAACCTTTGGATTGTGGAGCTCACATGGGGGGCCTCACAAAAACTCAACGAAAAACTTGGAGATGAAGCCCGAAACTTTTCACATGGGTGTTTCTCAAAATTGGGGACCCCTCAGGTTGGTTTCCTTTTGGAACCATCCCAAAAGGTGTCCCCTGTTTTAGACACACCCCTGTTCTTGACCGGAACTGCATATGTTGACCGAACTATCACGAATCCACAACTCTATCGCCTGGCGATAAAGCGCACGTATCGATACGCGCGGCTTGAGCCCAGCTTCCGGCACTCAATCGAAGAAGCGGGCATGTCTCATGAGTGGTTCTCAAAATAGGGCTCCCCTCTTGAGATATATTTTGAGAGAACCCAACCCCCTCTTTTGTTGAACCCCCCCCCCCATGTTGAGACAAATAACCTCAAACCTCCCAACATGGGATATTGCCCCCGCCTGGGGTGAATTTTCCTTTGGTCCAAGCTAGCGTCCAGGTCCGGGGAAAGCTTTCCACCGCTTGGTTCCGGTGGCCCAAAAGCACGCATGTTGGGCTAAAATAGATGTGATTGTGGCCCCAAACGTTGGGCGAGCCAACCAATGCTCAAACAATGGCTGGAACTCCACCAGTCTTTGGACCTCGCTGTGATTTGACCTTAAACGGCGACCGCATCGGGGCTGGATGTTTAAACATGCCCAACCCTCCGCACATACTCCCCGCCAGACTGGAGTGGACCACCCCTCAAATCACAAGAAATAAACAGGAGGTATCCCCAACAACTCTCGGAACCCGGAGCCGCTCCGAACCACTCCGGAACCTATCTCGGCACACACCCCGCAGCTGTCAGCAACTGGAGGGGAAAAACTTGTTCTTTTCGAGGAAACTCCTGGAGACAGGGAGTTCCCTTTCTTGGATAGTGTCAAACACATTGCTGCCCCAAAAAAGGATTGCGGATTTCGTCTTCCACACAAAGCCGGGCTGTCCTCAGATCCCCTAAAAGTTTAAACTTTTAGCGGGTTAAAAGGAAATTCCCACTAAAAAAGCCAAAAGGCTGAGGAAGCGGATGGCTGGGAACCGCACACAACAAAAACGAGGATCGCCTCAAACCAGGAAACCGAGCCATGCCCAGGTCTCCTACCCCTCTCCTACCCCTCTCTATCTCGGCTCCCGGCAGCGGCGCCCGCAGCACCTTCCGCTTCTCCCGCTGGGCGGTGAGGATCTGCGCCTGTTGTGTGTTTGAGGCCCGGCGCCCTTGGAGCTCTGCGAAAAACCAAGGAAACATGTTGGCCCATGGGCAGAAGACAAAACCACACCCTCTGTGCGGGGCCTTTCTTTTGACTTGGTAACCCCCCCTTTGGTTTGAAAAGGGAACCACGCCATTGGCGGTCCACTAAAAATGGAACCATATCCGTTTGAGGCTTGCTACACATCTGGGTGTGGTTCCTTCTTTTGGGGCTACCCCTGTTTTGTGGCTTTGGGAAACCAATGGAAAACATGTGCATTTGGATTGGTGTCCAACAGCCACTTGTGCGATGGTTCCCAATTAAAACCTGTAGCCACTTTACGTGGGGAGTTCAATCTCTGGCATCACACACAAATTGGCCATTTGCCGCAATGCGCGTGGTTCTTCAGATCTTTAGCTACCCAGCTCTTCCAGTTCTTCCTGTTACCGTAGTGCGTAACAACTAGACGAAAACCAATCGAGGTCGAGAGGGGCGTGGTTTGGAGATTTCGTTGGGGTTGGGATACCTGGAACCCCAAAGGCGACACTCCAAAACAGGAAGTCGCGCCATGTGGGGCAATATCCCATGGGCATAAATGAAATCCTCTTCGCTCTTTGGGATAGATAAAGCGCTCTGGCAGGGATAAACCCGCTAACTGGTGGGCTGTGGATTTTGTCCATCCACAACAGGGTCTTTGGTAAAGTGTGTAGTTTTCTCGAAATATCTACCCTCTTTGGATTTTTGGCCGAGAGTTGGAGAGTTAGTCACTTCCTGGCTTGGCCAGGAAAGTCGGACTTTGTTTGCCACAATGGTCCAATCCTGACCAGTACCAGGTTCTCGCAGGAACTCAGGGAGTGGGTTGGATTTGGGGCTGGTCAAGGTAGGATGCGGCCACTCCCACAGAATGGCCAATGGGCACTTGTGGCCGACAGGGCAGTCTCCCATATGTGGCCATCAATTTTAGCAGGGGACTCCCTGAAACATGTTGAATTTGAATGCGACCATGAACATCATGTCTACCAAAGGGTTACCCTCCTAAATGGTGACATCCTCAAAATGACCCACTTCTCTGGTGATTCAAAGGTCAAAGGGTGTCCCGAATCCCAAAGGTAAAACTGAGAACTGTTCAACGTGCACCAATTTTAAGAGTTTACTTGTCAAGCCCAACGGGAAAAGAAAAACAAAAGTACCCGCAGTGAAAACACCAGAGTCAACCCAAAGGGCAGGGGGATAAAGTAGCCGCATGTCATTATTTAGGAGGGTAACCCGTTGGTAGACATCACGTTCATGGTCAGATTCTATATGTTTCAGGGAGTTCCCCACTAAAATTGATAGCCACATATGGGAGATGCCTTGGAGTGGTCCTGGCCTGGTACACCTCAGTGAGGTCCCCGGAGCCCGTCGCCTCCTCCACCAGTCGTCGCGCCTGGCCGTTCCCAAAGCACAAAAGGAGGAGGTTCCCTTGGGTTTTCACCGGCGGTTCGTTGATCGCTTGCTAAAAGTTAGACTTTGAGTGGGCACATAAACGCCTCTAAGCTCTAAACATCGACAAGATTGAGGGGATGGCTGGGAAGGGCCAGGAGAGGATTGTGAAAAAGGAGTGCTTTTCACTTGGCACCAAGTGAAAAGCACTCCTTTTTCAATGGTGGTTAATGGCATTGATTTTCCTGGACCCAACCGAATGGGCAAGATTCGGCAAGATCTCACAATTGTGCTGAGGAAAGTTTGAGGGTCCAAGTACCTTCGACAAATGGAAGTTGACACAACCTCTAGGATTTAGTGGACATCAGAAATACGTTGTACCATTAAAACCCTCCATGTGTTATGTGCCCAAACCGTAAACCTCTTTTCGGTGCATGTGTAGCGCAAACTCGCCTGGAGCCAATCGCTTGGAGGGTTCTAGGTTTGACATACAGCCACCGCTGTCCCACCTAGACAGCTCGGGGGCTGCTTTTTGTTTGCTTGACAAACTTTGTTTTGTTGAGACAAACCCACGTGAGCGTCAAAACAAATGGCCTGCCTTTGGGTCCACTTGAGGAGCCCCAAAAAAAGACACATGTTTCCGCAAGAGGACAAGGCAACCCGGGTGGGAAATTGGGGACCCGTCTTTCTTTCCCACATGATACATCATGATACCAACCCGGGTAGGAATTTTAACAGGGACACCTGCAGAAAAGGGGTTGGTGGACACAAAGCCCCACCTGAGCGATGTCCACCAGAGGGTCCAAGCGATCAAAATTATTCACACCCAAATAGAAACGCCGGTCATCACAAGTGTGGAAGACCCCTGTGCACTTGAGATGCCAGAACGGCAACCAGGAACCAAGGCGCATGTTCTTAACAAAGGATCCAAACTGGTGCTCATCAAAAAAAGAAAAACAAGTGGGGATTTATGTGCACCAACCACTTGAGTTCGCTGGTTCGGCATGAATTTGAAGTTCATAGCCATTTTGAGACACATCCAGAAGACTGTGGGATCGCGCCGCGGTGCCTAGCCTTCAACACAGTGAGGATGGCCCACTCAGGAACTCCCCCTGCGTGCGATTCAGAAGCTGGCATGCGATGATCTATGGTTGGAGGGGTTCCATAGAAACTTTGATCCCTTTTGGAAAGAGCAAACACATGTTGATGCGAAGTTCGTCTCAACATGGAAGAAAGACAAAGCCCACAACGGCTGGCTTCCGTTGGGTTTTCCTTTGAACCCCAAAACGGCCGAAAACATCTGCATAATTTGGTTGTTCTAATTTACCACTCTGACTTGAGGAGCGGGTGAACGAAAGCTAGCAGTTGTTGCATGAGATGGGTCGGTGACAGAGTGGATTCATAGGTAGCTTGTGTACAACGAGAGGCCCGGCAAGATTCGTAGGATGCGACACGCAAACGCACATGGTGGCGTGGCGAACCTTGAAAAATGAAAACAACGAGAGGCGTCAGAAGCTGTCTGAAAGCACCTCTGGGTTCTGCATGCTGCGTGTGCAAAGATTCTTGCGAGGTGGTTTACCGAGAAGACTGAGGTCTCAAATGAACAAGCTGAATCGGTGGAACATGTAAAAGTTCGTAGCACCAAGTCCAAAACGGGCAAACCGAGACTGCTGAACACTGAGCCACTGCCACTGCCCGGGGGGGGGGGGATGGACCAGGGAGGAATCGAGGGACCCGGGGGGGGGGGGGGAAGGGGGGGGGTCTAAATAATTGATATTTTTCAATCTTTTCGGCTCAAATAATTGAAAAAATCAATCTTTCGGCATTTGAGCCCCTTACCTTGCTTACGCAAGGAGAACTTCAGCTAGCTAAAGCTAGCTTTCGTGAATAGAGGAACCCTTTGAACCTTAAGATGTTTATCCGTTCGGTGCGTTTTCCACTAGTGCAATTCGGACATCAGACAATTTGGGCCCGGTCCCGCTCGGTTCTTTTGGGATTGTTTGACCTGTCTCGTCCTCCGCGAACTGGTGGACAGCTGGTCCACTAAAGTGGTATCCCCAAAAGTACCCTCTAAATTGTGGGTTTGACAAGTATTCCGGACCCGAAAAGGAATTTTGAGACCACTACGTAGCGACTGTATCAGGGGTATCTACTCCCCCCCCTTGTAAAATGGGCAGCGTTTTGGGGGGTAGTCGAAGTCATCAAATCAGCAAGACTTGCGTATGTGTAAGAATAGGGGGGATTGCTTCTGCTTCCCTTTAAACCAACTCCAAAACGTGGGCATCCTCCCCAAAGCACACGCCCACATTGTCAGTGACATGGACGGCGTTCGCTCTAAGCCCGGCGCGCTCAGCCGCGCGCTTCTGGGCTGTCTCGTCAAACAGAGACAGCGGCGCCCGCCTGAGCGACCCGACGCAGTCAGAATTCCTGACATCCCCGAAGAATGCACCCAGGTGGGTCTGCCATTTCTGTTGGACTGCAGAATGGCGTCGGTTTTCCTTTTGGCTTCCCAGGTGACATCTCCCCGGCAACCCCCCGGAACCAAGCACGGAGTCACTCCAAACCACTCCGGAGCATCTGGGCAACCACAAACCTTCCAGAGGAACAAACAGGGGCCTGGTCTTTACAGAAAAACCAAAAGGGATATCCGCCAACAACAGACGGCGTGTTGGACACAAAAAACCCCTCCCCGGGAGGGGGGGGGGGGGTCCACGTACCACGCGGTGATTCGAAGACGCTTCACTAAATCTGTTCATTGTGCGGGCTTGCGCAACTCAGTTTGTCAAAAACATTGGGGTGTTCGATTCCCCCCGGGTGCGCTTTCGCATCCTTAGCAGCTCCAGCGGCACATCGCCAGCATCACCTGCATCATCCGCATCAGCGCCTGCCAAGGATGCGGATGATGCAAGTGATGCTGGGGATGTTGCCCATGCTGGTGAAGGAAAAGGGGGAAAGGATCTCAACAGCGAAAGGGGGGGAAAGATCTCAGGGAGGAAAGGGAGAAGATCTGGGGAAAAAATGCCTTAAGGGGGAAAGGGGGGAAAAGATCTTTGGGGGGAAAAGGGAAATCTTTCTCGGGGGGAACAGGCCCTAAGGGGCAATGGGGGGACAGGATCTCAAACGGGAAAGGGGGAAAAAGACTTTGGGAAGAGAAGGGTGGAGATCTTGGGGGGAAAAGGCCTTAGGGGGGAAACGGGGGAAAGGATCTTAAGCGGGAAAGGGGGGAAAAGATCTTAGGGAGGCAAAGGGAGACGAACTCAGGGAAAAGGACTTAGGGAGGAAAGGGGGGGAAAGATCTTTGGGAGGAAAAGGGAGAAGAACTGAGGGTGGGAAAAGGCCTTAGAAGGAAAAGGGGGGAAATAAATGATCTCAACAGGGACTGGGGGGGGGGGGAAGATCTTAGGGAGGAAAGGCAGAAGATCTGGGGCAAAAAGGCCTTAGGGGGGAAAGGGGAGAAATGATCTCAACAGGGCAAGGGGTGGAAAAGATCTTCGGGAGGAAAGGGAGAAGATCTGGGGAAAAAAGGCCAACAGGGAAAGGGGGGAAAAGATCTTAGGAAGGAAAAGCGAGAAGCTCTCAGGGGGGGAAAGGCCTTGGGAGGGAAAGGGGGGAAAGGATCTCAACAGGGAAAGGGTGGGAAAGATCTTAGGGAGGAAAGGGGGGGGGGAAGATCTTAGGGAGGAAAGGGAGAAGATCTGGGAGAAAAGGACTTAGGGGGGAAAGCCCAACAGGGAAAGGGGGGAAAAGATTTAGGAAGGAAAAGGGAGAAGCTCTCAGGGGGGGGAAAGGCCTTAGGGGGGAAAGGGGGAAAAGGATCTCAGCAGGGAAAGGGGGGGGAAAGATCTTAGGGAGGAAAGGGAGAAGATCTGGGGACAAAGGCCTTAGGGGGGAAAGGGGAGAAATGATCTCAACAGGGAAAGGGGTGGAAAAGATCTTAGGGAGGAAAGGGAGAAGATCTGGGGGAAAAAAGGCCAACAGGGAAAGGGGGGAAAGATCTAAGGAAGGAAAAGGGAGAAGCTCTCAGGGGGGGGAAAGGCCTGAGGGGGGAAAGGGTGGGAAGGATCTCAACAGGGAAAGGGGGGAAACAATCTTAGGAAGGAAAAGGGAGAAGATCTGGAAAGGCCTTAAAGGGAAGGGGGGAAAGGATCTCAACAGGGAAAGGGGGCAAAGGATCTTAAGGAGGAATAGGAAGAAGATCTCAGCGGGGGGAAAGGCCGTAGGGGGGAAAGGGGGGAAAGGATCTCAACAGGGAAAGGGGGGGAAAGATCTCAGTGAGGAAAGGGAGAAGGTCCCAGGCAGGGAAAAGGCCTTAGGGGGGAAAGGGGGAAAGGATCTTAAGAGGGAAAGGGGGCAAAGGATCTTAGGGAGGAACAGGGAGAAGATCTGAAAAGGCCTTACAGGGAAAAGGGGGAAAGGAGCTCAACAGGGAAAGGTGGGAGAGGATCCTAGGGAGGAAAAGGGAGAAGATCTTGGGGGGAAAGGGGTCAACCAAGGGAAAAGATCTTGGGGAGGACAAGGGAGAAGATCTCAGGGGGGGAAAGGCCTTAGGGGGGAAAGGGGGGAAAGGATCTCAACAGGGAAAGGGGGCAAAGGATCTTAGGGAGGAAAAGGGAGAAGATCTTGGGGGGGAAACGCCTTAGGGGGGAAAGGGCGGGAAAGGATCTCAACAAGGAAAGGGGGGAAAAGATCTTAGGAAGGAAAAGGGGGAAGATCGCGGGGGGAAAAAAGGCCTTAGGGGGGAAAGGAGGGAAAGGATCTCAACAGGGAGAGGGGGGAAAACATCGTAGGGAGGAAAAGGGAAAAACTCAGAGGGAGAAAGGGCCTTAGGGGGGAAAGGGGGAATGGATCTCAACAGGGAAAGGTGGCAAAAGATCTTAGGGAGGAAAAGGGAGAAGATCTCAGGGGGGGAAAGGCCTTAGGGGGGAAAGGGGGGAAAGGATCTGAGCAGGGAAAGGGGGGGAAAGATCTTAGGGAGGAAAGGGAGAAGATCTGGGGGCAAAGGCCTTAGGGGGGAAAGGGGAGAAATGATCTCAACAGGGAAAGGGGTGGAAAAGATCTTAGGGAGGAAAGGGAGAAGATCTGGGGGAAAGATCTAAGGAAGGAGAAGGTCTCAGGGGGGGAAAGGCCTCAGGGGGAAAGGGTGGGAAGGATCTCAACAGGGAAAGGGGGGAAACAATCTTAGGAAGGAAAGGGGGGGGGGATCTTAGGGAGGAAAGGGAGAAGATCTGGGAGAAAAGGACTTAGGGGGGGAAGCCTAACAGGGAAAGGGGGGAAAAGATCTTCGCAAGGAAAAAGGAGAAGCTCTCAGGGGGGGGGGGGAAAGGCCTTGGGAGGGAAAGGGGGGAAAGGATCTCAACAGGGAAAGGGTGGGAAAGATCTTAAGGAGGAAAGGGGGGGGGGAAGATCTTAGGGAGGAAAGGGAGACGATCTGGGAGAAAAGGACTTAGGGGGGAAAGCCTAACAGGGAAAGGGGGGAAAAGATCTTCGCAAGGAAAAAGGAGAAGCTCTCAGGGGGGGGGAAGGCCTTAGGGGGGAAAGGGGGAAAAGGATCCCAGCAGGGAAAGGGGGGGGGGATAGATCTTAGGGAGGAAAGGGAGAAGATCTGGGGACAAAGGCCTTAGAGGGGAAAGGGGAGAAATGATCTCAACAGGGAAGGGGTGGAAAAGATCTTAGGGAGCAAAGGGAGAAGATCTGGGGGAAAAAAGGCCAACAGGGAAAGGGGGGAAAGATCTAAGGAAGGAAAAGGGAGAAGCTCTCAGGGGGGAAGGGGGGAAAGATCTCAGTGAGGAAAGGGAGAAGGTCCCAGGCAGGGAAAAGGCCTCAGGGGGGAAAGGGGGAAAGGATCTCAACAGGGAAAGGGGGCAAAGGATCTTCGGGAGGAACAGGGAGAAGATCTGAAAAGGCCTTAGGGGCAAAAGGGGGAAAGGAGCTCAAGAGGGAAAGGTGGGAGAGCATCCTAGGGAGGAAAAGGGAGAAGATCTTGGGGGGAAAGGGGGAAAGGATCTCAACCAAGAGAAAAGATCTTGGGGAGGACAAGGGAGAAGATCTCAGGGGGGGAAAGGCCTTAGGGGGGAAAGAGGGGAAAGGACCTCAACAGGGAAAGGGAGCAAAGGATCTTAGGGAGGAAAAGGGAGAAGATCTTGGGGGGGAAAACGCCTTAGGGGGGAAAGGGCGGGAAAGGATCTCAACAAGGAAAGGGGGGAAAAGATCTTAGGAAGGAAAAGGGGGAAGATCGCGGGGGGAAAAAAGGCCTCAGGGGGGAACGGAGGGAAAGGATCTCAACAGGGAGAGGGGGGAAAACATCTTAGGGAGGAAAAGGGAAAAATCAGAGGGAGAAAGGGCCTTAGGGGGGAAAGGGGGAATGGATCTCAACAGGGAAAGGTGGCAAAAGATCTTAGGGAGGAAAAGGGAGAAGATCTCAGGGGGGGAAAGGCCTTAGGGGGGAAAGGGGGGAAAGGATCTGAGCAGGGAAAGGGGGGGAAAGATCTTAGGGAGGAAAGGGAGAAGATCTGGGGGCAAAGGCCGTAGGGGGGAAAGGGGAGAAATGATCTCAACAGGGAAAGGGGTGGAAAAGATCTTAGGGAGGAAAGGGAGAAGATCTGGGGGAAAAAAGGCCAACAGGGAAAGGGGGGAAAGATCTAAGGAAGGAAAAGGGAGAAGCTCTCAGGGGGGGGAAAGGCCTGAGGGGGGAAAGGGTGGGAAGGATCTCAACAGGGAAAGGGGGGAAACAATCTTCGGGAGGAAAGGAAAAAGATCCCAGGGAGGAAAAGGCCGTAGGGGGGAAAGTCGGGGAAAGGGAGGAAAAGGGAGAAGATCTCAGGGGGGAAAAGGCCTTAGGGGGGAAAGGGGGGAAAGGATCTCAACAGGGAGAGGGGGGAGAACATCTTAGGGAGGAAAAGGGCAAAAATCAGAGGGAGAAAAGGCCTTAGGGCGGAAAGGGGGAATGGATCTCAACAAAGAAAGGGGGGCAAAAATCTCAGAGGGGAAGGGGGCAAGGGGACAATTCCAAAGGGACGCAAACAAGAAAGCAGGCCTGTAATGTCGGCGGCCTGAGCCGGAGGCGTTAAAATATCAAGTGGTTTAAGCATGTTACAAGGATCTGGCCCTGCTGTTGACTCGTTTTTTGACCCACGGGTGGCGTCCCTTTGAAACAAACCCGCGCCAGCACAGCTCATGAGATTTGTTGTGCCTTCTTCTTGGGGGGAGCCCCTGTCGATGGGGAAGGAAGCACCTGTAAATGAAGGAAAGAACTCTTTTGTCGGGGGGAAGTGGCCCATCATGTTGCCGGCTCAAGAAGTGTGATTTAGGGACTGGTGGGTGAGTTCCTCCAAAATAGGAGATTGCCCGAAAATGAATGAGGTGATTTCCATGGCTTTGGGGTGGAGCTTTAAACTGGAGAATGGTGCCCTCATCTATCGTTGGGACTGTCCCCACCCTTCACTTGCCCGGGGTTTGATTGTGCCTACCCCGCAAGCAGGGGAAATCACCCCAGATTGTGTGTGTGTGTGTGGGCATCCAAGTTTTCAGGCTAGGCATAGTAATTATCGCAAACCCCAACTGGCCATGGGCCAAAAGGCACTCTTTTGTCGGTTGACCAGAAAGGCGGCACACCCCCTCCCAGCAAAATAGTCTTAGAGAAAAGGACGCGCAACCCACCTCTCCTTGCTTCAGCTGCCCTAGTTGGTGGTTTGGAGGGAGTGGTGTCCCATTTGCCCTCTGCAAGAAGTATAGGGGGTCACAGTTTGATGGCACATGCACCCCAGTGCCTAAGATGGCATACCAGCCAAATCCGTTATGATTTGGGGTCGTGACTAAGATGGCACGCACTAAGCGTTGGATGTTGCTTCTTATCGTGGCAGCTTTTCTGATCCGTGTAGGGAAAGTTGGCCATGCAAGCACGGATCCCGAGCTCCCCTCAGAATGACGATGCATCACGAGGAAAACACTTCTCCTTAACACAAGCAACGCGCACATTGGCCCCAGAAAACAACTTTCTGACAGAGGAAGAGGCATGGAAGGGAGATTCATGTAACGGGGTAGGCGACTCATAGAGACCGCCAAAGCGGCCGCGGCCAATTTCATCACTGCGTACTGCTGAAAGAGTTCGGCGGTCGTGCACCCCTTGTTCCCCCTGTTAACTTCAACTGCAAAAGCTCTCTACACCCAAAGTTGGCACACGCTGGCTCTTGTCAGCTCAGCCGGCCTCAACTGTAGAAAGCTCCAAAGTTTGTGGCACTCCTGGTGGCTCCTTAGCTCCCTTTGTAAAAGGTAAATTGGACACGCCCAGCTCCTTAGCTATATCCTAAGCACAGGCTAGTCACTCTGCAATGATTTTGCCACAACTAATCGATGAACAGGTTTGCATAGCCGCACAAGAAGGAAGGTTGGTCACCGTGTGCCATGCTTGGGTTCCCTTTTGTTTTCAGCTCCGTGGGCGCGCGAACAAAACAGCTAAACTCACGAATGCTGGCACACGTGTGGCTGTTTGTGTGTGCCATCTTTTTGTGACCCCTTATAGGGCTCAAAATGGTTAAACCGCAAATTCAAACCACCAACTAAGAGCTACCTGAATCCACAGTATCATTAATATAATACTAGTCCTCATGATCATCATCATCATCATCATCATCATCGTCATCGTCATCGTCATCGTCATCATCATCATCACCATCATCACCATCATCACCATCATCCTCATCCTCATCATCATCATCATCGTCGTCGTCGTCATCATCATCATCATCATCAGCAGCATCATCATCATCAGCAGCATCAGCATCATCATGATGATCATGATCAGCATCATCATGATGATCATGATCATGATCGTGATCGTCGTCATGGTGATATACAGAAATGTTCATGCTAGCAACATATCTCCCTTTTTTTTGAGGGTCCGCTTTTGTGTGACTTTTTCTGGGAAGCCAAGAAGAACACCGAAAATAATCCGTTTGTGTGGTGACCCAAAAAAGACACATCCACGATGCCAACCCTTGGAGGAATAAACTCCTCGATCAATAGGGGGTGGTGCTTAGTAAGATTCAGACCACTGTTCAACGGAAGTTCATCCGGGGTCAACATCAGTTCCAGTTTCCCGTTTTGTTCGGAAGACTAGAAAAGTGGAATTAGGGACAACCGAAAGTTGCGTATCTTTTGCGGCAAAAGGGTACCAACCCCCTCCAAGGTTGGTTGTTTCCTCTTGTTCCTTTGAAATCATCCAAAAAGGGGTCCAGTATTTTGAGAAACACTTGGACTGGGCTGTTCAAAATGGAGGGCTGGCCAAACCTAATCCATAATCCGGCTACAAACAAACCCCATCCCGTCACCCAAGGTAAGGATTCAGGATTACCTTTGAACAGCCCAGTCAGATGAGAAACTGTTGAGCTTTAATTATCAAACAGAGGTCCCCCTATTTTGAGAATCAGTATCAAAACGTGGAAACTACCGCTTCTGTTTCTTGCTCTGAGAACCATTTAACCAAAAATCCCGTTATGGCCGATTTCCCCAAGAACCGGTTCATCCCGAAAACCCGTCGTTTCCATATGTGTGTGGCTCAAAATCAATCAGCCGACGCAGCTTTCAGTTTTCCATTGACCAGGGTTCCATTTTGGGGTTACAACAGGAAACTGGGTTAAACCGATGTTTCAGCCACAGCCCTACCTGCACCAAAGGCAACGCCACTTGGCGCGCGATGACCCTGGGCCCCCAGGCCAGGCGGAGGTGGCGACGCGGTGCTCCGCGTCCACCGCCTGCTGGCCGCGCCGCAGCGCGGCGACCAAGTGCTCGGCGCCCACGGCACCGGCCTAAAGCGAGGGACTTAACGGGGGTGAGGTGATGGGGGGCTGGGGATTGGGGGTGAGGTGGGGGTTGGGGGGGGTTGGGGTGGGGGGCTGGGGGGTTGGGGGGGTTGGGGGGTTTGGGGGAAAGGGGGAGGGGGGGAAGATGATGAATGGGGGCAAACTTGTGGAAGCTAAATATTGGGTTGTGGAAGTGCAGAGTTATGTCTATCAGCCCTTGTCGACGAAAAAGGATGGGATAATAATGTGCTTTTAGAGACACCTCGAAAATGAGAGGCATGTGTTTGGGTGTTTTTTGGGAGGAAAAAGACGGGGGGGTCAAACAACTAGCAAACATATGCAAGAAATATAACATATGAAAACCATGTGTATCCAAGGAGTATCCTGCCTCCGGGAAAAAACAAAGAACAACATCGAAGGAGCACCCCACCAATAATCATGAAAAGATGGATCCTTTAGTGGGTTCCAACAAGAATGGTAACTGACAGGATGGTGTGGGAAGATGAAGATACACGGAACCTGACAGTGGGTTCCCCCCCTGCGCATAACTTCCTCAAAGGTCGCTGCAACAACAAAATAGCTCGCGCTGGGCAGGGGGGCGAGGCCAAAATATCGAGGGTTGCTTTGCCTGTGGCTGGCCGGTGGATATCTGGCTGGGTGGCTCGGCTGGCTGGCTGGCTGGCTAAATACCTGACTGGATGGATGGATGGATAAATGGAGGGATGGAGGGGTGCAGAGATGCCTTGTTGGCAAGGAAAATCAGCAAGGAATATCACCAACTGCATGAGCTCAACCTCGATCCCTACAGCCTGCCTGGAACTTGCGCCAATTACCAAATGCGACCCCAACACTGTCGCTAAGACAAAGCAAAACCGCCAGGTGGGGGAATCTGGTCAGCTGATTGGCTTGTCCATTGGTGCTTGCTTGCGTGCTTGCGTGCTTGCGCGCTTGCTTGGCTGCCTGGTTGGCTGGCTGGCTTCCGTTTCCCTGCTTCCTTGCTTCCTTGCTTCCTTGCTTCCTTGCTTCCTTGCTTCCTTGCTTCCTTGCTTCCTTGCTTCCTTGCTTCCTTGCTTCCTTGTTTCCTTGCTTCCTTGCTTGCTTGCTTGCTTGTGTGTTTGCACGCGTCCTTGCTTGCGTGCTTGCGTGCGTGGTTGCCAATGCTTGCCATTGCTTCGAATAGTTGCCAGTACTTGCCATTACTTGCCATTGCCTGCCATTGCTTGCCATTGCTTGCCATTGCTTGCCATTGCTTGCCATTGCTTGGCGGTTTGGTTGCTTGGTTGCTTGGTCGCTTGGTCGCTTGCTTGCGTGCTTTGCTTGCTTGCTTTGCTTTGCTTTGCTTTGCTTGCTTGCTTGCTTGCTTGCTTGCTTGCCTGCTTGCTTGCTTGCTTGCCTGCCTGCCTGGCTGGCGGGCTGGCCGGCCGGCCGGCCGGCTGGCTAGCTGGGGGTCAGAGGGTCGGTTGTTTGCTTGTTTTGGTTCCTTGGTTGCTTCGCTGGTTGATTCCCTTAATTAGTTGTTCCTTCCCTTTTCGCCGTCCTTGAAAGGGAGAAAGAAAGGGAAGGTCCGCAACCATTCCGTTTTTCCTCTGGCAGATACGTATCCTGGTTCAAAAGCCTGGGTCTCCTTTCCGCTTCCCAACCGCCAAGGTCTTGTGTCACATCCTCGGCCACACAGCCACGCAAGACAGGCCCTGCCTCTGCCTTTGTCCCGGGCCCTGCGAGACTCCAGCTCGGCAGTCCAACCGCTTTTGAGATGGTTCCAACTCTTACATTCTCCAAACCAATTTGGGGGGGGGTCGCTTTTTGAGGGTATCCTTTTTTGGGGCGGGGTTTAAGCGAAAGAGAAAAGCACAACTGATTTGGTGGATCCAAACCGAAGGAGAAAGACAAAACCCACTTTGCTGTGAGAAAGGCTGAGTTGCTCTTCAGACCAATGGGCTGTTTGCGCTTCCTCAAAACCAGCTCCCTCCTTTTGACAAAAAACATAACTTCAGAACCCCCTTCCAAATCCACAAAACTGACACTGGAGCAAACGGCGGGACCCATACCTGGACCTCGCAGCGCATGTCGGACTGCTGCGTCAGATTCCTTGGTGTCGAAACGAGAGGAATCGACCCCTTTCGCAGCTCTGTCCCGAGTTGGAAAAAAACAACAAACATGGAACCAGAAAACAACAACTTGCCATCTTAAATTCGCGGGGCCAAGGGCGCTCAGATCTCCTTTCTCAAGAAGAAAAATCGCGTTTCCCCTTCCACCCCCACCTAACATTTTTGGGGACTGTACCGGCCAATGCGTCGACATGAAGTGTAGTAAGAAGAACTTGAGAGCATGACTGCAAAGCTGCGCCGACCACGCCTGAGTATGACTGCAAAGTTGCTCCGGCTGCGCGCCTTGGGCGGGCTGCGCGCCTCGCGCGGCCTGGTGGCTTGCTGCATGGTCCACGCGGGCCTCCGCGCGCGCGGCCTGCGCGGCCTGCGCAGCCTCCACGCGGGGCGGTTGCCGTTAAAGATGGTGGCAGTGTTGTGCACCAAGAGGATGCTGTAAGCATGAGCTTCGCCGCCAGCCGCCGGCTCATGCACAAGGAACTTGCCGACGCCCAGGGCACGGACTTGATCAATGTTCACAGGCTCCAGAGCGCATACTTCCACGCACTGCTGGTACGTGAGGAGCCCTGAGCAATCTTGAAAGAAGCCTGTTGCGATGGAGCCCGGGAACAAGTTGACTAACGCACAGGGCAAGCACATGTTGCGCCCTGGCACGACTTCCTCCAACACCGGCGGATCGCTCTGCGGCAGACGCCCAAGCACCATGCTGGTGCTCTTGCTGGCGCACTGGCTTCACTTGCATGTGAATCCCGGTATCATCTGCAAGCTCTTGCAGCAAGGCATCTTGCACACCAGGCAATGTGTCTTCAGCTGGGCATGCGAGCGCTCCATTGCAAGCCGCTCCCTGTCAAACAAAAGGAACGCAAATGCTGATGTCTCCGGACGCGGCCTGCCGCTCGCCTGCATAGCCTGTAGCACGTCTGTGTTGACCTCACTGCGCAGCTGCTCGCCACGCTTGCTTGCGCACCTTGTACCGGGTCATGCGTGGAACAAGCTTCCCGACTTCGTTGGCAATCTCGACTATGAAGTGGACAATGGCGTTGGGCTGGTCGAACTCCACCGTGCCATCTGGGCTGCAAGCAGCGCGAGTCAGGCTTGGCAGGCTTGCGTGGCGGAAGAAGAAGCGTCCAAGAGGCTTGCCAACCACCACTTTCTGCTGCCCCTTCTGCACAAGTAGTGTGATCTGCTGGGAGGCACGACTGAGGAAAACCGTAGAAACAGAGGTTTCATGCCGTACAGGGCTCAAACACGTTTGCCGAACACAACTTAAAGACGTGCTCCTACCCGTCGCGCAACTCATCCCACGAGGGCTCCGCAGGCTGAGTCTCAGGCCATTTCCAGTCAGACCAACTTCTGAAGACATCTTCCGGAAACTTGCAGCACAAGTCGCCGCGCTTGTCCTACAGCCCCGGACTCCGCAGGTGCCCCACCGATTGGTTGCGGGGCATTGTCGAAGCAGCTGCCGTGGCTCGAGCCATGCGTTGGAGCAGCCACCTGGTGTCCTTGGCAGCTTGGCTTCCTTCAGGGCAGACCTCCAGCTCGCTGGGCGGACGCTTTTGCATGAAAGGAAACAGCCAGTCATGGTAGAAGGACCAGACCGCATGGTTCGAAGCGCAGAACTGAGTCTGCCAAAAAACTTTCCGCTGCACATCTATCTCCTCTGGCTGGTTGCTGAAAGAACTGCGCCTAAAGCAACAACGGATCCGCCGAGCATGGCTGCGCTTCTGTGAGGTAGGCACCGCGGGCACGTCCCCGGCGTTCGTACACCAGCTCTTGCCGCAGAATTCCCAGGACGCATACGAGATTGGGCGTTCATGTTTGGCTCGAGTCCTGATTTCTTCCTTTTGAATGTTGTGTTTCGTCCGTGAGAGTTAGGGCTCTTTGACGGTGGATGTTTATTTCCGGAAGGCCGGTTGAGGTTAGGCAGGTTGCCCAATGGGCATTGGCTCAAGAATAAGTAACGGTCTTGGAACAAGATAGTACATTAATCAAGAGCCGGGCCCTCTTGGTTGTGTTGTGTTTATGAGGTAGGGACCTCCACTAACACAACTCGCAACCTGCAATTTTTAAGTTGTCCCCTGGTGAACCAGGGGCCTAAAGAGCAAGCTAGCAGACTCACACATGCAAAAGCGCGAGTTGAGTCAAGACTCTTGGTTTCCAGTCATGACGTGTTTTGCTTGAGTTGCAAATCAACATGTCTTATTTTTTAATATGAACCCTCCCTGAGTGTGTTGTATGATTGAGTTGGAAATGATGGTGGAGATGACCATATGTCCAGCTCAAACAAGGGTGGGTGGGTGGGTATGCCCTCTCATACGAGTAAAGGCTCGTCTGTTCTCCCGCCCGCCCTGCCCTACAGAAGAGGGGGCAAAGGCATGAACCGAGGAGTGTGAACTGGATTGCAAAGGCAACTGAGATTCAAGTCAGCCAAGGCCAAAGGAAAGGCCAAAGCAAAGGCCAGGGCTGGCAAGGCCAAAGCAAAGGGTGCCAAGGCCAAGGCCAAGGGTTCCAAATTCAAGAAGAAGATAAAAAGATCATTTGCTGCTGGGTCCAGTCCCAGAAGCAATAAGAAAAAGAGGGAGCTGCAAAATGCACGACCATTGTTACCGGATGATGCGCCATTGGCGGAATTGGCCCTGCTCGTGCCAGCGCCAGCGCCCCTAGAGTCAAATGAGCCAGTGTCTTCTTTGCCAGCAGCATCTGCCTCAGCAGCTGCCTCATCTTCGCCAGCGCCAGCGCCCCCAAAGTCAAATGAACCAGTGTCTTCTTTGCCAGCAGCAACTGCCTCAGCAGCTGCCTCATCATCTTCATCAGCTTCAACTGCCGAACATGCTGAGCCAGCACCGAAAGCTGAACAACCTTGCCAGCCAGATAGAAAGGGCTCAGTGCCACTGGCTGTCACCCGAGGCCCACAGAAAAGGACCCGGGAATGGCAGAACACATGGGCTGATATTCCATGTATGAAGTGCCGCAAGATTGCTGGCCAGATGAAATTGGACCCTGGTCCAGGCGGCAAAGACCCTGAGACGTGGTTCGTCCGTGTCCGGGATGGAGAAGGACAGTGTCTCATGACATGCTTTGCTTGTTGGATTGATTTCCTAAAACTCTGACTGCGTTGGTTGCGTTAATTGCGCTCTCATCTCAAACCTTGTCACTCTCTTGGCAGGAAAGTGGGGCACCCGAGCCCCTGAATTTATTCGGCGACAGTCGAAACTCTTCACCGAGAAGGATGGCAAGGACTACATTCATAAGGGGAGAAAATGCTGCAAGGACTGAAGAGGCTTACACTGAGCGGCAGTCCACGCAGGCCAGCTCCAGTGGCCAACATGCCACTGGTCTGCGGTCAATGTATTTGCTGTAGGGTTGATTGTTTCAATACTGTCAAGGTAAGAACGAATTATAGCAGCAGTAGTCAGTAGTCAGTCAGAACAGTCCAGGCTTCAATAACATTTCAAGACTCATTTTTGCGCCATCCCTCAAGTGCGTTGATGTTTGTATGAGTGAGATGCGGCTCAAATCAGAGTAGACCAATTAAAGCCCCAGTGCCGTGAGGACGATCGTGGACACTAAGATGCCGCTTGCCCACCACCGACCTTGCTGATATGAGGTTTAATGACCTTTTTGTCTACATGCAGGAGTGGCTGGGAAAGTGGCACATCCTCCGGAGACAGAACAAAATCGACCTGTAAAGTCAATGTCACAGGGTGGTCCGGTTCAAGAGGCTGGATCACATGTGCGATGCTGATGTTACACATTCTGAGCGCCGCAAGCTTTGGGAGGAGTTGGTTGGGTGGCTGCTCTGCGTGCTGTACGGTTATAGACATTACCACTGGTCCTCAGAAGAATTTCTTGAGCTGAAGCAAATTTCCAGTGAGGCGTGTGGTGTCACCACGGACGCCGAAATGCCAACGCATAGTATTCTTGAAAGGTGTCACGCTGCGCTTGCGGCAATGTGGATTATGGACAAGTGCTGGCTGTCCGATGCGATTCATCCTTATCGATGGGACATGAACATTGTCCACAAGGACACTAAGCGCACCATGGGAGAGTATGATCCTGAGGTCCGGTGACTCCCGGAGACTCGGACTACTACTTTCACACCACTGAGGAGGCAGTGATAATAAATTATAAACATAAGGGCTCAGTGCCAATCACTGCTCGCTGCTGTCAAAACTTGTGGTGCATCGGGCCGGTTGTGACGATTCTGAGTCTGATTTGCAGCATGTCGTTAGTGTTGTCTTGTGTTGCCATTAGCCATTGTCAGCGTTGTGCGTTGCAGGCTTCTCAGCTGGATCAGTGTCAGCCCAAGTCGGAAATAACATGAGGCCTGCCAAACATGTACTGTCCTTTCAATCAGCCCTGAGACATGCTTGAAACCTGGTGTCAAGACAGTTGTTCGAGTTTTACTGACGGGTGGTTGGTATTTAATAGAAGCTTCAGTGCAAATATCATGTGTTGTATATTAATAATATCGTGATTCTTCCGCACCAGCATTTTCCCTTCGCCCACGAATACCTTCAGCACATTTTCAGCTAGCCCGCGGTCACGGCGGCATTCCTCGAAGGGGAGCATGACAAGCACAGCATGCTCAAGCAAACGTGCGCAGATGAGGGGCTACCAAGATCATGCACTTCCCACCACGCTACGTAAACATGGATTACGCACAGCCGGGCTGCTGCCACCAAGGCTGACTGGGCCAGCACGCGAAGCCCATTCCCGCCCGCAAAGGATGACAGGAGCAGGCTCGCCACACATACACGCAGCATCCCTGCCTCGGGTCCTTCCGCAGTTGCTTGACTTCCCCATTGCAGACGGCAAGGAAGCAGTCCTTGAACGTAACCCCTGCACGCTGTCTCCCTCCCATGTCAGAGTCTGCCCAGCGGCTGCTCTGAGAAGACCTTTCGCATCTCTAGGCAAAGGTCGCTGGACTCCACGTACCACTGCCTGGGCTTTTCTGCGGCCCTTTTGCCGACAATGTCATTGAGCTGCCACTCTAAGAGGGCATCCTCGGGCAGCGCCTGCAAGACACGCACTTCGAAGCAAACGTCGGAGAAGTCTCTTGAAGGCTTGCAACGGCTCAGCCAAAGTAGGCTTGCGCCCGCCGCAGAGTAGGAGAGCGAAGACCTTGGTTAGCAGGAGCTCGCTCTTGGCGTCGTCGGAGGAAGCATCTAGCAAAAGTCGCCTGAGCGGCTGTTCGCTTCACGTGTGCCTGCTTTGGGAGACAGGGAAGGGGGAGCCATGTGGACCAGCAAGCTCGCGCGCTCCACTGCTCCAGCACGAAGCTCGTCGTACGCCTGCAGCCATCGACCAAGAGTCTCATCATCTTCCATGGTTACTTGTGGTCTGCCGAAACAGCACTGTCTCTGGTTGCACGGTCTGAATCTTGCTGCCGGCGTGCAAGAATGCGAAACCAAAAGGCAAACCCTGGCTGCGACTGGCTGTGGGCCAACAGCAAGCAGCGCTGAGAAACTGCAAGGCGCATGCGCGCATCTCACTCAGTAGCACCTGTGGCATCATGGTTTCATGCCCAAGCCTCCCCCACAACTTTGTGGACCCCTCGTATCCCTTCTTAGATTGAAAAACTATAAAATTAAAGCGTTGCGGCTGGTCTTTCGATGTGTGCACAACACGTTCCTTGGAAGCAAGAAGAATTTGGGATGCATTTTGACTGCCTGGCAGAGCTTTCAGACGATCCGAGAGCAAGCACGCAAACCACGGCAAGGCTTCCCGTAAAGAAAAAGGGCTGTGCGAACGCGGAAAAATGTGCCCGGTCATCTTTGTGATTCTGAGACGGCCAACTCCGGCTTGTCACGCGGGCGTGGCCAAAAAAAGCGAAGCAAAAAGTGGCACGACGAGAAACAAAGCCCTGGACATTGGAATAAGCACTGCGCTGCTCTTGCTTGTTTTTGTTAGACATAGATGCGCAGGGCGCCTTATGCAGGACTGCAGTTTCTCGCCTTTGCCTTACTATTGGCCTGGCCCAACGCACAGTGAAACTTGGCGCTGGCTTTGCATGAGCAAGACCAGACATTAAAGCAATGTTCCCGTAACGCGCAAGACATAATGAACATAGGCACACATGTTCCTTAAGAGTCGTCCTCCGAATCTTCAGGCCCAGCTCGACCTCAATACTTTCTGCAGTCCCGTCGGCTCATTACAACCCCAAAAAAGGCTCCAACGGCATGACATTCAAGTTTTTTCACGTGCGCATGCCATGGAAGTTCTTGTTCCTTCGGCTATCAACATACAGTTCTAGAGGACAGCTCCCCATTCTTTCCAGGCATCCTTCTTTCTAAAAAACCACCCAAAACCCCGGGAAGCGGATCCGGTTTTTGAAAAGAACGATGGTTGAAAAGAATGGACTATAGGAATCAACCCCTAGAACCGTAGCATTGTTCATGTGAATTGTGTATGCATCCATTTGCTTAAGCCCCCTGGAAAAATAGAATTGTCCGGCAGTGATCGATTCCTTTTAAAACCAACAGGGGAAAATATTAAACAAGTATTCTTAAACAAATGGCTGTGGGTCAAAACCAATGGTACAATTTTGGGGTAGGCGCACCACCCATTTTAGTCTATAGTGGGGATTGGGATGTTGACTGGGGGTACGATTTGGATTTTGATCCATTAAATGGAGCTATGCATCTCTCTCGTGTATCTTCGCGCGTCTATCTGCAGCTCCATGGACTGGGGCCGCTCCCACAATGCGCACTCGACGCGTCCGAGTCGACCAACGGAGATTCGAAAAATTTCTGCGCAGAACATGCACACATGAAGAAGAAAACACGGAAGAACCAGACGTCCCGAGTTTTGGGACCTCTAATGAGACTGAGACCTGCCGCGCCCCTTGCCGATTCTTCTGCCCCCTCACTGCCGCAAGCCTGCTGCAAGCTTCTGCAAGCATCATTCGAGACTGGCTCAACCCAGACCCGCCACGCGGCGCATCTTGGAGTCGAACAATGACATTGACATGGTCATGGTCCTTACGGCCACCGGCCCAAGTACCTTCTCAAGACTCACACGGTCAGCTGTGCACGGCTGCACAAGCTCCTGAGAACATGTGGGGAAGATCCAGCCCATCTATCAGGAGCTTGCGACCATTGCGGGCAAGACCGGCACGGTGCCAGGCATGAGCACGCAAGCCACCGCAGGCAGGGCTTCTTTCAAGCGCGCCTGTCCTGCAATATTGCCCGATGCTGCTCGGGTCTCCACGCAATGGATTTATTCTGGTCGCCCGGACTCTGTAGAAGGCGCCACCGATGTGTTTCCATTCTTGCAGGGTGTCGCTTTGCACTTGGCGCTACGCTTAGAGGCCTGCTTTGGCGAAAAAGGACGGCCATGTCCTCCGAAGTTTTGTTTCTTCAGCACCAGTTTGCCATGGAGAAGCTGCTCCCTGCCGAGAGGAAGGAAGGTGGAGCGCCACAGGACGGAGGTTCGCGCGAAGCCTGAGCGGGGCCTACTCCAACACGCCACCGCAACAGCCACCAGGAATACGTGGACGACCTCCTGGACATAACGCTGAAGTTTCCTGCGGGCATGTCCCGCAAAAATTGCAACGGCAGGTCTGCCAACCAGATCCTGATGTCGGGGGCAGCCTACAGGCACTTCGCGTACCTCCGCAATGGGAACCACAGCGCCGAGACGCAGCTCAGTGCTTGGGGCACCACTGGGAACGAAGCCTTGCATTTCCAGATCAACAATGCCCGCCAAACAGTATTACAGCAGCGCCACGAAGCCATCCCGCCAACGCTCTTCAGCTTTGCGCTGCAGAAGATGATGGCCCACAACTCTGCTGCCTATGCGCCGACCCTTGCCCAGAGGAGCCAGGCAGAATTGCTTAGTCTCCTTCGCGGACACCTTTCGGCTTGTTCTTTTCCAGTTCCGCCCCTGGCCAACAGGGACGAAGCGAGACGGCCTACGCGCGCCCTGGACCAAGCCAAGACTCAGCGCGCCAAAGCCGTGTCGGCATCTCAACGCCGGAGGTGGGGCCAGCACACCGGCGGCTCGCACGAAGAAAGCCCTTGAGAAGAATGCGGAGAATCGGCAGTCGCTGAGGCGAAGCAACGCGAAAGAGTGCTTGGAGGCCGCTACGCTCCCGGCGATTGAGGACGTGGAGGACGACAATGCGGACACCCAGCAAAGCTTGTGGCTAGCTGCAATTCTTCACGCGAAATTGTTTCGCGGTTAGGGAGGTGCTTGAGATTGATTGATTGGTCGATTGCTTGATTGATTGATTGATTGATTGATTGACTGATTGATTGATTGATTGATTGCTTGATTGGTTGGTTGGTGGGTGGGTGGGTGGGTTGGTCGGTTGGTTGGTTGCTTGATTGATTGATTGATCGATTGATTGATTGATTTGTTTGACTTGATTTGGTTCATTTTGATTCGACTCTATTTGATTAATGGATTGCTTGATGGATGGATGGATGGATGGATGGATTGATTGATTGATTGATTGATTGATTGATTGATTGATTGATTGATTGATCGATTCATTGATTGATTGCTTGATTGGTTGGTTGATTGGTTGATTGATTTTGAGGTGATTTGATTGATGGCTTGGTTGATTGATCGATTTCTTGACTGATTGATTGATTGATTGATTGGTTGGTTTTGATTTGATTTGATTTGAAATGATTTGTTTTTGATTGATAGATAGATTGATTGATTTGATGGAATAATTGATTGATTTGGTTTGATTCATTTGATTGATTGATTGCTTGATTGGTTGATTGATTGATTGATTGATGGATTGATGGATTGCCATCCTCAGATTTCTACGTCGCACTGTCCCGAACAGTCCATCACACCACCCCCCACCCCCCCTCACCCATGTCTGCTTGCCACTAAGATCCTGTCCGGCGGGCCTTGAAATTTGCGGTGTTTGTCGGCATCCAACTCCATGCCATGTTTGAAGGCAAATGTGCTGAGAAGGGCAAAAATAGTCTTGGTTGAAAGGCATGACCTTCCGCTGGCCAGGCCTGTCTGAAGCCCAGTCCAACCAGCAACCCAAACAAGCCCAGCCAACCAGCAGCTTGCGCAGGCCCAGCCCAACCACCTGTCAGAGAAACCAGCCTTGTCTGAACTTGAGGCGAGGCTCACATGTCTGAGACTAGCGCCCAGCCCAGTCAGTGTCTGAGGCTCGCCTCAGGCCCAGCGCGACCAGCAACCACCCAAGCAAGGCTCATCCGGCCCAGCCCAGCCCGCCCTGTCTGCTCCTAGGCATCTCCTTGCCCTTGCCTCAGCGATTCCTGCGGGCCCATGACATCAATTGGTCCAACGACGCCAGAACCTGTCCATGCCTGAATCGCCACTTGACCAGCTCTGCTGCTTGCAGTCGAACCACAGACGCCGCACCCTCGGCTGGGCCGAGGTGGGCAACGCGCAGCGTTTACAATTTCCCCAACAGTTCCTGGAACTTGCTGGAACCCGCTAAAGCCGCCCCGGACCACCCCAGAGAACACGACAAGGAACTGGCTACCTGGGACTCTTTTCGAGGTTCCTTCTGCTAATAGAAACCATGTGGGTTGTTGCCCCAGAAAAGCTTGTTTAAGAAATGAGAACCCTCATTGGGACCCCGGCATTCTCCATGGGCGCCACTCCATGCTTTCAATGAAGCTTGGCGGTTGCTGTCGTGCTGCTCTTGGGAAAGCTGCGGTTGAATTGCTTTGGACACGGACAGGAGAAAAGCGCTTCGATTTATGTCCGACCACGTAGGGTGTTTCCACGCATTAAAACTCGCAGACACTGAAGTCTGGGTCCTCCTTGACCAAAAAGCATTCAGATTCGAGGATGCACCTGTCAACTTTTGTGACCGCGTTCCGGCTGGACCACACGCGAAAGGCTGGTTCTGCGATGAGATTCCCAGATGGGATTTGAATAATTTAGCAGCCACAACCAGATATTAGTATCTCAGTAAATGTGTATGCACTGCCCGCTGTTCCCTCTGGCTATGGCTCCATATCTGGGGATCCCAAATGGCTGATGTCAAACACCCATTCCAAGACGCCGAAATCGACATGGTTCTTCCGCTGGCGAGAGCGAGAGAGAGAATGCACTTCTGATGTCAGCTCAAAAGGTATCACGGTGCCACTTGTGTTGGAGGCGAAGACTGTAACGGCATCATTCACAAGTGACCGCCATGATCGCATCAAAGCGATGCGCTCTGGTTGCTCATGTTGAGCATACCAGGAGGGCGTAGGGCGTAGGGCCAATGTCAAAAATGATGATTGAGACTTGCACCATCTGAGCGCCCCAAAAACCCACTACATTGACCTTGATTCTACCAAGACGGTAATTGTTTACAGAAGCCGTGCTATAATCCATACACAATCCTGCCTACACCGAAGCTTCTTTGATTTTGCCAAGGGTTTGGGGCGCTCAAGGCTCAAAAGTCTGTAACTCACACACCTCGTCAGGAAAGACCTGCAGTCAAGTCCGGCGCTTACCGGGGAAACGGGGTAAAGACCTTCATCTACGGTGGCTCTCTGGCGTTCTTGAATGGCAAAGGTGTGTGTGTGTGTGTCAAAATAGGGATTCGGACCCCAACCTGTTCAATTTCGCTTCCCTCGAAACCAACCATCCGCCCAAAAAACCACACACCCACATTGTCCCTTGAAACTTTATGGGCGTGCATCTTTTCAGGGTGCCCTCTTGCAGCCTCAAGGGTCATGGTGCGCCAAGTTCGAGGGTCCCGGATGAGACGCCATCGATCGCCCGCCTGATCGATCTTCGGGCAGCGTCCTCCAGGCCTCCCTCGGAAAGGCGCCCAAAGGGGCCCTGGATTTCAGGAAGAATGGTTGTTTTTTTTCTGCTAGGCGCTATGATTCGTTGATTCCTTAGTGTCAGGTTGGCACTTGCACCTATCAGTCGTTGATTCCTTAAGACATACCCAGGGAAACTACAGCTGGCTTTAAGAGGTTGGCTGTAGCAACAGAAATGGGGAATTGTTCCATCAACTCGTGGACTCTCCGAAAGGCTCCCTCTTGAATTGCACATTTGGCTACCCCAGCTCGGCTCCCTTCCATACTCCGGGGTAGTTGCTGCTTGAACTTTGAAGAACGTTGCTCCCTCTCTGAACAAGAGTTGGCTCAAGAGGGCAAAGTTGCCTTTGCGTTCATTCTCTCCCCAAAAAGGTTGAAAACTGGTTGAGGAAACCACACACACACCCAAAGAGAAAAAGGGAGCTGAAACGCGGGCTATCGCTCACCGCTTCATGGCTGTGCAAGTGAGTCCTCCCTAAACCGCTGGGGCTGAACCCCTTAAAACAACTTTGTTGGGTTAATATACCCTCTGGAACCCACCAGAGGGTCCCTGTTAAGGAAAATCCTCTTCCAGGACCCCTCAGTCAGGTTCCAGTGGACAGGAGGCTCGGTAACCACCATTGCTTGAATCGCGCCCCGAGGGTTTGTTGCTTTGCAGCGCCTCAGCCCGCCACGGGGCGTGGCATTTGAAGCCGAAGTTGGAGCTCTCTGCGGGGTTGCCCAGGCACTCCCGGTATCCGGCGACGCCTCATTCTTGTTCGCCCGAAAAGAAGTGAGAGCACCGCGAAGTCTCTCTTTGTCTGACCCCGGACCCCTTGTTTCTTGGTTTTTGGCTTGAAAAACACGGACACCCAAAAGCTTTTAAAGAGGGGAAGGCAAAACAAAAAAAAGGAAACTTGAGGGACACCCAAGGCAAACCAAGGAAACGAAAACGCAACCCGAGGTAAACCGCAGGGAAACAAACATGGGGAACACAACCCAAACTCATCACTCAGGAGGTTGTCCTCCGAGAAAAAACAAAACAAAAAAGGGACTTCCCCTCTCGCACGCTCGGTTGCATCGAGCCGAGAAGCTCTTTGGCGCTGCAAAGCCTTCCGCCACCGCGCGTGGCGTCAGGTTCCACCTGGAAAACGCGCGGGACGCATGGCTTGCCTTTGGGCCCGTCTTTTGTGGGTCACACAAAAGGGGGCACACAGAAAATAATAGTGGTTGGTGTTGCACCATATTTAGCCAAACATAAGATATAATATGTTTTGGAGCAAGCCCCTCCTTTGGACTGTAGAGGGACCCTCCAGAAGTGTAGAAACCCGCTGAGGGGGTCCCCTCCCCCCAAAAAAAAGGAAAGGGTCAAAAGATAAACCCCGGAGGGGCATTCGGTGGGTGACAATTAAAACGCGGCACGAAAGGAGTTGCCCAGACCTAGGAAACAACCAAAAAACGGGCAGCGCGTATGGTTGGGACCGTCCCGCTACAAACGTTCGGGATTGTGGCTCGGGTGACACACATGGCTGCAAAGGCAAAACAACAGCTGTCCTGGTTAAGTGGGGTATAAACATATATTATAATGTATATACATATTAACATGGTTGTGAAAAATGGTGTTGTGGGGTGGGGTGGGGGGGGGGGTTCCCCTTCCAACATCAGGGGGTATAAGCTCTGGTTGGACGGGGCGAAAATTCGAGTTTTCCCAATTAGATTAGGTTCTGAAAGTGCAGACGTATGATTGGCTACAAAGCTAGCCTGTTCGAAATGCCAGGGGCCAAATCGCAATCCGTAATCCGCTGCATCCTTGTTTTGGTTGGTAGATCTTCTTAATCCGTAATCCCCGCTGCAAACTTTGTCAAAACCGTGTGTTGGAGCATGTGAACATCCGCGCAACCCATAATCCGCATATGGCATAATCTAACCCATAAACCACAGAATCTACAGTCATAGCGCCTCCTCCCAACAAAAGGCACCTGGAAGGTCCGTGGTTCAATTTCGTCTTGAAGGGACCCCGTGTCAGGCGCCATGTTTGTGAGAGATAGGGTACCTGGACCCTCAAACTACCCTTCAAGCAGGGCTTTAAGGTTCATATCAGGCGTTCATGTTGGTGTGATCTTTACTGGGGGACCTTCTTGGTGGACATCATGAAGGAATAATCTCCACCACCTTTGAGACGGTTCCCTATTAAAATGCTTCATTTTCTGGACCGTTGCAACGTCCCACCGGTTCGACCTCGTGTCGGACGTCAGGGCGGTGAACCTCACGGCAGGCTCCGTTTCTGCATGCGTTCGACAGGGGGGCCCTTGTTTGGAGCGGGTGAAAAGGGAAATCAAAAAGATGTCAGGTGTCCCAGGTCAGTTGCCCAAAAACAATTGGGGGGGATCCCTAATCTGAAACCGCATTTTGTTATGACCTGTTTGCCAATTTGAAAGGGAATTTACAAAAGTGGCCACGTCAAACTCTGCTCCCACCATGACCTCGCGGGCTTCAGCATCCAGCTGCTAGCCCGAGGGTTCCGAACGCCCAGTAGGCCCACTCTAGACGATGACTATCCTTAGGCTCCCATTGGCTTGAATCGTGGTTTGAACCATCCAACTGGTAGGTTCCTTCAAGGCACCCCGAAACGGTTTATTACAAACCCGAAGGACGCCTCAGCCAAAGGACCTTGTCGAAGTCAGCGTCGTCCCAACCTGAGATGGTTCCCAACGCGGCTGGTCAAGGAGCCTTTCGTTTCCAATGGCGTCCCTGGAAAATCAAGGCAGTCATCAAACAACGACACTGTTCTGCTTGAGGATCCTTTGCTTCCCCTTGGTCTTTGCCAGTTCTGATAAAATGGCCACCGTCAAAAAGCGACAGCCGCAAGTCTAAAATAGAATCTACCCTCTTTCCAACAATCGAAGAAGCTTACAAAACGTGTAGTCTTCCAAAAGCCAGCTTCCTTGATTGTTAAGAGGGTGCTGGCATCATGGAGTCGCAACCTGAGAGATGTAGGCTTCATACATCCGTGCCATGCATCCGTGATTGCTGCAGATGTGCAAACCAAGAGGCACAATTTGCACATCTCATCCTCGCAGCCCAGCGCTTGTGCCAGGGCAGGGATACTACAGTGATCCCACGACACCAGAACCTGCGGCCGAGCGTGCTGAAGGTCGCGCAAAGAATGAACACAACCCCAACTAAGAACCCCTTGTTCAATTGGATTCCCTAAAAAATACATGTTGGCCAGATTGAAAACCACCCTTGCCAGCTCTTTCAATGTTTTCGGCATCCAGGTGGTTCTTGGATGTCTCCCTTAAGGCAGCCAGTTGAAAGGAAAAAGGACGCCTACAACGGGAAACCAACTCTGAAGGTCGGAAGAATTTCCACATGGTTTGCTCCTTTAGTAATGACTAAGCTTTATTTTATCAATGGCCCGCGCACCAAAAAGCAGACACACACAGAGCTCTGCTGCAATATCTCCGAGCTGCAGGCAGTGAGCTCACTGCCGGCCAAGCAGGAGGCCTGGCTTTGAGGTGCGGCCGTCTCACACACCGGGGAACTGTGGATGGACCAAATCCAGAACCCGGTGGTGAGTGGCTGGTCTCATAAGATTGAAAATGTTTCATCCAAAAACCAAAAACAAACAAATAACTGGTCGGGGGGTTGGAAAAATGAACGCTAGGTGTTTGTTGAGAAGTCGAATCCAGAGGTTGGCAACGCCCAGCCAATCAGAAGGGTTCTTGCAGCACCTACTGGGGCTGGACGAAATCCTGCACCACTTTGAAACCATGGCATTTATGGGGGAATCCTCATTCCAGGGTTTCTTAGGTGGTGCAAGATTTCGTCCATCCACAATATGGCTAGGACTGTCCCTTTCTTTCACTTACCCCGGTGTGTACCCGGTGTGTACCCGGTGTGTACCCCAAGATCGCGAGAAAAGGAGTGTCGATTCCTCCCAAATGGACCATGTGGTCTTTTAACCAAGCCTCGCAAAAGCAGAAATCTCAGTACTTCATATTTCTCTTGACTCCGAGAACAGAGTCAAAACTCAAGTTGAAAACGCGGGACATGATCCACACACCGCGGCGCGAATCGAATCCCTCCGTCGCCTTGAAACGAACTGGCGCGCCTCCCGCTCTGCCTTCAAAGAGTTCACCATGTCAAGGGCCTCGTCCTGTGAAGCGAAGCGGAGAAATCACTTCGGGTGGTCTCAAAGAGGGATGCCCTAAAATGGGTGATTTCCTTTTGTGTCCCTTCCCCATGCTTCAAAAAGTACCTGATATTTCAATCCCCGAAACCACCAATCCGAGCCACACCAGTTCACATCTAGCCGAAGGAGGGTGTGGGCCTAGGCATCAAATAGAATGGCCTTCATCTAATGCAGAAAATACAGGTTGCCAAGTTGGGAACAGGTGTCCAACCCGCAAAGCAGGGGTTTGTCTCAAAGTAGGGGAACCACACCACCCCCCACCCCCCCCCACCCCGCCCAAAAAAAAGAAAGAAAGAATGTGGTGTCCCTGTGGTTTCCTTTCTTCGACCCAAAAACGGTACTGTCCTGTTGATGTTGAACACCATGGATGTCCGAGATCTAGGAATGATCATGTAGGTTGGGATTGTCATTGGAACAGTGATGTTTCCGCAGATTCGCAACCCCCCTTTGAAACCTCGTTCATGGAAATGATGCTACACCATCCTCATAACTCAATGAACAGCCAACTTGTGTGTGTGTGTGGCGTGCAAAGGGCCTTGACCAACCGGTGCTTTCAGGTTCGGTCCGGTGCAAAAGACGTATTCACCAGTAAATGCAACCGCTGCGCCAGCGGCCACAGCAAATACCTGACAAGCGGAAAGGCAGCGTGCATGTGGATATGAGCCTCAGTCAATGTTCATTGTGCCCCCTGGAATTTTGGTGAGTAACCCCATATCCGAATGGCATTGTGAGTGTGCTCGTGTGCCCCATATCATCCCCTACTGTAGATGACCGTGCACGTTCACCCTTGCTCATATGATAGTAAGTTGGGGACCCCTTTATGCCCATCGCTCAACGAACCTTACCCTGCTACAGCCTTTATGACCAAACCTACTGAAGTAAAGGTTCTGTTGACATAGGCACAAATGAGGGGACCCTTTGGTGGACATAATTTCGGTGGGGAATCTTGAGTTTGGTGGTTCCCAAAAAACTTCATAGCCGCATGAGTCTGTTTTTGAGGGTGCCCTCTTTTCCTGGTGGTTCAAGGGGAAACCAAAAGCAAACCCACCATCTTGAGGGGTCCCCCTAAAAAAGGACACACTCCATACGGTGGTGTTCCTTGTGGTTTCCCTTTAAAACCGGAAAAAAAAGCACCCTCAAAAAATCGCAGACCCACATTTCCAGAAAAGAAATGATGTGCAAACCACACCGGTCTGCGGTCTTGGGCGCACAAGTCTCGGCTGCTGTAAACTCCTGGGATCAGCTTCCGGGCGAAAAGCCTGGCGCGAAGAAGTTTGGGCGTGCCGTTGTAGGGTTACCTTCAAAGGGGAATCAATGGTTCTATCTAGTTCTTTGGGGAGTTTCGAGTGGCAATTGTTTTGGCGGATATGATTCTTAAATGCGGACTTGTGGCCCAAAGGCAGGTTGGAGTAGTCCAAGCAATGAGTTTGAATTGCGCCCTTTTTTGACGGTACTCCTTTCGGAGTGGCTTCAAAGGGAAACCAATTCGCGAAACCCGGCATTTTTGTGGGCGTCCCCCCATTTTAAGGCAAACACTTCAAACAACAGCCGCGTCGTTTGTGTGCTTTTCCGGAAGAAGCGCCCCACCCGTCGCCGTGACGTCGCCGAAACGTCGCCTGCCGGGCGCGGGGAACTGGCCCTGGGGCCCGAAGGCGCGCGCCAAGTGCTCGCCCCGCAGGAGGCCCTGCTCCGTGCACAGCTCCATGCGTGTGGGGTCCTTCGACAGCTCGTTAAGTGGGATGAGAACACGGAATGACCCCGAAGAGAAAAAGCATCCCCTGTGGTTTCCTTTCAGGGCAACCCTAGGTCCAAAATAAAGGAATCTCCTTGCGGTTCATTCCCAGAACCCGGAAGGTCATTCCCGAGCACCGGCAAGCACTTCGGTGCCGTTGACCCCCTTATAAACCCAAAAACACTTGTCAGGGGTCCTTGGAAGACAAGAAATGTTGACTTCGGACGAATTCGAACCATACAAATCAGGGGTGCAAGCCCCTTTTGGCCAGGAAAACGATCTAGTTTAGCGACCCGCTTCCTCTGACTATTCCAGATCCATCCAAAGTCAACATCCGAATCCTGAAAATGGTTGCTTTTTGGCCCTCATTCATAGGAATCGCCCCAATTTCTAAAGGAAACTGGACCGGATTTCCTGCCGGTTTCTTATGGCCCAACACCCAAAATATGTTGGGATTCTGTCAACCGTATTTAGCCCGCCTGAAAAAAAACACATAATTTATGAGGTGACCCCCGCTTACCATCATGCTGGTTGCGCATTAGAAGCCGTATGTCCAATCAAGCCGGCCTTCCTTCCGAGTCGGTCTGTTTCTTGGTTCGACGCGCTCGACTCGAATTCACGAATTCCGGCAGCCGCTCGCCTCAAGGCCAACAGCTAGCAAATGACTATACTCTCCCGCAAATAAAAATGGAACCTAAACCCTCGTTCCTAGAGGAGTCCCCTTTGGGGTCCGAGACCCTTCTTTTCTGGGTTCCTGTCTTTTCAGGCGCTCATGGGAGCCCCTTCTGGTTCTGTATGCGCATGGTTCGCGACCCGCGCTCAGGAACCAGTGGCGAGGAAATGGGGAGCGGCCTCAGCGGAAATTTGAGGGTCCCCCAATTTTGAGACATACCCATATCCAACAATATTATGTTATACCCTCCCTCTTTCTTTTTTTTTGGGGGGGGGCTCCTCAATTTTCCAGATCCAAATGGGTATGATGTATCAAAATAGGGGGCCCAAAAATCCCAGTGTCCATTGTGATCCCTTTGTATTAAACCAAGCCACACCTGCATAGACCCCAAATAGCATGGGGCATTACACTCTGACAAGCACCCTGGCTGCATCGCCAAACAAGCACCGACAGCAACCACCACACCACCCAAAGCACAAGCTGCGTCGCTAAACAAGCACTGCCAGCAACTTGAGCACACACCTTGAGCAAACCTAACAGCACCTTGATCAGCACCCTGCATCGCAAAACAAACACCGCCAGAAACCACCACAGCACCTAAACAGGCACTGCCAGCAACCACCACACCTTGAGCGCACCCCAAACAACATCCAGCTGCAGCACCAACCTGGTCCGAACTCGCAGAACTGCCCCGCAAGAACCCCTTATAGCTTTCAACTATCTGGGGAAAAGCCACGCACACCCGAATGTTAAAAGAAACCTCCCAATGCTCGAGTCGATCGAGCGCCGGACATGGCGCCGGCTCCAAATGCAACCGGGCCTTGGGAAAGGCAACTGCATACATTTCCGTGGGCCCCACTGGGCTTCTCATATTTACCCCTTAAAACATCGCCTACAAAGGGAAGCTCACCTTAAATGGGCCCAAAAGGTGCCATGACCCCCAACCGTGGATGTTGTCCACCCACAAATCTGAGGGGAGTCTTTGGTGGACATTGGTGAGTCTTTTTGGAGGGGGCCCCAAAAAGGTGTTCCTTTTGGTTTCTCTTCAAAACCAGCCAAGAAAGGGTACCCCCAACAAAGACAGACCCATATCTAGAAGCTCGGTTAGATTTGTGTCTACCATTTTGCGAGTAGTTCAACTCTTGGCAATCAACATCTACATTTACGCAACTGCACACATTTGGGAGGCTGTTTCAACCATGAAGCTTCACAGCCTTGAAACTGAGCCTGGGGGCCGATCTGGGCTTGGCACCGGTTTGCCATTGAACTCCCTGCACGGGCGCTGCCTCCGCACTCAGCTTGGCTCTCCAAGCCTAGTTGATCCTCCCACTCGGCTGGTTGACAGAGATGAGCCCCGGCTGAAGTGAATAGCTGTGAGCCAATTTGAAGCAGCCGGAGCAATGGGGATCTTCGCATGGGTCAAACGTGTCCAGGCTTACTTTTACTTGGCTTGTCCACTAAAGCTACCAACCTCTTAAAGCTTTTTGACACAACCCTGAAAAGCCCAAGAAGGTTCCCACTTAAAGGCTTGTTCACTAAAGCCATCAACCGCTTCAAGCCGGTTCTACTTTTTCTTTGTGTGTGTGTGTTGTTTTTCTTTCTTTCTTTTTACGGGGGCTTCTTGCCAGCGCTGTCAAGCGCTTGCTACATGGGATGGTCATCAGGCCGGCGCCTGGGCATATGGATCTCGGCCCTGGCAGGCGGACGACGAGAGGTTACTACAGCCAGTGCTTCATAACGCCCGCTGCAAGTCGTGGTGGTCTCAAAAACAGGAACCCGTGCCTCACGGTTGCTGGTTATGTAGGTATGAGGGGTGTTTTGTTTTTGTCAAAACTGCATACTGACGCGGCTTTTTTGGATTTGCCCTGTTTAGTTCTTGCAACTCCCTGCCTAGCAAGGAGTCGGCAAGACCATCGGTGGTCATCTTCAATAACAGACTGCTTCAACCGGGGTGTCCCAAGAATAGGGGGCACTTTTCAGGGTTAACCTATATAGCCAGTTTGAACACTGCCCAACCAAATCCCCCGCGGTTTGAGGGTGGTTCGCAACAGTTCCCTTCACTGGCCAACCAGTCAAGCGGACCGGATGGCAGCAACAGCAAAGAGCGCGTCGGAGCCAAGTACCTGAAAGCGCAACAAGGTTCTGGTGCAATCAGCCTGACGCACTTCGCAATCTGCGAGACTCTCCGGGATGGATGCCGAATGCAACTGTGGATTGCGCCCTGCTGAGCGCTAAAAGAGAGCACTAAAAGAGTGCAATGTAAACAACTGTTGCACAAAGGGTGTGCCACAACACGCAACACCTTGTTTAGAAGTCACAACTAATGAAATCCACAGCTAGGGCATCCAAACCTTCCAAACCTGTTGCAATGGGGCGCGGACGACATAAGCAGCAGCAACAGCAGCAAAGAAGCAGCACTGCCTCAAGCTGCTCCACTGCTTCACTCGCATTGCGAGTCGACATTCAAACATATTCTGAAAGTGTTGACGGCCCGTCATTTCTCGCCACATCTAAGGGTTTTGTACTGCACCCTGTGACTACACCAAAAAATGAGCGCACAACTCGCCCAAAAGCAATGGCTCAAGTCCGACATCAGCCAAAAAAGTACCCTACCGCGCCTGAAACGCAAGGACCCAGTGCCTTACGAAAGCGGAGGCCCCGAGGCGCCCGCCAGAAGTAACGCAGGCCTCGAGCCGAAGGCTGTGAACTTGTAGAATCGAAACTCGTTGCTGAGCATGAACGAAACATGCTTGGATTTCTGATCTGGGCTAGTCTCAGATCCCATGCTAAAACTTGAACTTTTGGTGGTTTAGGAAACTACCGCTAACCCCTGAAAACCTAAAAACCTAGGGGGTGGGAACCACCAATTCTGCCTGTGTGAAGGACACGCCTTCCACATGTTGGCTTCGCAGCCGACGAGTCTGCCCCAAACACAGCTCGCCAGAGGCCCAGACCCGCCGTTGCTCATGGCAAGGCCCCAAAGACCTCACAAGGGCGGGTGGAAAGCGTGTTTCAAGGAGCTTGAACGGGCATGTCTCAAAATAGGTTTAAAACCAACAAAGGGGTACCCAAAAAAAAGACACCGAAATAAACCTTGTTGGATTTGAGCGTGAGATTTGCTCAACTACAGGATGCTCCCATTGGATTTGAGGGTTGCCCAAATTGGACAATTTGCGCTTAGTGGTGGTAAGCCTCCTAGGCAGCTTGTGGTCAAAGGGATCAAGATCAAGCGAAACGAATGAACCCTATCGAATGGATATGTTGATAGCACTTCCCTCTATGAGTCGACACCTGGGGTGGTTTACCCTTGCCAAACAGCACTCAAGACAACCTCATTTGAACACAACAGACTTGAAGAAAACCACTTTTGAGCCCGGAATCTGAGAAAAACCACCAGCTGAGCTACGTTGGTGCTCTTTTAATCTCCCAGGTTGGGCTGTGGTGTGCGGTTTAAAAGCGGCGAGTTATGTCATCCGATCAGATCCCCGGGCTTGGATGTGGTTCTTCCGCATCCAGCAGCACCCAAAGCCCAGCGACTTTGGGTTCCACTGGCATTGCTTCAAGTTTCATGGCAGTAACTTGGTTGCCGCAACGACCCCCCTGCAAAAAAAGTTGATTTGTTTGGGGAAGCCCGTGGAAAACACCTTGATTCCCCGAAAAGTTCAGAACAGTTCAAGTCTAAAGATCCAACCCAATAGCAGTCAAGTAGGCCTGACGATAGCCCCAAATAAACTAGGAGCCGAGCCTACGTCGCCCGTTTGGGGTTTTGGGGATGGTCACTTGCTTTGCTTCTCATGGAATATGCGCCAATTTGGGAATACCCAACTCATCTGGGAAAAATTGGCTTGATTGGTCTCATTGCCGAGAATAAGAACCATCAAGATGCAATGGTTGAGCATTGGGGTCACTTCAAGGGGGAAACCTACCCCAACCCAAGAAAGTTTCTCAGAACCTTCTCAGATGTTCTGATCAAGGCCATTTGTGGTACTGCCCCCCCCCCCCCCAACTAACCTTGCCCCGCCTCTGTACAAGGAGAATCTCTGTTATGTTCTTTATCTTCATATTTGGTCCATCCCGAAATCTACAATAGCATTGCACAAACATGTTTGGAGGAGATCGCATTGCACAAAAAAAAACTGGTGGTGCACATCCCCCCATTTCACACATGTTTTGGTGGAGACAGGTCGATTTCTGCCCAAATCGACTTCGAATCCCAGGCGCTCGTCACCCAAAGCCCGATCTGCATGCCGCCGGCTCCTCCGCCTCCGCCGGCGCCGGAGGTCCCGGCGTCGCCCGCGGCGTCGGAGCCCGAGGCAACGGAGGTGGACACCGCCTGTTGCAAGCGAGCATCGAGCTGCGAGCTGCGAAGTGGAAGAGACCAACTTGCGGTGCCTGGAAGGTATGAACTGCCTTTCGAGCTAAAATGGGCCATCTTCCGAGCAACGAAAGGCTTTCGCTGGCGAAATGATTTTCCGAAAGCCAAATGAACTGCATGAACAGGTGTCGGTTTGGTTTGAGGCTCTTTAGAACCTCCATCAGTTTTGTTTTGGGGGGTCCGGTTTGACACATACCCAACTGCACTGCGTGAGGTTGCATGAGGTTTGAGGGTGGATGAGCTTGCAAGGGAGCCTACCTGGTAGGAAAAGGAAACAAAAAGGGAAGCCTTGCCATTTTAGGTGCCATTGGTACCCTAATTTGGGCTCGGTTTGGAGGGTTCCCCGACTTTCAGACCAACCCAATCACCCAGTCTAAAGCGGATAGGAGGGTGTGGAAAGACTACACTACCGCTGCTCTCAGGAAAAGGCCTCTTGCCCTTGTTCATAATTGTGGGCAAAGGGTGGATTTGGACTGGGAATGGACTCCTTAGATTCCTGGACGCACGCAAGACATAGCCCTTAGATTTCCCACATTCTAACACGCAACTATATTTATGCATGGTCAAAGCGAAGATCGGAAACTTTACAATAGTTGTTCGATCAACCCACCAAGCCCGAGTGACCAGGTGTCTTGACAATACAATTGTCCCCTTGAAACCTCACCCCACCAAACAAGACAAGCTATTTGGCAGCAACCAGGCGCTGTGACACCCAAAGACATGGTCAAACCGCGGTATTTTCCCAAGCTGGAGATAAGCTCGTCGTGGAGCGGCCGCGCCTGCGTCGCCTGGGCCTGAGGAACCTGCACGCTGCACTGGACCTCAAAGTCACCCGATCCGAAGCCATCAGGTCACGGCTTCGAGGCGACCCAACTGTTGAAAATGGAGGCCTCCCATTTGCGTTCGGAGCCTCAAAAATTTGCCCCAATCTTCTGGGTTTCAGTTCGGTTGCTGGCCGCCAGCCCGCCTGCGACAAAGCGGCCGTCGCCCATCCATCGTCACACACCTGCGAGAAGATTCTCATCAAAAAAAACCCAAGCATCAATCAATCCATTCCCTAAATACATCAATGATCCACCCCCCCGAATTCAATCAAGCATCCATCCCCCTTTGGTGTCCTTCAGCACACCTTACGGGTTGCTATCCCCCCCCAAGTGGCTGAGTCTGCCGCGCAGCGCGACACATCCGAAGGATCCGGCTCACCGTGCAGGCAGTTGCAGTCCCTGTCAGCGGCCGCAAAATCGCGACTTGAAATTTGAGGGGATTCCCTTGGTATCACCAAAAGTGGCAACCTCAAAGAACATTCTTCCCACTGGCCAAGAAACCCAAGCGCATGGTGTATTTAAATCTGCAACACTGAGGTGCCCGCATGCAAGCCGCACCTGCAGAAACCAGCATTGAAAGCCGTACCACGAAGCCCACATTGACAACATGAGATCAAGGGGCTCAGGTACACAGCAAACAGAACTTGGACAACGGATCCGACCGGGGACTCTGCAGAAAAAGTAACAACAGGTTGCGGGTTAGAAGGGAGAATGAAGGGAGAATGAAAGGAGAATGAAAGGAACCAACAGTGTGAACAGGCGAAACGGCAAAACGGTTGGCTAAGTCTAAATGAGAAAGCCTTGGTAGCTCAAATGGAATTTCCGCCTCGCCTGTCGTTGTCAGTGTTGTAGGATTGGCAGTCAATGACCTTGGCAACCATCACACAGAACCTGAACCCCTTCGGGCTCCATGAGGGCAAAAAAAAAGCACCGCGGAAGATTATGTTAACTTCGCATTGATCGGAGGACCGTGCTCATCAGGGGTGGCAAGCCTGGCATGGGGAAAATGTTCTATTTTAGGGTCCTCCGCTTCAATCCGAAAGACACAAGTTGGATGGGCTCGGCATGGGCGGACCTCTGTTCGTGATCTCTGAGACCCCTGCGCTAGGGCATCGCCAACAGCGATGCACTTGTTCGCCTCAGGTGCGAGCTCAGATCGGAATTTGCTGAGCAAGCCCCGCGCGCACTAGCGGAAACTTGGGGCCCATGCCATCCCCTTCAACTGCCCAAGTTTGTTGCGTTCTTCTTACTGCTGGACTCCGGAGCCACATGTGCCTTTGTCTCATCAAGGCACTCAAGTTTTAGTCCCCCCCTCCCCCCCCGCGTATGTTGATGCGTGCTGAAGGAGACGGCTTGAACAACTCTACTTGATATGTTTGTTGTTTGAAATCGCTCGTTTAACAAACCTCCTTCTGGGTGTTGGTTGCCCCAGAGGTTGGTGCCAATTGTTGAAACAACTTTGACCCTAGCTGCTCTTCATGCGGCCATGGGTCAAAACCCCGTACCCCCAGTCCCAGTGAACATCCCAATGGGCCCAATCCCCACTAAAATAGACTAAAATGGGTGGTGCACCTATCCCAAAATGGTACCATTGTTGTTGAACCATGGCCATGTGAGACGAAAGATGCTTTTTCCACCTGGGCCGGTGGCTTGCGCATCATACTCTTCCGGTGGCTCGCAATCGTCGGCCACCGGCTCGCACCTCCCAGTTGAGCAAAAGACGCTGTGCTGAACAGCTGTGCCGTCCGATCAACGTGTGGTGCCTATTGGTTTCTCTCAAGTGAACAGTGTAAAGGGATGTTGAGCATGTCACCTTAAGTCACCCGGCCTAGCTTGCGCGGCGTTGAAGAAATTCCGCGCTCCATCATACTTCAGGACGCAGCAAAGCGGCCCACCTGGCGCAAATCTCCGGAAATGGACTTTTGGTTCTATCAACATGGCTACGGGCCATAAGTATTCACTTATGTTGGGAATGCAATAATCCCTTTCAGCCAGGTGGTAGCACCACCTGCTCCACACATTCGCAAGCGAGATCGAAGGCCCCCCCGAAGAGGGTAACACCACCTACTGAAGTGGCTTTTTCAGATGTGTTTCGCTCACATAGATTGCACAGAAACCCTCCGTGTCCAAAAAGGCAAGCGTCCGTCTTCCTCCAAACAGAAGGCACCGGTGTTACCTGGGACTTCTTCTAGGTGCATCCCGGCAGCGTGGAAAAGGAGCGTGTCAAAGGGTGACCCAACAAAAACTGCTTGCTGTCCGCTTGGCTGGCCTTCACGCCAATCCTGGAAAGGGTCCCCTCAAACACGGGGAAATGCTCGTTGGGAGATCTGAATCTCAGCCGCAGGCTGGACACGCAATCCGCATCCTGGCATTGGCGGATGGCCCGTCAGGCGGCACATGAGACAGACGGGGCCAAAGAAAACATCGAGCCCACTGCCAGGATGCCAAAACTTTAGACTCCCTTGCCAAGAAAAAACAGGGCCATTCCCCAGTATCAGGCGGATCCTTCCAAAAGAAGCCATACCCCAAGGCAACATCTCTAGCCAGTGGGTGTTTCGTCTGACGGGGGGCTGGTCCGTCAGCCAACATGCCGGCCTGCGCTTCGACTGTCACCAACACCAGGAGAACGCTCCACATAGGCAGCCCATGGCGACCGGAAGTTGAGCCGACTCGCCTGCGGCGAGTGATCCACACGTGCCCTTCATCAGGCCCAGAAGTGTGTGCAGGAGCTCACACGCACGTGCTATGGTCAAACACCATGGTCAAACACCTTCGTTGGGTCTTGCTCATGCTTCCCTTTCTTGGAACACTTGCAATGGTTGCCTAACTTCCCCTATGAAGAGGTTGATGACCATCTCTACAGATTGGTACCTCGTCCGGTTTTTGTGGCTCGCCCCCCATGTTCCATGGACAAATCAGCGTCTTGTTTGACAACAAACTTGACATGCTTGGTGCTTTTGTGGGGTCGAACCCCCGGTTCTCAAACCACCCCTGGCCGCCAAACATCCTGGCAGGCGAACCAACCAAACACCAATTAGAGGGGAGCATGCGTAGCTTCGCGAATTCGGGACAGCCCATGTCCTTTGCCCAGGGAGGGTTCTTGTCGCAGTGCCGCGCCAAGAAGACGTTAAACACCTCGGAGGTGGGACCCCAGACCCTTCAAAACGTCAATGTCTTCATATCTAAGAAGCCGGCTACAGGAAATTCTACAACAAATGAGCCGAAACCCTGGCATTCCTGGCAACTTCGCGTTATGAACCCACTTGTAGCTGGTAGGAGTCAGGGAAGTGTATATGATTGAGCTACATATACACACATCAGACAACGGCTGCGCCGCGATGGGCGCCCGGGCACATCTGGAGGGAGCCGCCTGTCAGCATGAGAAGGCCACCGGTCTCTCGAACGCGATTGAGGCAGCGGCGGACCCGGTGCCTGGCAACATCCGGTTGGGAGGAGAGAGGGGGGAGGGGGGAGGGGGGGGCCACTGGAGTCAAGCACAAAGTGTCCGCTCCAATATCACGAAGATCCTAGCATGAACAACCCACAATATTGGATTTCTAGTGGAATGACTGTTGATGGATTCCCTGCCAACAGAAGGAATGAACCGAAGGTCTTCACATGTTGTTTTTGCCACCCAAAAAATCACGACGGCAGAAATATTGATCATGAGGTCGCCGACCAAATCATATCAATCCCTTTGTGAGGACATGACCGCCCAAAACACCCCCAATAGTTTAGGTGGTTTCCCAAGCGACCATATCCCGAACAAATTTCATCAGATATGGTTGCACCACCAAGTCCCCAAAATCTTCCGAATCAAAAACGGATGCCTGAGCCCGCCAAACAAAATGCCAAGGGCTTGTCGAAGCAGATTCATTTCATGGTTGGAGAACTTGACCTTAAAGATGCCCCCTCACAATATCCGCGAACCCATTTCAAAAGATGTCGCAAAGTCCCAGAATCATGTCACCTTGACCCATCATGCCGAAGTCAGTTCCTTTGCCCGCCACTCATTGATCCCAAGGCAATGTTTCTGAGAAGCCTTTCGCGCAGGGTGAGAAAGGATACAGAAACTGCCAGGACATTTGGCAGCTACGTGGCGACACTTTGAGCTTCACACATCCTTTGCTCGCACCGTGGTGCACTCGTCACGAGAGTGCGCCGCAGGGCGATTTTGTTTCATCGGCACATCAAACACAAGCCCCCTTCTCCAAATACCCAACGAAATTCGGGGTATGCTGTCAAACCCTGACTAACAAAGGAGGAAAATTGCCACAGAATGCCAGGTTTTTCGAAATATGCCCCAAAAAGGCGGGTATTCTTCCCAAACACGTCACATGGTGGCTCATGCCCCCAAGCAAAGCGGGGAGACAAAGCTCTGCGCTTGGCTTAAGCCAAGCCATGGAATCGAAATGTATGGGTCTGTCCTTTTTTACGGGAGCCCCCAAAATGGGGCTTCCCTTCTCTCAAAAAGCGACACCCCCGTACATTTCCCTTACCCCCTTCAACTGAAAACAAAAAACGGAAAGGACTAACCACCTACTATAGTAGCAACTGCGACCCTCTGGGTACAGGCCTTGTAATGCTCCGTTTGGGTCAGAATCAAAACCTGGTACTAAACGACGGATATCCGCGCCCGAGCCAATTTTTGGCTGGGACTGCCCCGCGCTAACCTTCAACATCCCGGGTTTTGATTGCAGCTCATTCGGGAGAGCGTTTTTTGACAAAAAATTGGGGTCACTCAACTGGGGATCTGGGGCTGGTTGAACTTTTTAGCAGGTTGTCAAAATTAGGGTGGGTCCAACGACTTAGGTGTCCCCCTTTCCTGGTGGGGAACCTTTTTTTCACCCTTCAGACCCTTCTTTTCAACCCTTCCCTGTTTTTTCAACCCTTCACCCTTTCTATTTAACCCTCCCCCGTCTTTTTTAACCCTCCCCCGTTCTTTTTCAACCCTCCCCCCTTCTTTCTGACCCTCCACCTCTTCCTTTTAACCCTCCATTTCTTCTTTGCCAACCCTGTGGCCGAAGCCTGCGGCAACTGCACTAAGCAACGGTTTAGGGTTGGGTTGGTTTATTCGGGGGAGGTTAAGTGGGTTTAGGGCTGGTTTCTGAAGGGAAAGGTGGATTTCTAGCTTTGTTTAGGGTTGGTTTTGTGTTGGTTTAGGTTGGGCTTAGGTCGGATTTAAGGCCTGGGATTAGGGTTTGTGTAGGAAGGGTTTAGAGGTCAGGGTTTGTTGAGGGTGGGTGTAGGGTTGGTTTGGGATGGGAAGGATAAGTTTATGGTTGGTTTAAGCTGAAGGTTGGTGTAGAGCAGGTCTGTGCTGGGTATAGGGCGAGTTTAAAGTTGGATGAGGGTGGGTTTTTGGCTTGGTTGGTTTATCTTGACTTAGGGTTGGGCTTAGGGTTGGCTAAGGCTGGGCTTAGAATGGGTCTGCCGTGCGTTTATGGTTTGGGGTTGGATTAAAATGCAATTAGGTTGAGGGTGGGTTTTGAATGGGTTTAAAGTTTAGGGTGAGGTCACTGTTGGGTATAAGGTTGGATTTACATAGTGTTAGTTTAGGGTGGGATTATGGCTTGTTTCAGGGTGGATTTAGGGTGGATTTTAGTGTTGGAATAGAATCTGCTTGAGGTGGGTTTGGGGGCGGCTTAGGGAGTAGGGTTGGATTAGGCTAGTTTAGAGCAGGATTAGGGTTGATGTACGCTGGATTTAGGGTACGGTGGGTTTATGTTTGGTTTAGGTGGTCTAGAGTAGGTCTGTGGTGACTGTAGGGTTGGCTTAGGGTTGGGGGGTGGGGTTGGCTCAGGGCGGGTATGCGGTTTGTCTAGGGGGTTGGTTTAGGCTTGGATGTGGATTGGTTTTACGGTTGGCCTGCGGCTGGATTTCGGGGTTGGGTCAAGCTTAGCTTAGAGTCTCAGGGTGGGTCTAGAGGTGGGTTCATGGTTGGTATGGTTGGTTTAAGGTTGGTTTGGAGTGGCTTAGGGTTGGATAGCTGGCTTAGGTTGGTTTGGGTTCAGTTTACGGTGGGTTTAGCTTTTTTTGGGTGGGTCTAGCTTGGATTTAAAGTTGTTTTTTGGTGAGTTTAGGGTGGAGGCAAGGTTGGTTTAGGGTTGGTTTTTGGGCTTGAGTTCAAGGTTGGTTTTTGGGGTGGTTCGGGATTGGTAAAGCTGGGTTTAGAGTGTGTTTAGGATTGGGTTAGGGTTGGCTTTGGGGCGGGGTAGGGTTGAGGTTGGTTTTGGGTCGGCGGGTCTGTTCAGGTTCGGTTCTGTGTTGGTTTAGGTTTGTCTTAGGGTTGCATTAAGGCTAGATTAGGGTGTAGGTGGGTTTAGGGTGGGTTTAGGGTGGGTTTAGGGTGGGTTTAGGGTGGGTTTAGGGTGAGTTTAGGGTGGGTTTAGGGTGGGTTTAGGGTGGGTTTAGGGTGGGTTTAGGGTGGGTTTAGGGTGGGTTTAGGGTGGGTTTAGGGTGGGCTTATCGGTTAAGGTTGGTTTGGAGTGGCTCAGGGTTGGTTGGGGTTGGTGTAGGGCTGGTCTAGGTTGGTTTGAGTTGAGTTTAGGGGGTTTAGCTTTTTTAGGGTGGGTTTAGCTAGGGTTGTTTTTGGGTGAGTTTAAGGTGGGGGCAAGGTTGGTTTAGGGTTGGTTTTTGGGCTTGAGTTTAAGGTTGGTTTTCGGGGTGGTTCGGGATTGGTTAAAGCTGGGTTTAGAGTGTGTTTAGGATTGGGTTAGGGTTGGCTTAGGGTCGGTTTAGGGTCGGTTTAGGGTTGAGGGTTGCTTTTGGGTCGGTTCTGTGTTGGTTTAGGTTGGGCTTAGGGTTGCATTAGGTTTAGGTGGGTTTAGGTGGGTTTAGGGTGGGTTTATTGTTGGCTTAGGCTAAGCTTAAGGTGTGGGGTGGGATTACGGTTGGATCAGGGTTAGGGTGGGTTTAGAGTTCGTGTAGGGTGGGTTTAGGGTGGGTTTAGGGTGGGTTTAGGGTGGGTTTAGGGTGGGTTTAGGGTGGGTGCCGGATTGGCTTGTTGGTTTAGGGTTGGTTTAGTTTGTTGATTTAGGGTTGGTTTAGTGGTCGGTTTGGGATTGATTGGTTGCGGGTGGGGTGGTTTCGAGTAGGTCTGTGGTGGTGTAGGGCGTGTGTAGGGGTTGGGGTAGGGTTCATTTAGGATGGCTTGGCTTGGGGTGGGTTTAGAGTTGGATAAGAGATGTTCCTGGTTTGCTTGGGGCGTTGTAGCGCGATTTAACGTTGGTTTGGTGTGGGGGCTGGGTTTGGGGTTGGTTTGGGCGTGTTTGGTTTAACCCTGGGCGAGGGTGAGAAAAACAAGGTTGGGGGGTGAGACAAGCAAGCTCGCGGGTGAAAAAAACAATGCGGAGGGTGAACAAAAACAAAGGATTTCTCAGGGTTGGGCAAACAAGGTTCCCGCAGACGGTTCCCAAGCAGGGTTTGAGGGTTGCAAAAAAAAAGGAAGGGTTAACTAGTGGCTGGATCCAAATCACATGGGAACACTGCTGATTTGGACCGTTTGGAGCTGGACCATTCAAGGCCATGACCCTGGCTCCTAGCGATGGGTGTGTGAGGCGTTACGCTCAACCACGCCTCGGGCAAAAAAGAGGAAGGTCAGCGCCAGGGCGAGTGCCGAACCTCGGAAACCATCCGCTCAGGATAGCCAAATGGACATGTCTGAAGGGGGGGGGACTCCTCCAAATGCGGTTCCTGTTGGTTGTCCTTTACCTCAAAACGGCACCGCAGGCAAAACATGTTCTCCAGTTTATGTTAGAGGCGTTCTATGCATGTGCCCATTAAGGCAGTTGAAAAAGCACCACCCAGCGCTAACGTTTGAAGCCCTCCAAAAACAAATTGGGTGGTCTCCCGTTTGAACAACCCAAAAAGAGTAGTGAATGGTGAATGGTGGTGTTCTCTTGGTTGTTTTTTTCCCCAAAACCCCCAAAAAGACACGCCCAAACATGTGTCAATTTTACGGTACCTGCACCCTCTACCCTGAAAACATAGATTTCGCCTGAAATTGTTTGGGTGGTTTACCGGTTTACCTTAAGGGTGGTTGTTTGTGGGTCCATGTAGCATTTGGGAATCTTAGTTGGGGACCCTTTGCTGGACATCATTTAGGATTCCCAAGAAAAACAAAAGCCAGTTGTCCATCTTACTGGTCTGAAAAGGACCCTGAAAAGCACCAGGTCCTTCCCCCCGCCGGCGACTTTGCAGGCCAAGCGAGCTGACCCCCCTACTCCAAATAACCCCTGGTGCAAGGAAGGGACCAAGGTGACCCTCAAATCTTCCGTGGTTGACGTGCCTTGGCGGTTGAGTATATGGTTGGTTTACTTAAATACCATCCATCATAGCCTGAAAGAAGCGCTCGTGGAGAAGTGGGAGACACCAAGCACAACCTTTGGGGTCAAAATGGGTGCGCGTGTTGTGTCATACCGTTTTCAGTTTCAAGGGGAACCACCAGAGAAACCCCTTGAACCCATTTCGAAGGTCCCAGTTAACATTTTCCACAGTGAGCTGTAAGAGCTCCGAGCTGGGCAGAGCTCAAGTTGATTCCGACAGGCTCGAAGACTCTTGGAGGCTCTAAGGATTGAACACGGAATGCTCCGATTCTTGAACATGACTGGTCGCCAATTTACTTGAAGTGAGAACCTCTATAGCTTCCAGCAATCTGGGGAAAAAGTTGGGCTCCTTTGAGATTGACCCATTTGGGTGTCCCTTTTTGCGGCGCCCCCTCAAAAAAGAGCTCAACTCCAACCACCTCCCGCTGCTCAGGGCTCGGCACACAATTCCCCGCGCCACGCTTGCGCGGCTCCATGTCGGCTCACCTGGCAGACTGCAGGGCGCTTCTTCAATGACATGGGTGTGCGTGGGGGCTGGGGGGGCGGCGTGGGATGGGGGCCTCCCACAACGGACCAGTACCAAAGGGGGGAATGTAGCGTTTAAGGGAAACCAAATGGAAAAACGTTTTGGGGGGGTCCCTTGCTTCGAGACAAACCCAAGTGCGTGTGGCGTGTATACACGGCCTGGAAGATATATATATATATATATATTTATATTATGTATGTGTATATATATATATATCCGCATCTGTTTCTTCTCTGCAAATGCACTCGGCGCCACGGCAGCCCAGGTGTTGCGAAGTCTAGCCGGACCCACAATTCTCATCGGCGCCCAACCTGCACGCACATTTGGATTGACTAAGTACAGCGCCTGCACCCCTTTTAATGCGTGAAGTACCGATTGGCTTAGCAACCAGAGTGCCGCTGCTGGTATGAACACGCGTACTTCCAGCATACTTCCAGTCTTCAGATTCTGAGACGCGCGAAACCTTCGAATCAGCCTGCCTTCGGTAGAAAGGAGGTGATGGCAGGTCATTCGGCGCACTTCCCATGCATGCAGGGCATTGGCTGGTTGGCGAGTCAGCTCAATCCAGCTGAAAGGAGTTGCTCAGATTGCTCGACTTCGATTTCGCCAGTTGGGGTCGGAGCCTTTGGTCAACCCCAAAAGCTGAGCGGACAAGAATGTGCAGTCATGGCAGTTTCCCTGCTCGAATTTCCCCCGCTATGTGAGCTAAGTGTTGCACTTGTGGATGAGGATGTTTGCTTTCCATGTCCCGCCTGCAAGAATACGCATGTGCATCTGTCTCCAAATTTAAAAAAACCTCCCAAATCAGTGATGTTCTTCCAGTTTCCTTTCAAAATGCACCCGCCCCCCCCCCCCCCCCGCAAAGAACAAACCAGCACCCCTGTATCCGCCAACCCCCTTCCTGATCTTTATGTAGCATCAATTGTAACGTTGGGCCTTGGTGATGATGCTGGGGATGTTGCTACTGCATGTCTCGGTCTCAAACCTGCCGCATCTACACAAAAGTGCCGCCCTTCTTTGTCCGCAACTATACAAAAGGGTCTGAGGCTCCACTCCAGGATTGACAGCCCCTTCCAGCAACCCTCCAACACATCCCTGTCTCATCACTCCTGCCATCTCAAACTACCCTCAAACTTGGAAATTGCACAATATCCTGTCTTCAAGGGTAGTTTGAGGGTCAAGGTTGATTTAGGTGGTCCGTGTTGGTCACGCGGCTTTTTGCTTTCAATGCATGGCAAACGGCGCCAGGTGGTCGGCGCAAGCCAGGTCACATCCCTTCAGGATCTGTCCTCTCCGAATTACCTGGCACTGCACTCAAAAATGCACTTTTCTAGCTGTTCGCTCCCCATTCTCTTCAGGCATCATTCCCTTCAAAGAATGGGCCAAAACCTTGGAAAATGGGTGGTTTCCAAAGAGAACGATGGGTGAAGAGAATGGGGAATCAAACCTTTGAACTTTAGCCACAATCAAATCCCCGGTGGATTCAGGTCAGTAAGGGACAGTCCCGGTGCGGCGCCTTTTTGCTTCTTGACATGGTTTTGGGTCGACCACTTTGATAGCAGGTGTTGATTGCGACTCCACGTGGGTACGTTCTTTCCAACAATTCTGGAAGCTGGGAATAGTATCTTTGAAGCAATTTTTAGAAGACTCCAGTCCTCTTGAAAAGGCTCCCTGTCCCCTTCCAAAGCCGCAAAAACAGTGAAAACCGTAAAAGTCGAAGCCAACCGCCAGCCGGAGAAAAACAAAAGATCAAACGAAATAGAAAATCCTGAAACAAAAAACCTGGCTCTCCTCGGAAGATTGGGGCGCCCTGGCAGGTGTTCATCGGAGAAAAAGAAAGCCCTTTGCTCGTCCCCCAACTCGATTCACTACCAAACGATCTTGGCAGTTGCCCGTGTCACAGTCAAAGAATCTGGTTGCAAGGCACCTGACTTTTTCCAAGCCCACTCAAGGCAACGCCCCAAAGCATCATTGGGTTTCGCGCGATGTACCTCTAGAAATCGGTGAGCTCCATCTGAAAAAAACATCACAATCTGATCTGCCCGCCTTCGCTTGCAGACCAGTCTCCAGAGTATTCGTCCTGGTTGCAGGGTTGGGCGATGCAACCCCTTAAACGTGGGGTGCCTTCTTTGAGGAAACTCTTTTTGGGCTGCAAACCAAATAGAAACCACTAGCTTGAGGGTTCCCCTATTCAACCTTATTCAGAGCCAAACTCACATGTGCAAGCCACGATTGTTGCAAGAACAGAAACTGCTTTGGGCTTATCTTCGCGAATTGCACCGAATCAGGTCCAATTGGTTCCATGTTTTGACTAAGGTAGGCTTCACTTCGATTCAAGGGCCCGACTAACCTCAGGGTGGTAAAAGCAATGGAGCCCTGGTTGCCACCAACCCTGCCTCGTTCAGCTCCGATTCTTTCAACTGCCCCAGTGAATTCTCTCGGAGTTCACTGGAGGCCTGTTTGGCAGACCACAGCCCAGAATGCTCGTCCGCCAGGCTGTCCCTTTCCTCGCTTGAGTCACTTGAAACCCGGCTAAAGTGGTCGACCCCAAAACATAAAAACATGAAACGAAGCAAAGAGGATTGACGGATATCCGCGCGCATACGTTGTTGGGACTGTCCCCTGCCAATCTTCTACCCGGCAGAAAGGAAATCACAGGCTAACCTCTGGCGGCAAGGGAAATAGCTGGGTGCCCTTTCCGCTCCGGACAAACCAATCCGCAAAACCCCACCCGCGTTCAGCGTCCTTTAGGGGCGTTGGCTTCACAAGGCTTGGTTGCTGTTGACCCCTCTGCAAAAAGTTCAGCTTTGTGTGGGTCCAATGGCAAATCCACCGTCTCCCAAACAGTCAAAGTCCAAAGATCCAAGCTTGGGGTTCTCCCCTGCCCAGTAACGGTGACCACAATCAACACAACACAAAAAACACGCCGGGAACCTTTTTTTTGGGTTGGGGAGGGGGGGGGCGCGTGCCTGCTTCTGGCCAGCTGGGGGTCCGAGGGCGGGGCGGGCTGGAAACGGCATGTGGTTGTTTAATTTTGCATATTCTGAGCAATTCGGGCAACTTGCACGCGAAAAAGCACAAAAAAGAACAAACACAAACACAAAAAAAACACAAACAAAAGCACACAAAAAGGCACAAAAACCACAAAACAAGCACACACCAAAGAAAACAAAACACAAACGCGCAAAACCACGCTTCCCATGCCGCTCGCAGGGACAGCACGAGAGGCGGGCGCGCAGACCACAAGCAACATCAGAACATGAGCCACAAACACGAACTAGCACAAAACACCACACAATGAAATAAGAGCACTGTGTCAGCCTGAGCTGTTTGTTGGGACACTCTATCAGTATTGGAGGGACGCGCCGCGGCTGGCAAACTCACATGCAGAATGTGTGCTCCTCCTGAATAGACACTTCAAGGCAAACCCTTTTGACGGCTGTGGCTGGGCAGGGGAGGACCCCAAATCCAAGCAACTAGCCATACAGAAAGTCGGGTCATTTCGGCAAGTCTCCGAGGAACACGACGCCGAGTGGTCGCCGAACACGTCTTCCCGGACACTTTCCTCCGCGGCGGAAGCGGCTGGCGGTTTCGGAGACCCCTCCAGGAGCTCCAGGAAGCAATCCTCGCCGGAATACGCGGCGGAGTCCATGCCTCGCGGAGAGAGGTGGTGGGTCTGGTGCCCTTGGTTCCATGTTTTCGATCAGGGAAAAAACCCTCAAAAGAACACACACCAACCAAGGCAACCAACCAGCGGCTCTTAGCTGTGTGTAGTTCTGTGGGGAATGGCCTTTGGAAAAGGGTGGATTGAAAGGAAGACTGAGACACCCGACAATCAATCACCGAAATAGTGGCAGCAAAATCCGATTTTGGAACCCACACGGGCGCGGAGGGGTCGAAGGAAAAGACAATCCCGGTGTTTTGAGAGACCCCGGCTTGATCTTTGAGCATCTGAGCCAGGCCAAAGGCTGTCTTTGTACTCCTGCAGGGCATCCACTGAAGCGGCCGGGGATGATTCCTCGCAGGGCGAGCCAACCCCCACCCAAAAAGAGATTCAGAATCCTCAATGTTGGGTTCCAGGCTACTGTGCAGGGGACAACACCTATTGTTTCAACAACCTCAGACTCATTTTGAACTCCCTTCAAAGGTGTTGGGGGCCTCGTTCAAACAAATCCTTTCCCGGGCCATGAACCGCCGGCGGGTTTCTCGCTCATGACTTGGCTTCCTCAAGGCGGGCCCGGTTGAGTGGCAACGACTTTCGCCCAAAAAATCCTGAGGGAATGGGTTGGGGTGTTCCTTGGGGTTCAGGGAAACAGCCCTTCTTGAGAAATCCCGAACGAGAGCAAAAAGACAAAAGGCGAATGAGAGCAAGATTTGGAAAGCCAGGGAACGAGCGAAGAAGAGAATGGAAAGCAACAGGGGGGAGGGCAAACAAAGACTCTCCCACCACCATTAAAATGCATTGTGGCCCCCTTTGGGGAAATGCTTGGACAACACAGAAGACTGAAAAGAAGAGGACAAATAGACGGAGAAAAAGAAGAACGTATCAAATCGCAGAGAAAGAGCAGAAGACAGAAGTAAGAAGCAAGCAAGAAGGAAGTAAGAAGGACGAAAGAAAGGAAGCGAGAAGGAAGCAAGAAGGAGGCAAAGAAGGAAGCAAAGAAGGAAAAAGTCCGCTCAATCCGTCTTGTTGCCCAATCCTGCCTCACAGCCAACAAATGCAACAGTTGGTGGCAACAGCGTTGCTGCGCCGGTGTGGTGCTGAAAATCCTCTTGCGCTTGATTGGCATCACTGTCTCGGTCGCTCCCAGTCAACGAACGCGAGCCATCCCCAGGTGCTTGGAGGCCACCAAATGTGTTCGGCCTTTCGGCATCCTCGCTCTGCTCCTCCTCAGTATACTGTTCGTCTTCAGAATCTGCCTTGCCTGATGACAAACCATCAACCACATGCTCTGCTAATGCTTTGCTGGCCTCCTCATCTGGCTTCGATGTAGCCTGCGCATCATGGTCAACGCCATGTTGGCCTTCCCTGTCGCTGGGGTCTGCATGCGAGCTACCAACATCTGCAGATACCGCACTCTTTGAATGTGGGCTGCCCGCTTCGTGGGCTGCGGCAGACAGCCGCTCCGCGTCTTCGTTCTGCTCCTCGTCTGTATATTGGTCTTCAGAATCTGCCTTGCCCGATGACAAACCATCAACCGCATGCTCTGCTAATGCTTTGCTGGCCTCCTCATCTGGCTTCAATGTAGCCTGCGCATCAAGGTCAACGCCATGTTGGCCTTCTCTGTCGCTGGGGTCCGCATGCGAGCTACCAACATCTGCAGATACCGCACTCTTTGAATGTGGGCTGCCCGCTTCGTGGGCTGCGGCAGACAGCCGCTCCGCGTCTTCGTTCTGCTCCTCGTCTGTATATTGGTCTTCAGAATCTGCCTTGCCCGATGACAAACCATCAACCGCATGCTCTGCTAATGCTTTGCTGGCCTCCTCATCTGGCTTCAATGTAGCCTGCGCATCATGGTCATCGCCATGCTGGCCTTCTCTTTCGCTGGGGTCTGCATGCGAGCTACCAACATCTGCAGATACCGCACTCTTTGAATGTGGGCTGCCCGCTTCATGGGCTGCGGCAGACAGCCGCTCCGCGTCTTCGTTCTGCTCCTCCTCTGTATATTGGTCTTCAGAATCTGCCTTGCCCGATGACAAACCATCAACCGCATGCTCTGCTAATGCTTTGCTGGCCTCCTCATCTGGCTTCAATGTAGCCTGCGCATCAAGGTCAACGCCATGTTGGCCTTCTCTGTCGCTGGGGTCCGCATGCGAGCTACCAACATCTGCAGATACCGCACTCTTTGAATGTGGGCTGCCCGCTTCGTGGGCTGCGGCAGACAGCCGCTCCGCGTCTTCGTTCTGCTCCTCCTCTGTATATTGGTCTTCAGAATCTGCCTTGCCCGATGACAAACCATCAACCGCATGCTCTGCTAATGCTTTGCTGGCCTCCTCATCTGGCTTCAATGTAGCCTGCGCATCATGGTCATCGCCATGTTGGCCTTCTCTGTCGCTGGGGTCCGCATGCGAGCTACCAACATCTGCAGACCCCCCGCTCTTTGGCAGGGGATCATTTTCTGCAGGCTTGCAGTCAAGCTTCTGACGTGGACTCGAGCTGTGCTCCTTTGAACCTGCTTTGGATTCTATTGCACTCTCGAGGATTGATTGCAATGCTCCTTCGCTGCAAGTTTGCTTGACCTCATCCTCGACGTGTTCCTGATCGCTCACTCGCCCTTCGCCCCGGTCCGCATCCTCAGAAGCCACCTGGATGCAAGGCGGCAGCACCCTGGTCGCTCCCTAGTCCGTAAACATCACGCCAAAATGAAATTCACTCGCCTCGCTTATGGGGACGTTCAAAACCTAGGAATGGGAACCCTGGAGCAACAAAACCCCTCACCTTGCCGTTGGAAGTCGATCCCTCCAGCACAGTTAGATCCGGCTGCGTGACAGCGACGGTGACGGGGGTGACAGGCTTCTCTTCGCCTGAGCATCCAAAAACAGCCGAGAATAAACAACGGGATCCTCATCAGTTGATGGTGACGTGTGACTTGGCCCAAACTTATCCTTTCAGGGACTTTGAACATGGAAGCAACCATGTGTGCGTCAAAGTAGGGATTCGGCCAACCTAATTGTGGCTTTCTTTTTGGTGTCTCTTTCAACCAGGAATGGCACCCTCGAAAACAAACACGCGCACACACACACACACAACCGCACACGAAAGTGGGTTTGTTATAGACAAAAAACCTGAACACTACTCAAAGAATTCTGGGAGCACCCATGTGTTTAGGGGCATGGACGCTCCCTTTTGGCTTCCTCAAAATTGGTCGTTCCCCTTTGGCTTCCCTGACTGACCCATGCCAACGGGCGTTCGCATGCACCCCTGCCTGGGATGTCGTCCGTCGGCTCCTTCACTGGCAGGGGCTGCCCCCTTATTTCAGCCTACCTTTGACGGCTTCCCTAAAGATGCATCCAAAAAACCCGCCTACTCTGCAAGAAGCGTCTCGAACATGAGCTGGTAAAGCTCACTTTTTGACTGGCTCAAACTCATCCTGCCCGATCGGTGCTTTGAAGCCCAAGAAATGGTGCGCGGGGCCCCCAATTGACTCCAGACACGTGGAGGTTCAACCGCCCCATTTCTGGCAGGGAACCCACTGAGCTTCCAGAAAGATAGTCTGCGGTGTGTTTGGGGTGCAGTGCGCCAGGCAAGGGCCCCCGCGAAAGGACTTCCGCGTTCCTTCTCCCTTTCGCACCGAGCCTCCAAGAACGGAACAAACGCCCACCCCCTCCTCCCCTCTTCCCCCAAATACCAAAAGTTTGGGGTGAGCATGCTTCTTCCTTGCAGCGCGAGCTTCCGCCTCCCTTTCGCAGAGCGTCTGCGACTCGAACCCTACACAAGCCACCCCGAACAAGGAACGCCGACACTCAAAAATCAGGTGCTTGCTTCAGGCCCTCACTTCATCTTAGACACAAGAACCATCGTGGTATCTAAGTCTCGGGTTGTCTGTTTATGTCTGTTTATCTAAGACGATATGGTTTATCCTGCCAAGTGAGTCCAACTTCTCAAAACCCGCGGCTCCCTCAGCCCAGCCTCGAGTGCGATGCCGGAGAGCTTCTTGCTCTTGCCTCAACGCATGCTCACAGCGAACGGTTGTGTCTCAAGACTCAAAATCAAAATAGGGGCCGTCTCTTGCTGGCTCCCTCCAAAAAGCATCCGAAAGAAAGGCTCCCTTTTTTGAGGCAAGGCCAAGCCAAGCCCAAATGAGCTCAGCTCATGAACTCGAAACGGGATCCCTGACGAACAAAATCCTGCAACGCTTTCGCCATGTCAACATTGGAAGTTTCAGGGCCCATGGCCCATAGTTGCAAACATGTTAAAATGACCGAAATCCTGCACCACCTGTTACGAATGCCAACAACATTGAACATGGGATAGTGGTCTGGGTGGCCTGTTCAGTGACAAAATGCGGTGAGAGGTGGTGCAGGATTTCGTTCGTCAACCGTACGCGTTCTGGGTCCGTCCCAGGTTCGCCAGCACGCCCCAATGGTATCCCCCCCCCCATGCCGCGCACCAACTACCCTAAGCGGAGTCTACACCCTTCAGTTGACTCCAAACCCAGCCTACGCCCACTCAAAACAAACCAAGCCGCAACCAACCCTTATCCAACCCTGCCCGCAACCACTAGAACCTGGAGCAAAGATTAGGGGTTGGTGTCCCGTGCTTTTCTATCACCACCCCCCAAATACCACAACATGCCGTGTTTGCCAGCTACAAAGCCCCAAACAACCATTCCCCTTTTTCGTGAGCGACTGAACTATTTTAGGGGGGGTCCTCTGTCTAGCAAAGGCGTCCAGATTAATCCGAATGTAACATTCGGCAAAACCCAAGTCGACCATAACTCGGCAAAACCATCTCTTCAACCTCGAACCTCGAATCGGCGGCCCCGCTTTGCCAGCGCCACACCCTCTGCACCTGCGGACTTTTTGGGGTTTCATTGCTTTGAGAGAAACCCACAGGAAAATCAACCATCTGGACCCTCGAAGCAGCCTGAAAACAAGGAAACCGCCGCATAAATTTGGGTTGAGACATCTCGTTTTTGAGGCTCCAGGTACCCGAAATCATTCAAGAATTGATTTGGGGGCGCAGCTGTTTAAGGTCGGGACTGTCCCCAAATCTTCAATTGCTCTTTCCTTATGAAAACCAAGACCTTGGGGCCACACGGAAAACAAAAAATGGACTTGTGTCAAAATGGCGGAGCCCCTCCAAACCAAAAGGGCGTTCCTTTTGGTTTCCCTTTGAACCAGGGTGGAAGGATACCCTTGAGAAAACACACGCACACACACGCACGCACGCACGCGCACGCGCACGCGCACGCGCACACGCACACGCACACGCACACGCACACGCACACGCACACGCACACGCACACGCACACGCACACGCACACGCACACGCACACGCACACGCACACGCACACGCACACGCACGCACGCGCACACGCACACGCACGCACGCACACGCACACGCACACGCACACGCACACGCACACGCACACGCACACGCACACGCACACGCACACGCACACCCACACACACACACACACACACACACACACACACACACACACGCGCGCAAGCTACCATGGTTGCTTGGGGGACGATCGCCTGGATCATGCCACGTCTGTGTCTGGCTTCTTGACACACACACTCTCTCTCTCTCTCTCCCTCCCCCCCAAACAAGGTGTGGTGTCCATTCCCACATTAAGGGTCCTTGACCCATAGTGGGAACTTTCCAATCAAAAGCCTCTAAATGTCAGCTTCATGTGAGCAAGCTGTCCCAAACTGCTTTCCCCTTTTTGGCTTGGGAGAGAGAGAGAGAGAGAGAGCGAGAGAGAATGAAACGTTTAGGTCCCTTTTGCAACAAGAGCCGTTGCAACGGGTTTGAGGAGTTACGGGTCCCCAATATCACTCCGAAACAGGCGAAACTTAGACGGAGGCTGGCTGCCCGCAACATCGCCTTTTTGTTGCCGTAGAAAACATAAGGCATGGTTCAGTTGCCACCAAAAGCGCGGGGCAGAAAACGAACCAATTCCATTTGGGGGAGTTCCAATGGACCATAAATCCAAATGCCAATGACCCATGGGCAATTTTGCCCGAATACATGCCAGAAGGGTCTGTGGGAAAATGTCCGACGTCCGACCGAGGACTCGTCCTCCCCAAACCAACAGACTTCCATTCGGAGCAAATGTGAGTGAGCGATAAAACCCATGGACAGACACACGTACGCGGAGACTTCCAATAATGTCAGTTGCGATAACCCCGGGAAAAGGCCCCTGATACATGGGTTGGTTACCCGCTTCGTGGCTTTTGGGAGGTTCCCAGCCACCCTTTCGACTTCTAATCTGCTAACAACAAAGGTGCCATAAAATTTCCCGTGGCCACGGCTTCTGGGGATATGGATTTGAGTTCTTCTAAAGCAGAGGTCCCCTAAAACAGTTCTTTTCCGTGGTTTCTCTTCAAACACAAGTAAGCCATTTTGAGAGACTCCCAGACCCCCTCCAAAATGGGCTGTTGTGCGCACCCGATTTATATATTTTTTCGCTGGCCTTCCGCGCGCAGGCGAGGAAGATAGGCAGCCTCCCCATCCGATCGAAAGAAGCTGCTCGGAGATGAGCCGTCGGAGCTCAACCAACTTAACCCGACTGGAAACGGGACATGCGAAACGCTTTGTTCACTGGTTTTGGTGGGACATTTGAAAGCCCCCAACTTGTCAGTGAAACAGAGAAAGAAAGAAAGCAAGAAAGAGCAAGAAAGAAAGAAAGAAAGAAATACAGAAAGCAAGAAAGAAAGCAAGAAAGAAAGCAAGAAAGAAAGAAAGAAAGAAAGAGAGAGAGAGAGAGAGAGAGAGAGAAAGTCCCCATGTCCTGGACCCAAGACAGAACATATATCGGTAGTAGTAGTAGTGGTAGTGGACTCAGCAGCAGCAGCAGCAGCAGCGGAAGTAGCACCACCTGCGAACTGCTTTTTCCTCCGCACCGGACTTTGATCTTAGACTGCCCCCTCCTCCAGCTCCGCGCTGAACGCTAACTTACTGACGCGCTGCCCCTTCCTCCAGCTCCACAAAAGAGTGCGCAGGACCCTTCCTCACCGATTTGTTTCTTCTGTGGTCCCGGATCATTTGGTCTGATCCTCCTATCTTTTGGGTTCTGAATCCTGAATTATTGTTGCCTGAGGCACTTTTCACCAACCCAAGAAAGGGTGCCTTGAACAAAGGGAGCACGCCCGCAATAAGATGGTGACACATCCATACTTTCCCTGTGAGCTTCCCTTTGATGTCCCCCTAAAACGGAGGAAACAGTGCTTCTCAAAAGATACAAAACTCAACCTGTTGTCTTCCATTGGTTGTTGATTCCTTTCACTGGCCCCTATCCTTTTTGCAGCACCCTGGACCAGCCTCAAAAACACCAAAGCGGGCCAGCCCCTGAGTTCTCACGGACGCCTTTGGGTTGTTTCCGGAATGTCCCGTAAAGTTTTTCGCAACCCCAAAACAAAAAAGACAAAAAGACTAGTCGCCTCTTACGCAAAACCTCGGCCTCAGCGGGTCGATGTCCTGGGACTGCTCCGCCTCGTCACCCTGAGGTGTACTAGGTCAGTGTTGACTGCTGCCCGGGGGGTTCAACAGTCGCCTGCTACCTACCGCATTTTTGGGCAGCTTTGACAGTGGTAAAAGAATGGGGCCAGCACCAGGACGGGAAGGGGATGAGTTTCGTGGGCCATCCTCAAGGTTCAGATGGAAAACCCCCCACAAGTCACTTGAAGGGAGCCAGGACGATGAAGGTGTGCGTGTGCAAAGTAGGGAAGCTCCTAATTTTGAGGGGACCGATCCCAAGACACACCCATCCGTGACTGCCGGGAAAAGACAGAAAACTCAGAATTCCAAGAGGGGTGCATCGTGTAAACCCTATAAAAAGAGGCGTGGTTAGGTTGCCATGGTACCTATGTATGCAACACATTGAGCCAATTAATCAGACCCCGGCAGCAATTGGGGGACTCGGCTACTCAGCTGGAAGCGGGTCCAATGGGAATTGGGAATTCCCATGACTCAAAACCTGGGTACACGAAGGTGTTTTCATTTTACATGCTTCTGGGTAGACCAGTTTATACCAGGTGTTTATGGAATCCCTAAGAGGGGCAGGTACAAGGGGGGGTAGTTGAGAGTTGCAGGGTTCCTTAGGGTTCCTTAAAGTTCCTAGGGTTCTTATTAAGGTTCTTTAGGGAGCCGCAGGCCCCACACACCCCACCCCCGGGGACCACACTCTCTTAGGGATTCCCCAAGGTCTTGATTACTCAGGTGACAAGAGACAGAATGGGTCAGCCTCAAATGGGATATGGAACCCCCAAAAGCAATTGGGGGGGGGGGCCTTGGTTTCCCTTTGGTTTCCCTTTCAAAACAACCCGAAAAGGCTCTTTGGCCACACTTATATGGGTATGTCTGGATCAGCTTGGAGGGCTGATAAGGCTACAATGTCTTTAGTGGCTGGTCCCCGGGTCCCCCCACCCTTCGGATGGGTTTTAAAGGGGAGCCAAAAGGAAACCATCTGGGGAACTACCCTCCCTAAACCAAACACCAATAATGTTGCTCGACTCAACAGCGCCTTACCCTGCAAATTGATACGGATCCCCAAAACGGGTGTCCCCAAAAGAAGATTCCTACAAACACATTGGTCTTTTGGGTTCCATCTTGGCTGCGCCCCCAAAAATGCGGTTTTCCTTGTGGCGTCCTTTGAAAAAAACAGCAAAACAAGCACCCTCGAAGAAAAAGACAGTCCCATACTGTGGATGGACGAAATCCATTTCGCGCCACCTAAGAAACCCTGGAATGATGTGGGCATGGGTCAAAATCCCGTACCACCAACATCCCAATCCCCATTAAAATAGGCTCTAAAATGGGTGGTGCGTTCACCTACCAACCAAGATGGGATCCACAGCTGATACCGCTGACGAAATCCATTTCGCACGACCTAACAAGCCCTGGAATGATGCAAAAAAACAACAAGCCCCACTTAAGAAGCCCTGGAAGGATGCAGAATAGACAACAAACCCCACTTAAGAAGAAGCTAAGAAGCCCTGGAAGGATGTAAATCCCAACAAATGCAGGGGTTTCCCCATGGCTTCGCCAGGTCGAAAAATGGGCCTTGTCGAGCTCCGCAGGCTCCGCGGAGGCTTCCGCGGCCTCGACCTCTTCGGCGGCCTCCTGGCCGGGGGAATGGCCCCTTTAAAAGAAACAAAACAAGTAAAATAACTAAATTACTTCGCTTCGAGCAATCCCCACCCTCCACACTCACGAGCATACGACCGTTATAACAAATTCCTCCGCATCCTAGAGACTTCGACTCCAAATTCCCATCGGCCCCTTCCCAATGATATTTTGCCTGTCTGCGTGTCAAACTCCACTTGTCTGCGAGCCGATCTCGAGAACTCGAAAATCGGTTCTGTTAACAAAAGCCAAGCCCCTTCCAAAAAGAAACCCATCGGGGGAATAAACGAAGTTGTTTATACACAACCCAAAGCCACACAAAAGCATCACCCTTTCCGAGCCTCAGGGTACACTCAAAACACGAAGGCACCAACATGAAATGTAAACCCAACTGTGCGCCGGGCGAGACATTAAGCAAAACCAGACTGGCGGAATACTGGCGGGATCCACTGGCGAATAATTACTGGCGAGCCGCTCCGGCTCAATACTGGCCGGATACTTGGCAGGATCCACCGGATAATCAGCGGGATACTAGGCAGGATCCACTGGCGAGCTACTCTGGGATACTCAGCGGGATCCACTAGCGGGCTGCTCTGGTGGGATAATCGGCAGGATCCACTGGCTGGCGGGATACTCGGCGGGATGCGCTGGCGAGCTACTCTGGGATACTCAGCGGGATGCTCGGCGAGATCCGCTGGCGGGCTGCTCTGGTGGGATACTCGGCGGGATTTATTGGCGAGCCGCTCTGGCGGGATACTCGGCGGGATCCACTGGCGAGCCGCTCTGGCGGGATACTCGGTGGCATCCACTGGCGAGCCGCTCTGGCGGGATACTCTGGCGGGATACTCGGCAGGATCCACTGGCGAGCTGCTCTGGCGGGATACTCGGCGGGATCCACTGGCGAGCTGCTCTGGAGGGATACTGGGTGGGGGCGTGGTGTAGAAGCATCGCAAACGCGGATTCCAACATCAAATCTATCAACTCCTTTCGGGTGGGGAACAAAGAAATTGGTTACAATAAAATTAACAATACGGAAAGAAAGAAAGAACGAAAGAAAGAAAGAAAGAAAGAAAGAAAGAAAGAAAGGCAGAAAGAAAGAAAGAAAGGAAGGAAGGAAGGAAGGAAGGAAGGAAGAAAGGAAGGAAGAAAGAAAGACATGTAATGAATAAATGTAATAGTAGTAATGATAAACACGCGGCATTCCTGTTGGTTTCCTCAAAGTATGGCTATTGTCCCAAAGTCACGGGATGAGTTACCTTTCTTGAGGGTGGTAAGATCCAACCCCTCAAGATCGGTACCTGCAAAATGTGGATGGACGAAACCCGCGCCAGGTTCGGATCTTGAAGGAAATCGCCAGATTTGGTCGTCCCTATACCGGGAGGATGGCAATTCACCAAGATTTGGAGCACCCATGCACCCACTCGTGTCGTGCTTAAAAGTCACGACTTGGGAAGATTATATATAGCGCTTGCTACTTTTCTTGAAAGTCGCGATGCTCGATCCTGAGCGGGTTTCAACCAATTTGAGACGGAGCGGCTCTCACCAGTCCAACCAGAGCCAAGGAAACTTGAAAGGGAAACCAAGGCTGAGTATAAGAGCAACAGGTTGACCGTGTTTGGCTTTGATTGCAAAGGGAACCCAGTGCAACCAATAGAAAACCAGCTCGAGTCGGTTTGGGCTTTGAGGTTAATCCAGTCTGAAACAAGCTTCCCTGCGAGTGTTGACTCATGTCCGAAAGTGTTGCTGAAGCTACGCATTTTACAGCAAATGTAGTGTAGGGTCACGCTCTTTTGCGTGAGAAGAAGCATGGTCCGAGCTCAACTTCATGCTTTCCCCAACAGCGCAGCTGCAGCTGCTTTCATATTTTCGTGGCTTCGTCTTTCGGCGTCACTGCGTCCTGTGCTAAATTGGCTTGACACCATCTGAGAATGGCACCACAGGTCATAGCCCCCGTTTCTTTGGCATGTGCAGGACGGCCAGTGCCGTCGCGTGCATTCAGAAAGGCATGCTGCTAATTCTCGGCTTGCAGGCTGTTGGCTATGTAGTGGTTTAACTTCCTCCGTGGTTGATCGATTGTTTGAGGACCAGTGCGTTTGCGCGCACGCCAATTCGAAGCTCTGGTTCGAAAGTCGCGACTTTAAGAGCGCAAGTAGTACGCGTGGATGGGTCCTAAAGGCACTTTCTAAATTTCACATGCAAGGACAATCAAAAGGAAGCCGACAAAGGACAAAGACGACAAGCGCCTGGAGGAATTTTCAGCCGCCGAACTGCCCTGAATTCACTCATTTCGCAGGGAATGAGGGAAATGACCCCGAACTGAACCATTGGTGGCGATTTGCGTGAAGGGTATGCCCTTCCGACCGGCAAGCGGAGGTGTCTCTTTTTCCAGACCCTCAAAATGGCGGGTTTTCTTTTGGGTTTTCTTTTCCAAAACAACCAGAGGGATTTTCCTTCACACCCCACATTGGCCTCGTGCACGCCGGCGCGCCTCGAAGACCGTCTCAAATCCCCCGGACTGGGCGCGCTCGAAGCTGGAGGTCCAGGTGTTCGAGGTCTCCGTGAGCTCCAGGGTGTCCACGCCCGAACCGCCTCAGTCGGGCGAATCCAAAAACATGGTCTTCCATTTGGTTAAAACCCCTGCCAAAAAGCGAAACTTGTCCAGTAGTGATAGATTCCCTTTAAAACCAGCAAGGGAGAATAATTATTATTATCATTGTTTACAACAAAAAAAAAAGCAAACGGAAGTTGTGGGTCGAAACAGGGTACTTGCGCCTGTATCAAACTGGGTCGACTATAAACAATAGTTGCTCTGTTGCTCTGTATATGTTCGGACTTGCGCCTCAGGATGTGATCTTGGGTCGAAATGAGGGTTGCCAATTTGGACCTCGAGAAGAACGGCACCTGCTCACGGGAAGCTAGGGGAGTTGGTGGCTTGCCTCTCTTACCCTTTAAGGATGAACGTCCTCCCCACTCACGTCCAGGTGAAAGGATGGAAGGTTATCGAGAACAACTAGCCTTGGATTCCACATCCAAAGCCTCTCAGAGATGGATCCCTCATCTTGTCAGACCATTGGAAAAACAGAGGGGTTCCACGAGTCAATGATTAGACACTGCAACCAAACCAATCTAAAAGGACACCTAGGAAGGCTTGATCGGATCTCCGAGGCCGCGACTAAGACCGGAGGGGCTGGTTCTGAGGTACGGCCTGTTTTCGACGCGTCAAAGAATCAGCACCCCAAAAGCTTCAGTTTGGTACCCTCTTTCCAATGATCATGGAAGCTGGCAAGAAGCTTTGGACTTTCCTGGAAGAACCAGTCCACTTCCATTGTTGAACAGAGGGTACCTGAACCCACAAACCACCCTAAATGCAAAAATCACCCCATGTTGGAAATATCCCTTTTTTAAGGCTAGTTTCAGGGTCCGCGGGTATCACCTTCGGGTGTCCAAATCGATTTCCCAGACCCGAGTGCCTCGGCGCGATGCCCACCGGCTCCTTCGTCTCCGCCTCGGCTCGTTGCCGCCACCTCTCTCCGCGACACCGTCTCTTCGGGCGCCTTTTCCGGGGCCCGAAGAAGACGGCCCGTCAAAACGGGTAGAGGCTAACACCCCCCGTCTTTACGGGTAGCCGGGTGCAAAGACTCCCAAAGACCTCTGCGACGTGTCAAAGCGGGAACCACGTTTCCCGGGGGGCCAAATGTTTGCTCCCCCCCCCCCCCGCATGCACAAAGTAAAGCAAGGATGAGAGAAACTCGTCAGCCCGTGCGTGTGTTTGAAAAATTAGACCCCTCCCAAGCAAACATGGTGGTGTTCCTGTTGGCTTTTCTTGGAGCAACCCAAAAAGGTGCATATGCCAAAATACATGTATACATGTGTATATATATATATATGTATGCATGTCTGTAATGTAATGTATTGTAGTGTACTGGAATGAAATTGTAATGTAATTAGTGTAGTGTAACGTAATGTAGCGTAGTGTAGAATAGTGTAAGGTAATGTACTGTAGTGAAATGCAAATATGTGTACATGTATATATGCATGTATACATGTATGTATGTTTTCATATATGCATGCATGTACAGTATACATGTATATATGCACATACAAATCTATGTATATATGTATGTGTGTGTATATATGTATATGTGTATATATGTATATGTGTATATGTGTATATGTGTATGCATATATGAATATGTGTACATCTACATATGTGTATATACGGATATATGTATGTATGTGTATAGATATATATAGCTTTATGTGTATATGTTTATATGTATATACGTATATATGTATATATGAATATATGTATACATGTATATACATATGTAAATATAAATATATATGTATACATGTATATCTGTATGTATATACATACATATGTTATGTATATATATATATATGTACAGATGTGTATGTGTATGTGTGCATATATGTATATATGTATAGTTGCATATATGCATATGTATATTAGTATATATATATATACTATGTATCAATCTATATTTGTATAGATGCATAGATGTATATATGTGTATATGCATCCAGGTATACAGGTACATATGTTGTCGAAATGTTCATATTTATATATATATATATATATGTGCTTTTGTGTATACATGTAGGTATGCAGGTATGTATATATATATGTATATATGCATATATGTATATATGCACATATGTATATATTTCATATATGTATATATGTATATAAATATACCCGCGAGAAAGACACGCGGTGAACAAACGCTCTCGGTGTCATTATTCCGAGATCCGCACGTGCTGCGGCTGCCTCAAGCCACAGGGTTTTGGGGCTGCCAAGCCGCAGGACCGGTAAAACAAAGATAAGAAGATCAAACGGGTCTGTCTTTCTTTGGAGTTGTGGTTTCAAAGGGAATCGCGGGGATTCCCTTGACCGAAACCATGGGAAATGGATGTCGACCCAAGTTGGATCACAGCTGGTAAAGCCAGCGGCAATGTGCTGTCGATAGTTGGGTGTGTCTCAACATGAAGAACAGTCTCCTTCAAACAACCCCAGTGCCCCTCAAACAAATCACACACAGAAAGTTTGGCTTTCCGTTTGGTTTTCCCTCAGAACAACCCAAACAAACATCGCGCCCCCAAAAAAAGTCACCCAAAAAGGGCTTCGGCGTTCCCTTTCGTTTCGCCTCAAAATCAGGCCAAACAAGGGCATCCCCTCCAAAAGCAACACCCATGGCCCTGTGAAAGCTCGCCAACAAGAGTCGGCCTTCCCCCCCCCCCGCCCCGTGAGGCAAACCAAACCGGGCCTTTCCGCCTCCGGACCTCAATCACATCCGGGCTTCGCACGCACCAGTCAATCTAGATCCCCAAAACCACCCGCAGGTAAAAACCGCGGGCATGGATCCTTTGTATGATGGCCATATAGTGGTATGTATCCCACTGAACCCCTGGGTGTCGTTTGGGGTGGTGGAAAACATTTTAATCCACGTGTCAAAGATGCTGGAAACGTAGTGGGGTTACTTCTTGATGCCGAATCCTCCTGCGGATTTCACCTTGAGGGGTGCTAAAAACCGCGCAAAAAATGGTGAGGAATCCACAGTTTGTCTAGGAGGGTATGCAAAACGCACAATTTTGCCACTGTCAAGGTCAGCCAAGTGGTAGGAACTCTAGCCTCGACCCGTTCGCGGACATCGTTTACTTTCATCATTCGGACCAATACGCAGCCATTTAGGAGGGTATTCCAAGCCTTGAAAATCAGAACCCTATCAGGGTGGTTTGTCTCCAAATACCCCAACACACGGTTGATTCCTGTTGGTTTCCCTTGAAACACAATGAGAGGGTATTGATAGCCCCAAGAAGACCCCCGAGAAAGCTCCAAAGCATGGGTCCGTTTGTTGACTGGGCGCGCTGCCTCGACGCCGCGTGCTCAGCGCCAGAGCACAAACGGCCTGCCACAAAAAGTCAGGGACTGTACCCTCCCAACGACCACCCCCGAAGCGTTCAGGCCTTGTTTGACCGTCCGTCGCCTTTCTTTTCAAGGCCAGTTGTCCCTTTAAGTTTTTGGAAGCAGAGTCTTAAAAAGATGGTAGGAGCCATCTTTAGAGGGTACACGGGCTCCTCGACGCAGGTGTTGGCCGCAAGACTTTACCGTACTTCCAGAACCAGAATCTCAGAAATACGGCATCCCCGAGTCTAAGACCCACTTCATGGTGAAAAGCTAGCTCGCTTTCCCCCTGAGGTGAGCTCGCCACATGGGCAGAAAGACCTGCCGCGACGGCCTTGCAAACCGCCCCTTTCCTCAACCCGGACAGCATACTCCGACTGCTTTTCGGCATGTATGAAAATACATCTACAAACAAATATTACCCTCCCATCCACACAGGAAGCTAGCTGAGGGGGAGACAACTTTCCTTCAAATGGGCCCCTTCTGGCGGGTTCATGTCAGTGGACGGGAGGGCATACAGCAACTCAGTCACTACTCTCCGAGGTTTCTTCTGAGAAGCATTCTGCAATATCCGCTTTCTCGTTGAGAACCAGCTTCTGAAAGTCGTCTTCGTCAAAGGTGATTAGCACTGCCAAAGCCTGCAGGGTTCAGGACAAGTCACCCTTTCTGTGATGTCAAAGTGGGATTCTCATCCATTCGAGGGACAGCCATGTTGGTGGAAATGCAACGGGGACCAAAATCTTGTTGAGGCGAATGTTGCACTGAACCATGGCCATGCCTAATAGTTCAACAACCTCTTTTGGGCTCCCTCTATGAAACGGGCCCAAAGCAATCGGTCGAGGCTCGACAACCCCCCCCCCCGTCCCAGCCTACCCAGTTTTCCAAAGACTTACCAAACCAAAAGGGGTGCTATCCTTCTGACTCCCTAAAAACACACAACATGTAAAATAAAGAACCCAACAAAAACTAGCAACGACATCTTCGTTTTGGAACCCCTGTTGTTTTCCCCCATGAGTGCCCGGCCTGGTGCCAGCGCATGGACTTCCAAATGCGCCGCACCAGCATCGCCTGCCACACCTTTTGCAGAGCCTGCTCCTTGGGCTGCATCGTGCTGTCCTCTCAGCGAGACTGGCTTACTGCCCCCCCCGAGAAAGAAACAAGGGAGAAAACAGCAGGGGACCGTGGTAGTGCACTTGTTGCTATATGTTGATCTTATCTAAACTATGATGCGAATGGATGATGTCCAGTCTATTAAATTTCGGTTAGAAGTTGAGTAGAGCTTGAGGAAGATATGAAGTAGGATTTCATAAGGAAAGGATTCAGAGTTCCCAAAATCGTGTTCTTGCCTACCCCCCAGCACTACCATGGTCAGAAAGCACTGTAGGCACCAACGGCCGCTCTCTAAATTCAATTCAAGTAGGACTCAATAAGGAAATAATTATTCAGAATCCGTCTGGAACTTATGTCTTAATTTTGGAATCCATTTTAAGCTGGATTTCTAAGTACGATGTCCTTTCCATCAAAGCAGATTCAATGGATCAGCCCTGCCGAAAACCAAACAAAAAAAAATGGAGAAACCAACAACAACAAAAAACTCCCCGAACTGTTGGCATAGTGAAAGGCTACTTCTAGAAAGAGTGTCTGAGGATTGTGTTTGTTGGATGTGTTGTCTTGTTTGGTCTTGGTTGCTTGATTTTCTCGATGCTTTTTTGGGCAGGCTTGATTCAATGAAAAGCCTGTCTGAAAACTGTTTTTGGTTTGCTTCTTCTTTTTAGTTGGTTTTGTTTTTGTTGGTGGACTCAAGTTGTTTGGTTGTTTTGGAAGTACAGGACAGGAGTGCATTACAACAGCAGAAAAGACAGACATGTACACACGTACCTCAAAGCAACAAACAAACAAACAAACAAACAAACAAACAAACAAACAAACAAACAAACAAACAAACAAACAAACAAACAAACAAACAAACAAACAAACAACAATTTACACAGGTTCAATAAAAACAAGAATGAATGCACTGCCGCAGTCCCCTATTCTGAAAAAAAGGGTTCCCCCAAAAGATGTCTCCCAAAAAGGATGGCCAACAGCAACACCTCCCCCCCCAGCAAACAGAAAGGAACTAACAAAAAGGGCCAAAGGAGATTCGCCAAATGAGTTTTGGGTAAACCAAGGCTTTGAACCTGAGAATGAGAGATTGCAACCCGAAATTCGCTACCAGGAACCTTCCTTTGATGTCCCTAAAACAAAGGTGTATGGGTGTGTCTTTTTTTGGTGGTACCCATTGTTGGGTGGGAGGGAACCAAAAGGAAAACCACAATTTTGGGGAGCCCCCCACAAAAGACACACCCAGATACCTTCAGATCCTTCGGGTGACCGAGCCCCCCGTCCTCGCCCCCGAAGATGAAGAGGAAGATACGGCCCCGCACGAAGATGGAGAGCTGCACAATGCCCAGCACCTGCATGATGAAGGTGGCTACACTTACCTTGGTGGCTGGAGGAGAAAAAAAGCTGAACGTGTCAGGGGGCACTGGATTTCCCCTGAAGTTGCAATTTACTGGTGGTTTCCTTGAAACTGCATTTCTTTGGAGGTCGCAAAAAGGGAGTGGGAAAACACTGATTCTAAAAAGTGAAAGAGTCAAGCCGATAGCAGCCAAGCACCAGGTTCCACAAGTCAATCTCCTCCCTGTGGATGTTGCGGTACGCTACTCTCACTTTGAAGAGAAACGCATCGACGCCAAGTATAAGGCAGACGAACTTCTTCAATACGAAGCCAACCCAAAGTCGAAAACTGGTCAGGCAGCCATCATGCTTTCCGCGTTCTCCAACATACACCGAAAAGTAGTACGTGTCCGCGATGACCTCGGTGTGTGGTGCTCGTGATTCAAGGAGAGCAAGCAATCTCGGCTCTTTTCTGGCTCACTTTGCTACTTTCATCAAAGTCACCGCCAAGTGACAGGGCGAAGAAAAACAACCCCAGTTTATGACTTTCACGATCCTACGAAACCGAGCATTTTGGGGTTCCATGAGACAAACTATGTAACACGCGGGTCTCTGCTCAGACTCCGACCACAGAAGGGGTTGCGTAGTGAAGAAGTCGCATCGCACTGAAGGAGGTAAGCTCAGGCCAGACCTCCAAGCGAACACTTTGAGCGCATGGCTTTGGCCTCGTCTTTTTTCCGGCTCACTGCAACCTGCCTCCACCCGGCAAAACCAGGCCTTTGGCGGCAGAAAATGAAGGACCCTGTTTCTGTCGGTCCTTGAAAGACCAAGGAAAGCTCTTGACATTGGTACAGGGAACCCAGACTTTCTCCAAACCGCTTGATTTTGACGGGGTGTCCAATTTCAGATATTGCCAGGGAAACACCCCTGTCTGCCAGGGTTTGACTGGGGAAGTGGCTTGTGGCTTTCAAAGGGAAATTGGGCGGCGAGGGCCCCTTTTCTTTTGGAGAATAAAGTCGTCTTCTAGGATCCGGTCCGGGTCCGTGTTGGACGAAAAGGTAGAAACTTGATCAGTCGTGTTGTCAAACGCAGGGGATCCCCAACGTGCCCTTGAAACATGGATACCCATATTTGTTGGGCAGCCTATGTTGTTTAACGTAGCTTGAGGGTCCAGGCATATGCTGAGCCCACCTTCCAAAAGAATGTGTCCGCTCTGCTCCATCGAATGCGCTCGACCTCTGAAGTGCCCATCTTGATGAGGCAATACACCGCCTGCAAAGCGCTGAGAAACTGGGCGGGTCGAACAAACAGGGTCCGCACACTGAAAAATGGACGCAAGGGCATTAAACTAGGAGCAAACCAACCATCCACTGCAAACTCCCTGGCCATGTGGTTTTTTACATAAAACCCAAAAAGAGTGTCCCCCAGAAGGTCGCTTTAAAAGTGGGTCGGGTTTAATATCTGTTGATCCGCAAAAAAAGTGGCTGGCCACTCGGCCGCTTCGCCAATAGCGGAGGAACACAATATTGGGTGTTTCTCAAAATACAGGACCTCCAGAATTCTTCTCTTTAAACCAGCGAAAAAGCGGTCCATCAGTTTGAGAACCCCTCCCCATATCGCTGAACAGCATGCCCATGCACCCATGCACTCCAAAAACCAACAAATGTGGCTTTCCTTTTGGTTTCCCCTTCAAACCGCAGCAGAAAAGGGTACAGTGCACACAAAACACGCAGACAGGGAGAGAGAGAGAGAGAGAGAGAGAGAGAGAGAGAGAGAGAGAGCGAGAGAGAGCGGGAGAGGGGTTTGCCACGGCACTATGCGTTCCTGTGGGGTGTACCCTTTTCAAGTTGGTTTCAAAGGAAACCAAAAGGAATTCTGAAAAAAATGGGACCCCATGTGCTGACACATACCCAGCGTCCATTCTCTGGCTTGGGTTGCAGGCTACTTGCGGCAACAGCGTATCGCAACGGCCTGCTTCAAAACCCAGACATACGAATGTCAGGTTCTCAATGTCAAAGTGACATGACCAGCCTTCGCCAGCAAAACGAACAGCAGGACAAGTTCGAAGCCGGACATCAGCGCGATGCGAGGGCTGTGCATGTGTATGTCCCTTTCCGTAATCTTTCCAAAGGCTTTAAACAGAGCATCCACCAACATACCCGAGATCATGTAATCATTCCTGATGGAATTCACATAGGATTCTGGCGAGCCGTCATCTGTCTCCTGCTCCAGATGCATATGAGTGGCTTGAAATAAGTAGCCTGCGTCATTGACCACGATCGTGATCAGATTTGCTGCCAGCATCGCAACGGAGATCGCCGCTCGCAAGTAGCGCAAGTTGCTCCATAGCTCGTGCACTTCCGAGAAGCCTCCATCCTGGCATGTCCGATTTGATTTTTGTCTCGTCTTGGTGGTTCTAAACACCACCTTCCGGGCCCCAAGGCGAGTTCTTTTGTTTCTGGTGCTAGTTCTTTTCGGGGACAAAACAATTAGGCATTTCTGTCCTGGGCAATACTCAAGACCTGGAAGAAGTCAGGAGACTCGGAATCGATGAACTTATTCCACATGATCTCCTCATTTTTGTCTGCCGCCCTGAGAAAGCTTTGATATAGTTCCTCCGCATCCTCTTCCTCATCATCACCACGTTGCCGTCGGCGACGCCTCACGCCCTCTATGCCATCAATGCACAAATCTTCCATAGCCCAGAACTACGGCTACCTGTGTCTGCGTCTTCGAGGGAACCCCCCTGTCAGCCTTGACAGTGTTCATGCTGGTAATGGAGGCCAAAAACTCAGTCATGTTTGAGCTTTCATGCACCAGTGCAGATAAGAGCAACTTGGTAGAGATTGATCTCCTCCCCTCCCCACCCCAGGGGAGGGTGGGCGGGCAAAGGGGTGGGCGGGCCAAGGGGAAGGGTGGGTGGGCAAAGGGGGAGGGTGGGCGGGCAAAGGGGTGGGTGGGCAACGGGGGAGAGTGGGGGGGGGGGGAGGGGGTGCCCCCCAATTCCGTTCATCCGGTCTTCCTCACAAATGGGAAAATGGGGCTGTAAGTGGTATATTCAAGCACGTGTGTTTCAGAATTCACCTTTTTTGGGCAGCAGGTGTTGGACCCTCTACAGTCCCGTTCATTCCAACCGAACCCTTTGCTTTCTAAGGGCTCCAGTCTACCTGTTTCAGCTTCCCCTGTATTAGGTGTGGAGCCACCGATCTGTTGGGATGCCTCGCTTGCTCCAAAACCCGCCTCTCGTACCGGCGCGGCCGGCACTGGTATCGGGATCTCACCTGGCGCACGGAAAACGCCCTGCTGCGTGTGGTAAATAAGCGGGACCCATTTAAACCCCTCACCAATCCAAGCCAATTCAAGGGAAGCACTTGGGGGGTTCACGAACATGGCCGGTTCCTTTCTGGACCCTGCCTTGTGCCATACCAAAGACTGACTCCGAAGAATGGTAAGGTGATGCAACACATGCCACATCCATGGGCATGTTGCTTCGTGTAGGCCGTGTTTTGCTAACGCAAGGGCTACCTTTCGTCAAATTCAGGGCCCCGGGGGAAAAAAAAGGGGAAAAAAACGGATAGCTCTTCTATGGGCTTCCCATACCTAAACCCTGAAACAACAACGCAGACCCAACAAACAAAACCCAAACAAAACGCAGACACGACAAAAACCGCAGACCTAACCCACAGGCCAAGGTGCTGCTGGGTTCTTCAGTCTCCTGGGACTCGTGCTCTGTGGACTCCTGAAAGCGGTTCCAGGCCGGGCGTGCCCTTTTGGTTTCCCTTCAAACCCAAAAGAGTTCCCCTCAAAAAGATCCTCCAACCTTCAGCTTTCCTGGTCCGGGGGGAGACCAATTTTGTTGCGTGTGTTTCCCTTCTGCCGGTCTTCCACGAGACTGCAAAGGAGCAAAATGGTCAAACCCCCAGAAAAAAAAGAAGTGTCTCTCCTTTCGCCCCTTAACCGCAAGGTGAAAAGGGCACCCTCCAAAACACGGGAGCGCCCAGGGACAAACACACCGGGCCCTTCCATGTTTCAAGCGTCCCCGGACGGAAGATCCGGCGCTTTGGTTGGAAGCGTTTGGTGTTTGACAGGTACCTGGACCCGATCTCCGGGAGGGTCCCCTTCGTATTTCCTTGGAACCCGCAAACCCGGGCAAAGCTTCCTGTGCCCGGAACCCGCCACTGTGGTAACAGGCAGCAGTGGTGAGGATGCATACTCAAACTAAAGGGTGAGAGCTCAACTAGCAGGAAAGTATGATCAGATCGTGGAGTCATACTTGAAACTATCCCAAACCAATGGAACAAATTGCCCATTGCAGTGTGGCGAAAGGAATGGAATTTCCCTTGCGATTTACTGGCGCTTTCCATTGAAACTGCCCCTTTTTGAGGCTTCAAAAAGGGGAATGGAGGAAGCCCTGCAAAATTCCGGCGTCATCTTTTTTTGAGGTTAGTTTGAGGGTTCTGGTTGCTTCCTTCTGTCAACCAAATGGAGTTATTCCCCCAGAAACAACGGGAGGCCTGTGCAAAGTGATTGACATCTGCGAGGGATAAAACAAAAAAAAGAACGGGCAGCGAGACTCTTGGAGCGCTCCGTGAGGGACATGGGCACCCACTCGCTAGTAGGCCTTGTGTCTGGACCTGGCAGGAAAAACGACACGGGGCCTGGGTTTCGGTTGAAGGGAAACCAAAGAAAAGGAAGAAGTCCATCTTTTTTTTTTTGGGGGGGGGGGGGTTGAAGAGAAACCAAATCCCATCCATTTTTTCTGGGGGGGGGGATCCCGATTTTGAGTCGACCACCCAGAACCCAAATGGATGGATTGCCCGCTTCGGGTGACCCTTAGTTGGTGGTTTGGAGTGGTGATTTGGATTTGGCATTGAACCCTGGGTTCTTGTGGGTAGATGCGAAACCACCCGTATGGCCGTCCCTCTGGTCCATTTGAGTGAAACACATCCTCAAAACTCACATCAATGATTTCGCACAGGACCCCCCCAAACTGATCTGCAGAACTCCTCACAATGCAACTCCCTCCCAAACTGATCTGCAGAACCCTTCAAAATGCAACCACTTAAAGGGGGAAAATGATGGGAACACTTTGCTTGGCCGAGCTCTCAGCAGGAGGCATGGCGCATGGCTTTCTGGCCAAAACATCCTCACCCCGTGACCGTGTCTTCGTGCTGGCTAGGGCATGAGTTGGAAGTTGGAATGACCCCAAGCTGAGCCAACCGGCGGATCCCGAGGACCTGGTGGATTCCGAGATACCCTTGCGGTTCCTTCCCCGAGTTGAATCGAAACCCGGTGGTAAAACGATCTACCCAGAACCATGCAAAGGAGTAAGAAGGCGGCCGCAACCATTTATGGTTGGGATTGCCCCTTACTAGCCTTCATCTACCGGGTTTTGATTGTGGCTCAGTTGACATCGGGAACCTGTAGGCAATCCCCGACCCTCATCCAATGGCTGCGGCCAATCGAATCGAATCGAGCCTTCCTTCCACGTGGACCACCCAAGGGTGCAGGCCTTGGGATTAGCACGGATTCTCCAAAGCCAACATACCAAGACGCCCAAATTGTTCGGATTACCACCAAAAAAGTACGGGGGAAGTCAACGCTTATACATGATGGAATTGGCCTAAATTGGGAGGGGGCCCCCCTCCCGTGCAAAAAAGCATCAACAAAAATCGAAACAAAGAAAAGAACCCAACGCCAATTTTCCATCCTCGTGGTTTGGTCAGTGGCTTGTCCAAATTATGGCCCCTTGTTTGTGTCTCCCTCAACATGCAGCACCGGCGCCCTTGCGCGGCAGGGTGCCAAAAAAAGTTGTTGTTTGCCACCCCCGCCCCCCACGCTCTCCTCTAAGGTGGTGTCCACTTCCCAAACCACCTTAACTGAAAGGAGGGTGGATTTTTCTGCAGTGGTTCTATATCAGTTGTATAGTGGTTGTATACTCCGTGTTTCCTTTGGGGCAACAATGCAAAGCCTTATCAACTGACGAAGAACAACTGTGACTTGAGCTAAGCTGCTCGTTCTTTTCGCTAACTTCTTATGAAAACCAACCTTGTGAACCTTGCAACTGTTTGGGGTGGGCTGGGGTGAGTCTGAAAGGTTGCAACTGTTTCGGGGCCAGCGGAAATCTTCCTCAGCGCCCCACGCTGCAAGCTCGACACCGAGAGGCTGCCACAGGGACTACCCCCCTGCCATGGGTCAAGATGCATCGCATGGCTAGGGTTGCCCACAACTTTTCCCTTTAAACATCAGCCCACCAAGGAACTCCCCATGAATTGACCTGGAAGCTGATGTTTAAAACCCCCAGAAGGGGTTTCAAAAAATAAGCCCAGTTGATGTCCCCAACAGCATGCGGTGCTCTTTTTAGTGCCCTGGTAGAACCCCGGTGGAACCCTGGTGGAACCCTGGCGGAACGCCGTGGAACCTTACCTCAGGGCCACCCCGAACCACCCCGGAGCCTATCTGGGCTGAGACCCCAAAGCTTTCAGCTGTTGGGGAAAAATGACGTCTTACCCAAACCCCTTACTCCACATTCCGAGTTGATTCTAGCTATGTTGCCAGCCAATGACCAACCCTGGCAAACCAGGTTTTTCAACAAGAATCAAGTAACATCAGTTGGCATACCCAGGCAATGTGCAACCTCATTGCTACCGGACGTGTCAAAATTTCAGGGGGAGCCTCCAAAGCAAGAGCCTTTCCACTGACCACTTTCCTCTCCGGAAGAACCTCAGGGGCAAAATCCATCCCGCCTCGGCTTGCCCCTTCGCAGCTTTCCAGGCTGCCACCAGTCCCTAGGTCAAACCCGATCGGAGAAAAACGGAATCCAAAACCTTTCAGTTGTCGGGGGTCGTCAGGAATACCATGTTTTGTAACTTCACACGGGGTCTGA